GTGGCCGACTCTGGGGTTCCGGCGCTCATCTCGCTTTATTGGCTGAGTGAGCCGGCGTACAGCTTCCAGGTCATGTGGCCAGCATGACTAAGCCGCTTCTGGCGAACCACAGCAGCGCACGGAAACGCCGTTTACCTTCCCGCCGGAGCGGTCCCTATTTATCTACTTGCACTTTGACGTGCTATCGAACTGCTAGGTTGGCAGGAGCAGGGACCGAGCAATGGGAGCTCGGTCGCGGGGATTCGAACCGCCGACCTTCTGATTAGCAAGTCCTAGGCTCTGTGGTTTAACCCACAGCATAGGCACAGCCTATTCTTCTAGGTAGCCCAGTAGTGTCAGCTCTGACTGGCAGAGCAGCTCTGCAGCTGTTCATACAGGTGTTTGGCTTGCCTGTTACCTGCTGTATGGTCCTTTGAGCTGTCAGCGGCTGGATCTGGGGCCTGCAAGGTGCAGCCAGCACGCAGCTCCCTTTATCTTTTAATTTAAACATACTTTGATTTGGGCTGTGCACGATCCCGCAGCCCAGCTTCATCTATTTCTCCAACCTGGGGCAGAAAAGCCGCGCAGATGCTCCCCCCTCCAATTCCCACCCCCCACCTTTCCAGGCTCTCTGATTGCATTGCCAGATTATCCCTGGCAAGCCTCCCATCCTTGTCTCTCATTCTTTCATCAATTGAACGTCATGGTTTTCTCGAAGGCTGGGTTGGCGGCGAGAACGCAACTGGGCCAGAGGCACAAAGATCCAAAACGAGACTCAAACACCCTCCTGGCTTCAGGGGAAGCGTCAGAGGAGCTGGTTTCTCCGTGCAGCACATGTTTAAACTATGGAAGTGGTTCCTACGTGAAGCAGTAATGGCCACCAACTTGGATGTCTTTAAAAGAGGATTAGAGAAATCCATAGAGGCTGAGTGGTTATCAGTGGCTACAGACAAAAATGGAGATGACCAAGACCTTTGTCGTTTAACAATGTGCTGTGTGAAGAACTTTCACACCCTCCAACATTTCTCCAAAGAAAATAGGGATGTTCTATCCAACAACATAGTGATGGAAGTGAGAGCTGGACCATAAAGAAGGCTGATCGCCGAAGAATTGATGCTTTGAATTATGGTGCTGGAGGAGACTCTTGAGAGTCCCATGGACTGCAAGATCAAACCTCTCCATTCTTAAGGAAATCAGCCCTGAGTGCTCACTGGAAGGACAGATCGTGAAGCTGAGGCTCCAATACTTTGGCCACCTCATGAGAAGACTCCCTGGGAAAGACCCTGATGTTGGGAAAGACTGAGGGCCAAGGAGAAGGGGACGACAGAGGACAAGATGGTCGGACAGTGTTCTCGAAGCTACCAGCATGAGTTTGACCAAACTGCGGGAGGCAGTGGAAGACAGGAGTGCCTGGCATGCTCTGGTCCATAGAGTCATGAAGAGTTGGACACGACTAAACAACTAAACAACAATCCAACAACAACAATTTTACTATTTATGCTCCACTCATCCCAGTACATTTCCAAGTACAATTCAAAGTGTTGGTGCTAACCTTTAAAGCCCTAAATGGCCTCAGCCCTGTATACCTGAAGGAGCATCTCCACCCCCATCATTCAGCCCAGACACTGAAGTCCAGCACCAAAGGTCTTCTGGCAGTTCCCTCCTTGCAAGAAGTGAGGATGCAGGGAACCAAGCAGAGGGCCTTCTCGGTAGTGGCGCCTGCCCTGTGGAATGCCCTCTCATCAGATGTCAAGGAAATAAACAACTATCTGATTTTTAGAAGATATCTGAAGGCAGCCCTGTTTAGGGAAGTTTTGAATGTTTGATGTTTTATCATGTTCTTAATATTCTGTTGGGAGCTGCCCAGGGGGGAATGAATGAACCTTTATTTGCGTCAGCCATCAGCCATAGCAATAAAACAACAATATGATATACAAGAATAAAAATTAAAAGGTCAATTATATGAAATACATTTTAGGGTTTTGAATCAATAGTCAGAGTGGATCTTATTCTAATTGCGCCAGCTAAAACCCTTGCAACCTTTGCTGTCACCTGCTCATCTTGATCTGCCAAGAGAAAGGACACTGTGGCAGTGGCTGGGCAACCCAGAATGGACAATAAAAGAGGGGTGATAACCTCATTCCTCAAGAGTGCAAGCCAGCAGGGCATGCGCCACCCATTCAGTTTCTGTTGGGAGCCACCCAGAGTGGCTGGGGAAACCCAGCCAGATGGGCGGGGTATAAATAATAAATAATAATAATAATAATTATTATTATTATCTAAGTTGCCCCAGCCACTCTGGCCAGGGGTCATCTAGCCCAGCCCCTTGCAAAGCAGGAATCTTTCATCCACCATGGGACTCAAACCCACAGCCCTGAGATTAAGAGTCTTGTGTTCTACCAAATGAGCAACCCCCTTTTACTTGGCTGGAGAACCGTACTGTGGAATTTGGAGAAGTGCGAGTTTCAAAGGATAACTCGTTTCCATTCTCATATGGTTTTGGATGGGCAAATCTCACAGGCAAAATAGAAGACAGCTTCCAAAGGTGTAGCCCTAAAACACCCAATATACGACACTTCACTGCCGCCTGGACCAAACTGAAAGAGGCGAAAGAGGTTACCGAAAGAGGTTACCCAGCACGGCAAAAAATCAGTGTTTGATTCAATTGGATTCGCCCTCGGATTTGTTGCAGAACGCCTCCTGGCGGCAGCTCTGTGCAACTCTCGTGAAAATCTAAGTGATTGTGACACTTTCCCCTTGCATGCCAAGACAGGCACCAGAAGATTGAGCGGACAGGACCATTTTTGGGTCCGAGGGTCCACAAGGCGGTTTCTGCACCTGCTGCTGTAGAGGGAAGTGAGAGGCAGATGGGGTTCGTCAACCTGGGAAGGTAGCCCATCTAGGAGAAGGAAAAGTCTGATCCTAAGCCTCTGCAACCTTGCAGGAAAAGAAATTGCTAAGGAGTAAATACTGCAGACTGGAGTTCCCAAGATGGTTGGATGGCGGCTTCTATGCCTCCTTCCAACAACTCCTGCAGCCAAGCCAGTGCCAAACGTATTTCCTTTGGTCCACATCAGCGAGGCCGAGAAGGGAGTGTTGCCGTCTGGGCAGCTCAGGATCTCCATACATACTACTCAGGTTTGCGTCTCGGAGTGGTCACTTTGGTCCTGCCAATGCAACAGTGTGACTTCACCCCCAGAGGTGGACTCCATTGTCTCTCGACACAGACGGATGACAGCAGTGATGGCAACATAAATCAAGCATCTCTCTAAAGCCAGGTAGTTCCGTTGCAAGGAGTCGAGTCAGCCTGATCAGCACAGAAGTCAGTGGCACAAGCTACTGAGAGGAACTTATTTTTAAGAGAACACCACAGAGAGACCATAGCTCAGTGGCAGGGCACATGTTGAGGATTCCCGGGTCAGTGGTGGCTTGTGACCATTTGTTCTCTTTATTCCTTACATTATATACCACCTTTTCCTCCTAGGAGCTCAAGGGGATTGGCATGTTCCTCCCCTTCTGCTTTTTATCCGCACAACAACCCTGTGAGGTAGGGTCAGTCTGAAAGGCAGCGACTAGCCCGGGGTCACCCAGTGAACTGGGCGAGTGAGGATTTGAACCCTGGACTACTAGGTCCTAGTCCAGCACTCTTAACTGCGAAACTCATACCAGTGAGGTGGAAGGCAAAGGGGTCAAAACAGCAGGCGGAACCAGAACCAATCAGAGGCGCAGCCAACTAATTCAAATCTTGCCCCATCCTCCTCTCTGGTGAGGTCAACCCTGAGACTAAGAAACTGTGTTTAAGTTAGGCAGGTGGGCAGGGAGGACTGGGTGAGGTTTGTGGGACAAACCTCGCTCTGTTTTGCTGTTATTGCTCTTTTTTGTTTGCATTTACATCCCAGCTTTTCTCCTAGGGGCTCAAGGTGGTGTACACGGTTCTGTTTACAAAGTCCACCGCCTCCTAAAAATCCAATTTCCCCACGTAACAACTTCCAGTGCCCAAAAGAGAGTAGGGGAAGAGGAAAACTCAACTGAACATCTCTGGGGCTTGTGAGGAGGTGTGTGGGAGGGAGCAATCGATGTTGTGTCCAAACGACTGCATCACGCTGGCGAGTTACTACGCCAGCTTCTTCCCTGAGCTTTCTGATCTGCACCGCGCAGAATAAAATTAGCACTTGAATAGTGCTGATTGAGTAACCCAGCAAATGCAAAGCTATAAATTTTGCTTCTGCTGTTCTAGGCGGGGGGGGGGGGGTCTTTTGTGCAGAGACAAACCAAGCAGCTGGCAACGCCAGTGTGGAAAAGCACCCTCTGTCCGAAAGAATGTGGGATTCCCAATGACAGCAGGGAAGGGATGGGGTATTTTGCAAAGCGGTAAGAGATTCTGTGTTGCACCTTGCCCAGAAATACAGAACCCTTCGGCTCTGCTAAGGGCCTTCTGGCGGTTCCCTCGCTGCGAGAAGTCAAGTTACAGGGAACCAGGCAGAGGGCCTTCTCGGTAGTGGCGCCCGCCCTGTGGAACGCCCTCCCACCAGATGTCAAAGAGAAAAACAACTACCAGACTTTTAGACAACATCTGAAGGCAGCCCTGTTTAGGGAAACTTTTAATGTCTGGTGCTTTACTGTATTTTAATATTGTGTTGGAAGCCGCCCAGAGTGGCTGGGGAAACCCAGCCAGATGGGCGGGGTATAAATAATAAATTCTAATTATTATTATATAAGGCCTCTTGCTCCTCCAGATGGAGGCTGGAGAGGAGTGTTCAAGTGTGTGTTAAAACTGAGCTACTGTCCGAAAGCAAAATTTGCATGTTGCTCCACCCACTTTTGCCTCTGGCCACGCCCACCATGATGCCCCCACCTCCAGATGTTGCTCTCCTATCATTCCTGACCTTTGGCCATGGCCTGCAAGCAGGACAGCACTCGGCTCACCCGCGATTCTCCGCAGTCGGTGAGACGGTGGAGGCAACCGTTGTGGCTAGTAGCTGCCGATACCTTTGTTCTTCCTGAATTTGCCTAATCCTCGTGATTTCTAAAGCCGGTTGTTTTTATTATTTTTAAAAAACAAAAACAAACGCTGGAGCAGAGACGTAAAGTATCCTAAGGCCTTCTTTTTTTTTAATTCCATTTTTTTTTTAGATTAAATATATCTTGGATAGAGTTTCTCTCCTTAAAACCACACAAAAGGAGGGAGGAAATACATTCTTCATGTAGGTACGAAATACTGACCGTGGAGCAGGAACCATTTACAGTGCAAAGTACAATATTAACAGAGATGCAGGGCTATCACCACCTACAGACGATTATCATTACAATTTCTACAGCATTCACGAAGAGCAACTTAATGCTTCCTCGCTGCACTGAGCAGCGACTCTAGAGCATTTGACTGCTGCCGGATCCCACAGAGTGGGCGTTTTAATGGAACTTGCTTCCAAAAGCCAAAACAAAACCCCCTGGCAATCGCCACACTCCTCGGGTTTATCGTTTCCTTGCTGAGTTTTACACTCATTCGTAGCTGCGACAGGTTTTTTTAAAATCCGCGACTGCAGCCAGCTGCTGTGCAATCTAGGGACACGGACACCCTGGCGAAGATAAGAGGAACTATTTGGGAGGTGCTGATTGTTACAAGGGTCCTGTAAAACGGGCACACCCACATTCACATGCACACGCACGCAGAGAGGATTGACCGGAGGCAGTACACAGTGACTTCCAGGAAATCACGTTTCTAGGCTGGAACAACGGAGACGGGGTTCTGGATCCCCCAGGATAACCCCGTCTGGGTTCAATAAGGAATGTCGTTCTGGTAGTACTGGATCATATCGTAGGTCTTACTCCTGGAAAAAAGGCAACGAAACAGAAGGCGATTCAGAAGTGGTCACCGGTGAGTTATAGTGGTACCTTGGTTCTCAAATGCCTTGGTACTCAAACAACTTGGAATCCAAACACTGCAAACCCAGAAGTAAGTGTTCTGGTTTGTGAACTATTTCGGAAGCCGAACATGCTCAGTTTTGAGTGTTACGCTTCCGTTTTGAGTGCCACACTTCCGTTTTGAGTGTTACACTGAGGTCTGTCTGTTTCTGCTGTTTATTTTGTGTTTTTGTGGCTCTTTTTTTGTTTTTGTGACTGTATGGAACCCAGTTCAGTTTCTGATTGATTGACTGATTGTGTAACTGCAGTACACTGTTTATTTCTTTCATTTTATGGATCAATGGTCTCATTAGATAATAAAATTCATGTTAAATTGCTGTTTTAGGGGTTGTTTCTAAAAGTCTGGAACGGATTAATCCATTTTGCATTGCTTTCTATGGGAAAGCGCACCTTGGTTTTGGAACGCTTTGGTTTTGGAACGGACTTCCGGAATGGATTAAGTTTGAGAACCAATGTACCACGGTCACGTGAACAAGGTGTTATAAAAATGTGACACCAGAGGGTGCTGTAGAGCAGCGATCTTTCACCAATGGAAAATAACGTGTTTTTAAATAGTGTTTTCCAGATCACTGGAGATCTAGCCCTAGACGGTGTGGAAGAGGTTTGGGAGGCAGTACATATAAAGCTCCTTTTAGGGTTTTAGAGCTGGGCAGACTGAGGGAAATACAGACGCTTCCACTGTTTTCACTGCTAAGGGTCAGTTACAGAAGAAGGAATGCTAGGGTAGTAATACCACTTGTCTGGATGGAGGATGGAGCCTACTGCGCCAAAGGTACAATTCTCATTCATCGCTCCTCCTGGTTTTGCCTCTGGCTCCAGCCCACAATTGGGATGCGGCCCCTGGAAGGCTGCCCCGAAGGAAATGCGGCCCTTGGGCTGAGAAGGGTTCCTTCGCTAGAGAACAGCCAGGAAATAAGCCAGCAGAAGCATAGAGGCCTACCTGTTGCTGAGGAAGCAGCTCTGGATTATCTTGATGATGAAGTTGGCCGCTTCTCTCTCCGTCATGTTGGGGCTGAACCTGTTCCTGTCAAGGAGGAAGCAGAGGAGATCTCAAGAGTTTGGGACTTTGCAGTTTGGAGAAAAGGCAAGTGAGATGAGACATAATCATGCATGGGCATGGAGAAAGTGGAGGAAGAAAAGTTATTTCTCCCTCTCACACAGCGCCAGAAGTTGTGGATATCAAATGAAGATGAATGTTGGAAGATTCGGGAGAGATGGGGGAAAAACAGGACTTCTTCAAGCAGCACAAGCTATGGAACTCGCCCTCCTAGGAGGCAGTGGTTGCTCCAACTTGAATATGTTCTTACGAGGACAAAAATGTCTCATCTCTTAGTTAGAGCCTCTGATTCTGACAACAAAGTGAGACACAGGCTGCTCTGTGAAAATCTGGCTGATGCCAGTCAGCTGGATCCTAATCCCATTTATTCTAAAGTCCCATGTTGTTTCACTTCCAGATATGGGAACGATCCAATGCCTACGCTCTTGAATGCCGCGCCACGCTTTGGTCATTCAGTTAATTCACTGCACTTCAGGGATTCAAGTAATCCCATAATGTGGATTTGATACCGACAATGTATACAGTTGTTTTAAACGTTTTATTTTATGCTTCTTTCTTGAATGCAAGCTTTTTATTTTTGTGAAAATTTAATTTTTAAAATCTACAAAAAATTCACTGCACTTTATGGAACCAGGGCTGCTTTTTCAAAAGGAAAATTTAGAACTGCTCAGAGGGGTGCGATTCTAATCTGCACGCCAGGTGTGGGCTGCTCTTTCACACCTGTGCCCTTTCCTCAGGGATGCTTCCTTGCTCAGAGGACACGCTTCTTGACATTTGGAAGCCTGCGTTAAGAGTGGGAGGAAATCCTCAGAACTGCGAACTTGACAGTATTCTGAGGAGCGCCTTAGGCAGAGGAAGGAGACACAAGAATGCTCGTTCAAGACCCGGGATTCTTGTTCCATCAAGCTCTGCTGAAAGACCAGCTCCATCAGGCCAGCTGGGTGCTTCTGTCACCCAGGAGAAGCCATTCCATCAGGCTGCCACAGGGGGATAAATGGGAAGCAGGGCTCATCCCATTAGCTTTGCTGAAAGACCAGCTCCATAAGGTACCTCCAGCCTTTCTGTGCCAGTTGGTCGTTGTAAAAGCTATAGGGGATGGCGCTGTTGTCTAAACCACTGAGCCTCTTGGGCTTGCCTATCAAAAGGTCAACGGTTCGAATGCCTGCCACAGAGTGAGCTCCCGTTGCTCGGTCCCAGCTCCTGCCAACCTAGCAATTCGAAAGCACGCCAGTGCAGGTAGATAAATAGGTGGCAGGAAGGTAAACGGCATTTCCATGCGCTCTGGTTTCTGTCAGTGTCCCATTGTGCCAGAAGTGGTTTAGTCCTGCTGGCCACATGACCTGCAAAGCTGTCTGTGGGCAAATGCTGGCTCCCTTGACCTGAAAGCGAGATGAGCTCCGCAACCCCATAGTCGCCTTTGACTGGACTTAACCGTCTAGGGGTCCTTTACCTTACCTTTACCTTTACCTGTAAAAGCTAGTACTTAAGGATGGTTCCCAACTTTGCTTTCCCTCCCTATCCCCTTCCCCTTGTGCATCGTGCCTTTTAGACGGAAAGCGTGTGGGCAGAGACCTGTCTTGTTTTAACTGGCTGCATGTAAGGCACTTTGGGGGCCTATTTGGCTGAAGAGTGGGGCACAAACGCTTCAAATAAATAAATCTAGGGGAGTCCAGACTATACGATTTGCTTTTCCTATTGTTATCAGTCACTTTGTACCTCAACTGACAAAATGCAACTTTTGCACGACCCTTATTTTTCGAATTGCCCAAATGTTGTCCTTTGAACAGCAACCTCCCCACAGACCCGCCCCATGGCTGCCCATTCTGAGTCTGGCTGTGCCCGTTAAGAAAAAGCTCCATGTGGAACTCAAGGCAGGCTGCAATTCAGGCCCAAACTGGGCCCAGGCCTGCTTAACTTGTGCTTCCAGAGGGCAGCCCCCGCCATTAGAAAAGAGGCATGACTTACTTTAACAGTTTGATTGTCTGCCCTCGGAAACAGGGCAGTCCTGTGTCCAGCATCAACGTCACCAGAGAGACCACGGCATCCATGTAAGGCCTGCGCAAGGGGGGGAGGGAGAGACATAGACATGGACAGAGAGAGGAGAGGGAATTATTAGAGCCTCTCCTGTATCTGAAGAAAGAAAATAAAACCAGAGGGACTCGGTCTGGGGGTGGACCACACCTTATTACTGTAATTAAATCTACACAGTGTAATCATCTCCTGTTTGCCGATGAGGCTGGGTTGCCACCTGCAATCTATCAGCCATAACAAAATTACTGCGACAAAGGCAGCCCCCGTTCCTCTAGGATTGGCAGCTGTGATGCCAACCTCCCCCCTCCCACCACAAGGCAGTTGCAGGAATGGTCCTTGGGAAAGATGAGCTGGCCTTTGGTGTAATTCGGTCATTTTGATGTATTTTTAATCTTTGTTGGAAGCCGCCCAGAGTGGTTGGGGAAACCCAGCCAGCTGAGCGGGGTACAAATAATAAATTACTATTATTATTATTATTTGGGCTCGAGATTGACTCCAGAGTGCAAGCCTCCTCACCTGACTGCCAGGTACCCCCTGACGCACATCTCCATGAACCACTTGAAAGGCGTGGCCTCCATCTTCCCTCCCATTATCATAACCATCTCGTCGGTCAGCTTGATGTCTGGCTCCCAGCCCAGGTTTCCGCCGGGAGAACTCTCAAACATGAAACCAAAGTCTGTGCCAGGGAAGGGGGGGGAGAGAGAGGGGAAGCAAACAAAACACAAGAAGGATCAAACAAGCCCATTCTGCTCCCTCATTCAAAAGTAATCAATGCCCATGGCTCCAATTGGCAGTGCAGCCACCGGAGGCTGTCTAGGACTGGAAAAGGAATGGCAGGGAGAAAAAGAGCCCTTTACCCTTTCCACACAGGATACTTTCCCACTCAAAATCTCAACCTCGCCAAGTGCGGCTCCTCCCCCCTCTGAAGTTTGGGGTGTGCGTTTACAACACATGCCCTGAGCCTCATCAGGGCGCATGATTTTCAGCGGGGAAATAGCTGGCAGGGAAAGGGTTAAACATCACCTGCACTCGTCAGTTTTGTCTTGAGGATATAGGCACTCTAAGTCTCTGCTAGGAGAGAACTCTTGGCCTCTGAAAGTGTGGCCTAAGCATCCTTAGACATGGACCAATGAAATTTCACATCACACATTAGAAGCCAAAGAGAATTCATAAACAGATGAGCACCTCTTCTACCAATTGGTTTTATTTATTACCGTATTTTTCGCTCTATAACACGCACCAGACCATAACACGCACATAGTTTTTAGAGGAGGAAAACAAGAAAAAAAATATTCTAAACGAAATAGTGGATATATGATTTTTGTGGTTCATGCTGTGGCCACAGACATGTGATCTGACAGTGAGTTTGGAGTAGCCCAATGCAAAAATCCTGAGGATCCATGTGGATCCATGCTTTGTAACCACGGAGGAGGGAAGGAAGGGGAACCATGGATCCTCTGCTCACGACTGCAGCAGATCCCCCCCGCCACCCGCAGGCATTCGCTCCATAACACGCACAGACATTTCCCCTTACTTTCTAGGAGGAGAAAAGTGAGTGTTATGGTGCAAAAAATACGGTAATTACATTTGTGGGACGCGGGTGGCGCTGTGTGTTAAACCACAGAGCCTAGGGCTTGCCAATCAGAAGGTCGGTGGTTCGAATCCCAGTGACGGGGTGAGCTCCCGTTGCTCTGTCCCAGCTCCTGCCAACCTAGCAGTTCGAAAGCACGTCAAAGTGCAAGTAGATAAACAGCTGTAAAAGACGTTTCTGTGCGCTGCTCTGGTTCACCAGAAGCGTCTTAGTCATACTGGCCATGTGACCCGGAAGCTGTACACCGGCTCCCTCGGCCAATAAAGCGAGATGAGCGCCGCAACCCCAGAGTCGTCCGCAACTGGACCTAATGGTCCCCTTTACCTATTTATTACATTTATATCCCTTCCTTGAAGGAGCTCCAGACAGCATAGAGAGTTTTCCACTCCCTTTCGATCCTCACAACAACCCTGTGAAGCAAGTTAGGATGAGAGATGGCGACTAGCTCAAGGCCCCCTTCTGAGTTTCGCAGCCAAGAGACGATTTGAACCCAGCTCTCCTCAGCCCTAGAGTCTAACCAGCACACCATGAGTTTTTCTGATATTCCAACTATAAGAGAATGGGTAGAAACATCGTGGGGAATTTACAACAATGGCTAAATGAAACAATTTTATTAGATTTAAACAATGAAAACTAAGACATGGTAGCTTACCTGAGGTTGGTAACAGTTTATAATGCTTTGAAACACATTGCATGGAATATAAATAACTGTTTTGGTGTTTAATTTCAGTATATTTCAACGTTACTTACTGCTGTTTCTCTAACTGGATATGTCCTTGCGTTAGAACGTATTTACATGCATTCGTGTTGTGCAGAAAAGAATAAAATTCTCAATGACAAAAACAAACAAACAAACAGAACAAAACCAAGGAGTGAACTAACCAATATGAATGATGTGTCCATGTTTGTCCAGCATGATGTTGCCATTGTGCCTGTCTTTAATCTGCAACAGGAACAACAGGAGGCTGTAGGCAGCCATGCTGCGGATGAAGTTGTAACGAGCCTGCAAGGATGAGTCAAGTGTCGGTAGTGTTAGGTTAAGCAAAGAAAAAGAAATATAAATTTCAGATCATCACTGAGAAACTACAGAGATAATAGGAAGAGTGGGGTAGAAGTCGGTATCTCTGAAACCAATAATTTTGTCAGAGTCTTGCAGCAAACAATTTTACAGGGCTGATTAAGTTGACTTTTGAAGAATTGGGGGTGCCTTTAATTTTTAACCTCTAAAAAATGACACATGTGTAGCCCTTGGGGTGCTGCTGAACTGCATCCCTGGCTGTTATTATATCGGCTGGTTGATTGGTTTTACTTATAAGCCGCTTTCCTACAACCAGCTACGCCAAAAGCAGCTTATGGCAAACATCCAAAACATAAAAACAGAGAATATTGGAAATGCAAACATACCAAATACAGAACATGCCAGTAAATTCAAAGTGACAAAAACCAACAATTTAGCAAACACAGAATAAATTCATTATTACAAAAAAATAACCCTCACCAAATCTAGGCTTAGGTACATAAATATAAAGCAAAAACGAAAGTTAAATAAAGTTTCTGGTACTGGTCTTGCTGTACTCCAAAAAGCCTGGCTTAAACATAGTTCAGAGAGGAAGGGTAGATTACATACAGCCAGTTCCCATATCCTGACTCTAGAGGAGGCCGACAGCAGCAAAATACAAATGTCTGGGAGAGCAAATCTCTTCCTAAACCTCCTGAGAGTACAGGCTGGTGGTGCAGGTCTTATTGCAGGCTGGGGGTGGGTGAGTGGGGGGTGGAGGGGTGTTGTTAAATCACTACCACAACCAAGTCTGGCTCAGCTTCGGGCAGAATACCTTTTGGAAAGCCAAGGTTGATTCATCTCCGTACTGCCTTGTAAAGTAGTCATACATCCCAAAGTCTGTCTGCCTGCCCAGCTGGTCACGGGACGTACAATCAGGAATGCATTCGATGACGCCACACTAGGAGAAGAAAGCAGAAAGATTAATGACCACAACTCATGGACCTTGCCGTACAGCAAGGCTCATTTTTAAAAAATAACGTTGCCGGTATGTGCTAGGTGCTGCACATCGTATAGAAATACAATACAATAAAAGGTCAGGAACACATTTTAGAATAGGCAGGCAGAACCCGTGGCCCTCCGGCTGACGCCGAACTACAACTCCCATCATCCATGCTTGCTGGGACTGATGGGAGTTATAGTTGTGCAGCCCCCTATAGAGGACCGCTTGGAGGCTGCAAGAGGAAAAGGAGGTTTGTCAGAGAAAAACACTCACATTGTTAGAGATATATGGGATTTCGAAAAGGAGTGGCAAGTTGCCCCTTCCCAGGGGCACTAAATCCTGTCTTTCCATTTGAAGAGTCAATAAGTAAATACTCACCCCTGGGGCTGTGGCCACTACTCTGTACGGAAACACATACAGGTCTAGACCCACCAGCTGAAATATGTTCTTGAAGAGGTCAATGATTTGCAACGCCAGCATGTCCTGTTTAGCAACGCATGGAAGACATGTTAGGAGGAAACTAAATCAGATTCAGCAGAGGCAAACAGAGGCAAGCAACTGGATTTGAAACCGATTTGGCCGAAGGAGGCAGGGAATTGTGTAAGCCCAATGGCTGGAGCACGTCCACTTAATCTCAACAGTGTGCTTCAAAGCATAGCCTTAGAGCTAGAACATGCCTTACTTATGCCACGAGAGAGGATGGCACGCTGGGCTTTTTCTCCATCTTTCTTTGCTGCAAGCTTTAAGTTGGCTCAGTTGCAGAAGGCTCCTATTAAGCATAGGACGCTGTCTCATACACAGCCAAACAACTGGTCCATCTAGCTCAGCAGTGTCTATATCAGGGCAGCCCAACTTTTCATAACAAGTGGGCCACATGAACACTTTGACATGGAACCTGCAGGCTGCACATTGTCTTGTCACACTGGGGTTGGGGAGTGAGGTCAAAATTTGACACACCCAGCCCTTGTGCACCTTCTCATAGCCACCTAAGCGAGGCACCGGGATTTGGGAAAGGAGGCATGAGGCTCTAGCAGGATCCTAGAGCCCACCCACCTCCTTCCCAAAGCTTGAGAGAGCTTTGGGAAGGAGGTGGGACCTGCCAGACCCAAGTCCCAGCACCTCCTTGCCCAGCTCTGGGAAGGAAGCACGAGGGCTGCAGGTGTCAAATGTTGCCAACAGTTGCCGAAAAGGGCATCGAGGGCCGCATGTGGCCCTCGGGCCATGTGTTGGGACCACCTTGGTCTATATTGGCTGGCTGCCATTGGGGGGGGCCTTTCAGACAGGGGGCGTTCACAGCTCTACCACGGCAGCCCCTTCATGTCACTCTGCACAGTGAGCCACCTTGAAAACCCCTTTTGAAAAAGATAGGGAGAAAAATCTTACCGATAAAAATAAATAAATAGCTCAGATATCACTGCTTGCAATAAATTCTGAAGTCATTATCCAACTGAGTTACTCAGAGTAACAGCCTATGTACGTAATGGGGCAGCAGGCACGGGTTTTTTTGCTCTCAGGAGAAAGCCAAAAAATAAATAAAAGTATGCGCATTTATTACTGCCACAGATCAACTGGTCGTTGCTGAGAAAGGGCTTGCGGCCTCCTTACCTGTCTGCAGTCATCGCCCACTTTGAAGATGGCTGCCTGCCAGCAAATCTTCTTGCTCTCTACCCCATCTTCTCCGCTTTCGTCTATGGAGTCCGAACGACAGCGCAGACCTAGAAAGCGTGTGAAATCCAAGTAAAACCAAATGCACTGGGGAGAAGAAATGCTGGAACTCCATGCAAGCTTGCCAAGAGAAGGAGACAACAAGTCAGAATCTCCTTTCTTGCAACTTGAAGCCACTGGTTCAAGTCCTACACTCCAGAGCAGACGAAATCAAGCATGCTCCCTCCTCCATGTGACAGACCTTAATATATTTGAAGATGGCTATTCTATCTCCTCCGTCTCCTCTTTTCAAGGCTAAACATATCCAGTTCCTTCAAGCGCTCCTCATAAGGCTTAGCTTCCAGACCCCTGATCATCTTGGTTGCCCTCCTCTGCACATGTTCCAGCTTCTTAAATTGTGGTGCCCAAGTGTGGTCCGACCAAGGCAGAATAGAGTGGTACTATAACTTCCCTTGAACTGGAAACTATACTTCTGTTGATGCAGCCTAGAATAGTATTAGTTTTTTTGTTTTTTGCTGCTGCATCACACTGTTGCCTCATGTTAAGCTGGTGGTGCACCAAGACCCCTAGATCCTTTTCACATGTACTGCTAGTAAGCCAGACGTCCCCCACCCTATATTTGTGCATCTGGTTTTTCCTGCCTAATGTGCAGGATGATATTTTCGGATACGATCTTTAAAATATTACTTCTCCTTCCCTTAAAAAATAATCATCATTTGTTTCTGAGTTTCCTATTAGAATGGTTCTGTTGCTGTTTTTTATTGGATTTTCTATACTGAATGTGCTATAGATAAATAGATAAATAGCTAGCCAGCCAGCCAGGAGGAGGAGGATTGGGAGACAAAGCTAGCTTGAGCTGGCTCTGCTGGTCATTGGCTCTGGCGCCACCTACTGTCGGCCTCCCCTGTCTTTCACCCAACCAGCCGCAATGGGCACCAGCCACCACTGAAAGAGAGGAGAGGCAACTGCAGAGCTATGCCATGTTCCACAGGAGGTAAAAGTAATCCCAGCAATCTTTCTGGATCGAAAGGTCAGACAGGAACCAAATGAGTAGAATAAAGAAATACGTAGAAAGTTTCACACAACAGAAATGAGGAGGCTCCAGCAAACAGGGAAAGGATATACAATTATTTCCTCTGCAGGTGGTGCTGTGGTCTAAACCACAGGGCTTGCCAATTGGAAGGTCAGCAGTTCGAATCCCCATGACAGGGTGAGCTCCCATTGCTCGGTCCTTGCTCCTGCCCACCTAGCAGTTCGAAAGCACGTCAAAGTGCAAGTAAATAAATAGGTACTGCTCCAGCGGGAAGGTAAACGGCGTTTCCGTGCGCTGCTCTGGTTCGCCAGAAGAGGCTTAGTCATGCTGGCCACATGACCCGGAAACTGTACGCCAGCTCCCTCGGCCAATAAAGCAAGATGAGCGCCTCAACCCTAGAGTCGGTCACGACTGGACCTAATGGTCAGGGGTACCTTTACCTTTAGACACACAGTAAGGTCATAGGGTCTAGGGGACTGTGCCAAAGGCTTCATGGAAAAGGTTGATCTTACTGACTATAACAATCACTTCCTTGTAACTCACAGGCACTTGATATGAAAAGCACATGGAATACACCCATGTAAATTATATTCTTCTTCAAGGGGAACCAAGGATTGTTACATTTCAGCTAAAATAAAGGAATACTCTGCAGGAAACTCTAATGTAAATGGGGACAACATCATATGTACTGGGAAGCTACTGTACTGACCTTCTTTTTCGAGTTCGCTGACTCCGCACCGCTTCACCTTAAACTTGGCCAAGTAAGGTGCTTTGGCAGCACTGGAAGGACATTAAGAGTAGGAAAAGTGAATAATAATACAGAATGGAAATGGGCCAGATGTGGTTGGACTGCAGCCCCTTGACCACTGGCCATGTTGGCTGCAAGGGATGGTGGAAGCTGTAATCCACAGACACCCCCCACCCCTGGGTTCAGAAGGGGAAGGGAATCCAAGTCTTTATGACTGGAGGCAAACTGAGCTGAGGAAGAAAACAAGGCCACCATACCTTTGCATCGGAGTTCCTGACTTGTAGTCGATGTCCAAAACAATCGCTTCGGGGTTGCTGGGCAGATAACAACCTGTCCAAGAGAAAGAGAATTCCCCGGTAAATCAACTTGACGCTGCCCCGTTGGTGCGATAATGAACTCAACGAGGAATTCCTCTTATCGCTTTGCACATTGGTCCAGGAATTAGTGTCTGAAACAATGTGGCTATCACATTCAGATCATAGCCTGCAGCCTTTGGAAGGAACCCAAGCTCTTCCGTAGAAGGAAATTTAATTCCCATGGACACACACACACACACACACACACACACACACGGCAATTTGTTTGCCAGTGGTATAATTACTTGAAAAAATGGTTAGCTACGCTTTTTCACTAACAGCTAGCAAGCGTTGAGAAATGCTGCTTGGTTGACTGACATGTGGGATAAAGATGGAGTAATGTGGGAGGGGTGTGTGCGTGTATTTCAGCTGCGGTTTATTTATTTCGGCTGAAAAAGCTCCCTGGGCAGCTCACACAAGATCAATAAAAACAAAATGGTTCCTGTGCATCAATGCCAAAAGAAAAGAAATTTTATAATAATTGTTCATCTCCTTACCGGGCTGCACTTTCACCTCAGACAAAGCACTCAAACAAGCCTTTTTCCTTTCGTCGCCTTTAGGGTAAGGCCTATGGAGAGGGGAGAAGAAGAAGAGGAGGAGGAGGAGGAGGAGGAGGAGGAGGAGGAGGAGGAGGAGGAGGAAGAAGAAGAAAAAGAAGATTGTGTTTGAACCTGAATGAGGAAATCTGCCACACAAGCACTGGGAGGGTCCGATAGCAGAAAAGGTGAGGTTGGAACCGGCCGATCCTGTGAGTGTGTTTTGTCTGCTGTATCCAAGCTCAGAGGTATTAAAAGCCTACAGCTTGGCTCCAGGAGACAGCACAAGGACTTTCGTCTTGAGGCTATTGGCCACTGGCTGGAAGCCACTCTTCCAGCTTTCTCTAGGGAGGATGAGCAGATGCTTATTGAGGTGGTATTACTCTAAGAGAGGAATAGCTGGATACCAACAAGACGGGAAAATCTAAAAGGCCCAGGAATTCAGACAACAATGAGGGTGGTGATGCAGTTTTACCACATACCAAACAGACTTAAACTGGACCAATAATTTTTTTGTCACCTGAAGATAAGTTTGGGTCTACAGAAAGAGTTTTACTTTTGCAAAACATGTCATTGCCCAGATTCGGGTAGGTAGCCATGTTGGTCTGACGCAGTCAAATTAAAAAATTGTCCAGTAGCACCTTAGAGACCAAGTAAGTTTGTTCTGGGTATAAGCTTTTGCCTGTATGCACACTTCTTCAGATACCTGAAGACGTTATTGTTATCTGAAGAAGTGTGCATGCACACAAAAGCTTATACCCAGAACAAACTTACTTGGTCTCTAAGGTGCTACTGGACGAATTATTATTTTTTATTTATGTCATTGCCCAATGAGAGCAGATGCTCAATAAAAGAGTTTGGGGTTTCCACCCAGAGCCAGAAGTAAACAGCAGGTATTTTTGTGCCTCAAAAGAGTCAGCTCTCAAGGTTCAGGAGGCTTTCCGTCATGCAATCAAGTTAAAAGGTTATTCTTGGCCAAGTCACCGTTTGGGGAATTAAGATAAAAGAGCTCTTGGTCAAACAGCTAAACCACAAAAACATCATGCAAAGAGAACCAATGGCCCAAGTTTAAACATACTGGGCAGGCAAATCTTAAATGCAAATATAGATACATTTATTTACTATACAGATTACAGACCTGACAATGCAATCTTGTATAACTAGCTCGTATTTCCTTTTTTCACACATTACTACAAATGCAAAGTCTTCAGCAGAATAAAGTTTATAACACAGCATGACAGTGATAATAAAATCAGAGTTAGAAGGGACCCCAAGGGTCATCAAGTCCAACCCCCTGCAATGCAGGAAAAGCAGGAATATCAACACACAGCCCCCCATCCAATTTGAAAAAAACCCGGACCCTGCATAGCTCTGCAAATATGCTAGCAGTTTTATTGCTATTATGATTATTATTATTATTGATGAGACTTGTTAGTCGCTGGTGACACAGAGGTCTTAAAAGCAACTTGCGACGTATTTAGAAACATAAACCTAAATACTAATAATAATAATATTCACACATTCAAAGAAATACACATTATATAGCCATAAGGAGGTTTTTACTAGCAATATTTTAAGCAGAGAGAAAAATCATTTTAATTAATTTATTTGTATAAGTTAATTATATACCTCCCTCTTATAAGATATCGGGGGGGGGGGTGTTACAGCAACATAAAAAACCCATTAAATTTTTATCCAAAATCAGAGGCGCCAACTCATGGAGGCCAAGCTGTTTGGGCCCCCCTCCCAATATCCTTTGGGGAGACCGCCCCCCAAGGTTGAGGGGGTGGAGGAGATTCAGGCCCCAGGCAGAGCAATCATGACCACTAATTGTCAGGACAATCTTCTGAGCGTCTTATTACTTACTTGATGATGGCTGAAACGTTGGTGATTTTATTGAAGAAATCAAATTCGCGTTGATAAAACTCCTTTGCTGGCCCAGATAATGAGCCCGTTATTTCCTCAACCAGCTGCTCCAGCAGTTCCCCAATGTCAGCTGCGTGAAGAGTCAAGCAAAGGGAGGAACACGAGACACTCAGTGTTACCTTCTCCAAAACCGCTTCGCAATAAATGCACTTTCCGAGGAGTAAAAACATTGGGAATGAGCCGGGCGAAAGTTCAGCACACCAAAATCCTATTTAATTGGGCAGGGTGGGGCCGTGGGTAGAAATGCATGTCCTCAACATCCGTGCTGAAAACTGCTTGATAGCCACAAATGCCCTCAGCCAGACTGGGTGGACTCATGTGCTCATCAGCAAGGTGGTGGGGTTTTTTTTGAAAAATGACATTTGGGTAATGGGAACTTTCGTGGAGGGCTTAAAATGGTGGCACCACAAGCTTCATAACCCAAGGAACTTGGAAAGCAGAGATAAGGGAGCTGTGGCTCTATGTATATGATTGGACTCCAGCTCCCATCAGCTTGGCTGATGATGATGATGGAATGATGGGAGTTGTAGTCCCATCATCACGTGGCAGTCAAAGGGCCCCCACCAATCTCAGGGAAACAGCCCAAGGTATAAAGCACTTACGGTCTTTCTGATGCCCCTCTTCGTCCAAGAAGATGTTGGTTTTCATATTCCAAATGAACTGGTGAGCCAGCAGCTGGGATTTGGCGGCAGCCCACAAGATGTACTCCCTCACGTAGCCCATCTGAGAAAAAGCAAGGAGTCCTATTACCCAGAGGATTTCCCCCAAGAACGGGGCCTAATGGACCGCTGTGGTGCATCTGCAGAAGCCCAACCAAGTGCTTCACCTTCCGCAGCTGCAACAAAACGTATTTCTCCCATATCGGTCTTTGCAGCCACAAGCTTCCAACTGTTTGACTTTGCCCCCAAAGGCACACTCCTCCACCGTCTTCCAAGACAGACAGATGCCAACAATAACAGACCACCCACTCACACATGAATCCATCCGCCTGTAAAGATCTTATTCTGGCCTCCCGCAACCCAGATCCTTCCAGATGCTGTTGGTCTATGATTCTATGACTACGCTTAAAACAAGGATTCCTGGCTTGTTCAGTACTTGTGCAGCCTTACCTTATCATATCGAAGTGCCTGCACGATCTGTGGAATGTAAAATAAAATGGCATCCTGGAAGGTGTGAATAAGGAAAGAAGAGAAAAGAAGAAAGAGAAAAGCAGTTAGGATTTGCTTATTCTCAAGTTAGGGAAGGGAAACAAATTTCTCTTGAAAGAGCAAACACATTTAACCTAATCCTGGCTTCAGAAACAGATTGCTCCCTTACCGTCACGAATATTACTGACAACTACCCATTAGCCCCCACCTTGAAGAAATGCTCCCTTTAAAACAAACAGAGATGTGGTACTAATTGTCCCCAACCTGATGCTGTCAAGGGCCACCACATAACATTTAAAATGAAAATATTGTCACAGTAACATTAATAGATCAGGGCAGTCCTGCTCCTCCCCTCTAGCACACCAAGACAATAAACCAAAATCCCTAATTTTGCACAAATGTGTTCTAAGGTAAAGGTAAAAGTAAAGGTAAAGGGTCCAGTCGTGGCCGACTGTGGGGTTACGGCGCTCATCTCGCTTTATTGGCCGAAGGAGCCGGCATACAGCTTCCGGGTCATGTGGCCAGCATGACTAAGCCACTTCTGGCAAACCAGAGCAGCGCACGGAAATGCCGTTTACCTTCCTGCCGGAGTGGTACCTATTTATCTACTTGCACTTTGACGTGCTTTAAAACTGCTAGGTTGGCAGGAACAGGGACCGAACAATGGGAGCTCACCCCATCGCGGGGATTTGAACTGCCAACCTCCTGATCGGCAAGTCCTAGGCTCTGTGGTTTAACCCACGGCGCCACCCGCGTCCCTTGAGTTCTAAGAGCGTCCTGTAAAAAAAAGGCTGGGTTTCTTACCGGAGGGAAAGAACGAAGGACTTTAACTCCGTACTGAGCTGTCAAAGGATGAGGAGGATACATGCTGGAAAAATAAGAAAGGCCCGTTGGAGGGTCTGTCGGCGTCCAGCAAAGGATGTGGCTCAGCTCAGGAGCATCTGCATCTATCGTGTGCCACGTGACGAGGTACTGAAAGCAGAAAGGGGGGGAAATAATGAACCAAAAGGACAAGACGGGAGTGAGTCACTCAAGTGGCCAAAATGGGGAAGGGCCCACAGGAAAGAAGCAAGATTGAAGAATGCTGTAAAAGGTAAAGGTAAAGGGACCCCTGACCATTAGGTCCAGTCGTGGCCGACTCGGGGGTTGTGGCGCTCATCTCGCTTTATTGGCCGAGGGAGCCGGCGTACAGCTTCCAGGTCATGTGGCCAGCATGACTAAGCCACTTCTGGCAAACCAGAGCAGCGCATGGAAACGCCGTTTACCTTCCTGCCAGAGTGGTACCTATTTGTCTACTTGCACTGGCATGCTTTCGAACTGCTAGGTTGGCAGGAGCAGGGACCGAGCAACGGGAGCTCACCCCATCACGGGGATTCGAACCGCCGACCTTCTGATCGGCAAGTCCTAGGCTCTGTGGTTTAACCCACAGCACCACCCGCGTCCCTGAAGAATGCTGTACCTTTCTGCTAATCATTTAAACACCATTTGCTCGCTTGTTTGTTAAATTTATATACTGCCCTTCATCTGAGGAACACTGGGGTGGTTTACAGTATAAAAGCAGAAAAATACATACCAAACAAAAATGAATAACAAACAAAACTATGCCCCCGCCCCCACAGATTGTTTAATCAGTCCAAGGCCTGGGAGAACAGGAATGTTTTCCCCTGGCACCTAAAGCGAAGGCACCAGGCGAGCCTCCCTGGGGAGATCATTCTACAAACAAGAAACTACCGCAGAAAAGGCCCATTCTCACCATCCACAAGTTTAAGCCCCATAGTTACAAAAACCAGTATGCTGCACCTTTGCGATTTTGAAAAAACGGAAGAAATTCTTGGGACCAAACAAGCTGCGAAAGGACACCCACGCCTGTTGCTCCTGTGTCTGCCCCGTTCACATGGAAAGAGGGGCCGGAATCTGATTATTTATTTTTACATGGCACAGAACTGGCTCCGTGTCAGGCATTTTGGCCACCGCACATTCCCCCAAAGGCCCCCATAGGGTGAGGACCCCTGGCATAGCCTGAAGGGTCATGATGCAGCAAGCTTGATTAAGATAAGCAGATGCTGGCCCTGCAGTCCAAAACATCCAGAGGTATCCAGGTTAAGGAAGGCTAGATGATGCTACAGCATCCAGGAAAATGATGCCTGATCCCTTTGGGCCTAAAGCAGCATCTTCAGAGCAGCAAACGTGTTTCCCGTGGTGTTCGTAAGCAATCCGCATTAGGTTACAGGCACAGCTAGAACAAGCACAGACACTTACCTTTATTGCTTCTGGCACATCGCTAACTGCTCCTGGGTCCAAGCGGACGAGACGAGTCACTTCCATTCCGATGGCTTCCGTGTTTTTAAACCTAGGAGCGACAAGCAGTTTGAACGGATTACTGGGACACAATGAACACGACGCGGTCCCTTCTCCCTACTTGTCATCAGGAGGTGGGAGAAACGTCATTTGGTACTGCAGCTTTGGCCCAAAGGAGTTGGCCTTTAGAGCAAAGGATGGATTGGCCAAGTAGAGGCCTAGTAGTTCTCATTGAGATGGTCAACCTAGGTTAGGTTTGAGGTGCTTGTATTGGTGTGCAAAGCCATATACAGCTTGGGATCGGGATAACTCAAAGATAGTCTCATGGCCAACTGATCGCTGCATTCTGCAGGAGGGCATATTGAAGCCAACATATTATCAAGAGGTCTGTTTCACAAGATGCCAAAATCAGATAGGCCCAAATATTTCACAAGGAAGAAGAGAAGAGTTTGGATTTGATATCCTGCTTTAGCACTACCCAAAGGAGTCTCAAAGCGGCTAACATTCTCCTTTCCCTTCCTCCCCCACAACAAACACTCTGTGGGGTGAGTGGGGCTGAGATACTTCAGGGAAGTGTGACTGGCCCAAGGTCACCAAGCAGCTGCATGTGGAGGAGCAGAGACGCGAACCCGGTTCCCCAGATTACGAGACTACTGCTCTTAACCACTACACCACACTGGCTCACGGCAACTTCAAAAGGTCGAAGTAGCAAGGTCACTGCCTTGAAAAGAACAGTGGAATGAAGTCTCGTCTCCTCCTTAAACAGGGACTCTCACCTGGTGGGAAGCTGGACGGCCAGGTGAGGCGAAATACTCCACGCCAGATTGACGTTATCTTTCCACTGCTTCTCACTCAAGCTGACATACTTTGACCTCCAGTTCGCAACGCTGTTCTCCCCGGTCTGATCCAGCTCCAGCTCCGGGGATGAGAGAGGATTGTACCATGTAATGAGGCGTTCGATCTCAGTAGCCTTCGGAGGGAAAAGTAAATAAATAAAGGAGAGAAAACAAAGTTTTGTCAGATCAAAGATGAAACGTTGCACATATAGCATGCATGCATTGTGTGGACAGACCACAGCTCTGTGGCAGGACAGCTGCTTTGCATGCAGAAGATTCCAGGTCCAATTCATGACATCTCCAATTCAAATAATCATGTTGCAAGGTGATGGGAAAGACCCCTATAAGCAGGCTTCCTCAAACTCGGCCCTCCAGATGTTTTTGGCCTACTACTCCCATGATCCCTAGCTAGCCGGACCAGTGGTCAGGGATGATGGGAGTTGTGGTTTCAAAACATCTGGAGGGCCGAGTTTGAGGAAGCCTGCCTTACAGAGACCCTGGAAAGCTGCTGTCAGAGGGAGGAGACTAGACTAGACTAAACTAGATCAGGAGTAGCCAAGTTGGTGTTCTCCACATGCTGTTGGACTACAACTCCCATCAGCCCCAGCCAGCATTGGAGGAGGGATGATGGGAGTTGTGGCCCAGCAGCATCTGGACATTATCATACAGTGGTACCTCGGGTTACATACGCTTCAGGTTACAGACTCTGCTAACCCAGAAATAGTGCTTCAGATTAAGAACTTTGCTTCAGAATAAGAACAGAAATCGTGCTCAGGTGGCGCGGTGGCAGCAGAAGGCCCCATTAGCTAAAGTGGTGCTTCAGGTTAAGAACAGTTTCAGGTTCAGAACGGACCTCTGGAACGAATTAAGTACTTAACCTGAGGTACCACTGTATTGTCTACCCGTGGGCTAGATGGACAAACAGTCTGGCCTGGAACAGAACAGCTTCCTGTGTTTTCCTTCACTACCTTAACTCAACTCTTGATTACTGGTGCCTAACAAAAGTGTAATAAGCCAAATCCACTCTACTGAAGAAGTAAAAGCAGCTTACCAGCAGTGACAACAACAACGTTCTCCTTTTCATGTAGTACTTGTGAAGCTGGGTACCTCGATTGGTCTTCTTGGACATTCCTTAAAAAGAACACAGTGAGCTTTCTCAAATCTCTTTTCATATCTTCTTGCTCTGTAAGGGTTTCTGATGGCGGACCAATTCCATACAAAACCACAGCTTTGCAGTGACCAAAGTGGACACTGGTTTTCAGCGCTGTGCTATTTTAGCGCCTTTCATGAGGCAGCAGACTATTTCAGACTCTTGCCCGAAATCCTAGAGAGCGACTGCTGATCACCATAGACAATGCTGAACGACATGGCTTTGGGCTTCCTATCACATATAAGCAGCTTCCTATCACATATAAGTGCAGCATCGTGGAACTACTATGCATCTTTGACTATAGAATTGAGAAGTCCTTGAAATACTCATCATATGCTGAAGAAACAACTCTTTACATGGGCCATTGACCCCTTCAGATGTGTATTCTCTTGACTGTAAATTTGTTTTAATGATTTGAATATGGTACTTTCAAAGTGTTATAACTTGCCCTGGGACTGCATAGTGAAGCACAGAGAAGCAATCTTATTAATGATTATGATGATGCATTCTCTGCATTTAGAGATGCACAGACCAGGAAAGTAAAACGGTTGGATTTGAAACCTTACTTTTGGTTCTTGCCGAGGTCAATGTTGTGCAAGTTCTTGCAACAACAACAACAATCCTTGAAACTGGGTCATATATATAAAAATTAGAAACACAGAACACAGGACTTCTTATATAAAAGGCCTCAGGTTCGATTTTCTGCATTGCCGCTAGAAACAACCTTAAGGTAAAGGTAAAGGGACCCCTGACCATTAGGTCCAGTCGTGACTGACTCTGGGGTTGTGGCGCTCATCTCGCTTTATCGGCCGAGGGAGCCAGCGTGCAGCTTCCGGGTCATGTGGCCAGCATGACTAAGCGGCTTCTGGCAAACCAGAGCAGCACACGGAAACGCCGTTTACCTTCCCGCCGGAGTGGTACCTATTTATCTACTTGCACTTTGATGTGTTTTCGAACTGCTAGGTGGGCAGGAGCTGGGACCGAGCAACGGGAGCTCACCCCGTCACAGGGATTCGAACCACCAACCTTCTGATTGGCAAGTCCTAGGCTCTGTGGTTTAACCCACAGCGCCATCTGCGTCCCAACAACGTTAAACAGTGCAAAAAACAACCTTCAGCTTGCAGACTGTTGTTGGCCAAAACTTGTAATACTAGGCCAATGTAGCATAATAGCTACGGGGTCACACCAAGACTGGAGAGATCCTGCTTCAAGGCTCGCTCAGCCATGAAAACTCACAGGGTGAAGTTGAACGAGTCATTCTGTCTAGACCTCACAATCCTCTAAAGGTTTTGCAGAGAATCAAATGAGTATGTGTGCTCCTTTGTTCTCCTTTAGGGGATGGGAGTATAAAACATAAATTAAGAAGGGTTTAGCAGGGCTCAGGATAAGGAAGTGTCATGTGAGACAGACCTGATTTTTTGGAAATCGTTGACATGCCGCTGGACAAAGGGTATGTATTTATCCATCCCTGGGTGGCTTGCTGCCGAGACCCAACAGTGATGTCCAAGTTGCTCCGTGTATCTTGATTATCTAAAAAGAAAAGGAAGCGTCCCGTCACCAAACCAGACAACTGAAAAAGGGAAAGGAAAGTTGTTTTTATAGTTTCTTATCTAAGACCCACCAGGAGGAACAAGCTGGCTGGCTGTCAAATATTTCTTGTCGGAGAACATGGCAGTCCAAAACTTGATTAGGATGATGATATCCTCGCGCAGCCTCTTTTCCCCTTGGGTTGGACACTTTGGAGCAGAGCTTAAACACACAAAGCATAATTTACTTCTTTTTTAATACAATTCTTTATTAGTTTTTTTTAACGTATCATTTTCAACAGTAATTAAACATACTTTTACATCTTATTCATTTTTTTTGACTTCCATCAGTCCTGTCTGAAAATTTTCCAATCTAATCTCTCAGTATGCATTTCTTATCTTCCCTATTACATTTCAAACTCATAACCAATATCTCTATCTTTTTCTACTTTGTAACACTTCGTATATTTCTCCTTACAAAACTTCTTGTAGTCCTACTAGCGTAATTTGTTGATTACAGTTGCTCTTCAAATAATTCATATACTTCTTCCAATCTTCTGTAAATCTCTGGTCCCGCAGGTTTCGAATCCTTCCTGTCATTTTGTCCAATTCTGCATAGTCCATTAATTTCGTCTGCCATTAATTAGAAGAGTGCAGGTGCTTCGGGTAAGAGACAATGGCCTGGTTGAGATGAAATGCTAAACTATGCTGTAATGTTTACATGAATGAACCTTGGAAAACATGGTCATCTTTCACTTCCATTTTCAATCAACTGCGGTCTATCGTTCTGTCCAAACCTTAAGCTGTGGCTAAACTTAACTATGACCTAGGGCAGGGATGCCTAACCTGCAGCTCTCCAGATATCACTGGACTACAAATCCCATCATCTCTGATCATTGACCATGCTGGCTGGGGTTTATGGGAGTTGTAGTACAACAGCATCTGAAGGGCCACAGCTTAACCATACCTGGTTTAGGGAAACAAGCCAGGATCATAAATCATAGCTTAAAGTTGACTCTCTCTTTTTTTTAAATACCGCAGTTAAAACTGAAGTAAAAGACTCTGATCATCCAGAGAAAAAGAGGGAGCAGGTGAGCCCAAGATTCATTCACATAACCAGGCTATTAGGAGCACAGTTCAAAGCTGCCACCCTTTCTTAACGCTTAGCTTTTTTCCACTTTCAGGGCAGCTACCTAAAACATACAGAGTTGCAATATCTTATTGCTGCGCTGGTATGTTGGGGCAGGGGAGGGAATAAGGGGGGCCCTTGGATTGTGCACTTTACCTTTCTCACATGTTAAGTAAGGAGCAAAAACGGAGCAGTACCTGAAATAATCAAAAGCAGTTGAATATATCTTCTCTCTCAAGACATTGCGAATCGTTGCATTTGGGACCACGTCAGCGTGAAGCAGGGACAATCCCAGAGTCAGCAGCCTAAATAATCCCAAAAGTAATGAATACATAAATACATGAAAAGGCATGCGAATACTCTTCCCTACACATGCTAACGGGTTTCCGATTTCACTTAGAAAAATAATAATAATCCTGTGCAGGCTGATGCAGAAGCATATATTACTGACTGGGGCTCAGGAACCTGTTACAACACATGATCTGAACGGCGGAAAGCTACACTGCTGGAAAAGCTTAAAGGCTTGGGGATCCCACAGCAGACCCTGATAGCGACAGGCTTCGAGAAAGCTAGGACTACAATTCGCCAGCGTATCTGGGACGTAGAATTACAATGCCACATGAGTGAAATGATCAAACATCCTGCAATAAGGGACTATGGGAGAGGTTTTTCTCCAGCTATCTGTCAGGTCTTCAGGTACCCAAATACAGACGGTCTTTTACCCTCGCCAGATTCAACGTTCTCCCTTCTGCCTTACTTCAGGGCAGATTTGAGGGTAAACCATACACAGCGCGGGTCTGCCCCTGTGGCTCGTTGGAGGTTGAGACTGCTTCACATGTACTGTTACGTTGTCGTCTTTATGAGGATATATGTTTGACTTTTATTGCACCTGTTTTGCGGAAGTCCAGGAAAGAGTCGGAACACCATGGTTTGGAACCACTGCTAGAGGACAAGAATCCCAAGACTACATTAAATGTAGCCAAATTCTGTGCGGCTGCAATTAGTCGCAGGAAGCAAGTGGTATCCCATGGTGACCAAACCCCCAAATGTTAATTGCAGGGGGCATGCTAATAATTAATTTTAATTTTTTATATTTAAATGCTTGTTATACTCATATTGTCCTCTGTATTTTTGATATATTTTTTTTATGATCTGTGATGTTGTGTGTGTTGGCGCTGGTCTGTGACCGTATTAATAAATTCATTCATGATCTGAACGGGGGCAAATGCACACAGGGCGTGCTACGTTTTATGGAGATTGCCTGATTGAAGGTGGGAAACCTTTGGCCCTCCAGATGTTGCCACACTACAACTCCCCATCACACCTGGGGCTGGGGGAGCTGGAGTCCAAACACATCTGGAAGGCCACAGGGATTCCCTACCCCTGTTTTCTTGCACCAAGGCTGCAAGTGCAAGCTCTTTCTTTTTTAAAATGAAAATAAAAATGAAGGCACCCCCCCTGAAATGTGATCCCACTGTACCCTTCAGCAGCATGGTGTTCTATTGAGAGCAGTCAAAATCCAGTGCTGAAGGAAAGCTGGTCAGTTCCAGATTTCAGTGGTGCAAAGGCAGAATGGCTCAGAAGAGATGAAAGGGGGATTAACTCTCCCTGAGTCACTACTTCCAAAATCTATAATTTAGACAAGTGGAACATGGAAACTGCACAACTGCTAATCCTACGTTCCAACTCTAACCCACCCTAGATTGTGTCCTGATTACATTGTCCCATAAATGTATTTGACAATCAAACCTATTCTTATCTGAAAAATCACGCCCATTTAAGTTTCATAGCTCTGACCTGGATTCTATTCATGATTCACGCCACAGGTGTGCCAAAGAACACGGGAAATAGGTTTGGTTTTGCTTTTGGTCAGGTGAATAGAGGTGCAAACAATGAGTTAGGCTGAACCATCATCTTCAAGATGGCTCCGTATTAATGGATTTGGCTAATTTATTAAGAGAGGCAGTGAACATCCATCTCCCAACTAGAGATCTGTCCTAGGCTCATTTTCTTTTGCACATAGTTGGGTTCAACAGAGCAAGGCTAAACAACATGATGTCCCCAGATGCTGAGGACACCAAGTCCCACTGGCCCCAGCCAGTGTGGTCAACGGTCAAGGATGATGGGTGGTGGAGTCCACAATATCTGGAGGGCACCATATTGGCTACCCTTGTAACAGAGTCAGAGGCTAGACTGGTCAAGGACTAGGATAGGATACACCCAAGTTACAAAGCCTTTCCCATGTTGCATTTCCCTATTTCTTTCTTTCTTTACCCCCACCCCAAAAAAAGAAAGGCACCCACTTACTTGAAACGTGGTCCAATCGCGGCCACGTGCCGATTCATACTGCCTTTTGATCCCCCAATGTTCAGAGAAAGGGATCGCTGGAGTAGACTGGAGAAGATTTCCACCTGGTCAGAGCTACAGTACTTTGCGATTTCAAACCTCTGCACCAGGAACTGTGTCAACAAGAGAAATGCTTATATGTCTCTCTCAACAGAATTAAAACATGGACAGCAACGTCGCTTTTAAATTTACAGAACTCACTGCCCACAAGACATGCTTACACTTTAAAGGATCTCAAAAGGGGAGAACATGAAAGCCCTCATATCCCAGCCCGACCACCCAAGATCATACGAAGGAGCCATCTTAATTGTTACTTGTGTTACAGAGACTGGAACGGCCTCAACTACAAATCAAGCATTTACTGCCACCAGGCTGCAGAACACCGTTCCAGCAGAGAGATTCAGAAGGCTTTCGCTTTTCAGGAGTCTCTTGAAGACTTTATGCCAACAAGCCCATGCCATCTGCTTAATTTTTTCTGAGTAGATAGTCATTTTAGTGGCTTTGGCTTTTGTTTTTTTAATGTTGCTGTACACTGCCCTAACGTTTCGTGAGGTGACATATAAACACCAGGAAGAACTTTCTGACAGCAAGAGCTGTTCGACAGTGGTTCTGGGAGCTGTCTACTTCCCAAAATGTTCATCCTGACATAGCCCAACCTGATGGCCTTGCATTGCCAAGGGGAAAACGGAACAACTTTTGCTGTCTAGCATTTCATCGGAAGGGTTTGCTACTTAAAGATCACTCCTTAGGTTTGTAGATATCAAATCAATGTCCTTTAATGATGTAATGCAAGGAAAACATGAAGCTGCCTTGATAGAATGTATTTTTTCCATCTAGTATCCACTGCCAGTGACTCTTTAAAAGGTAAAGGGACCCCTAACCATTAGGTCCAGTCACGGACGACTCTGGGGTTGCGGCGCTCATCTCGCTTTATTGGCCGAGGGAGCTGGCGTACAGCTTCCAGGTCATGTGGCCAGCATGACTAAGCCGCTTCTGGCAAACCAGAGCAGCGCACGGAAACGCCGTTTACCTTCCCGCCGGAGCGGTACCTATTTATCTACTTGCACTGGCGTGCTTTCGTACTGCTAGGTTGGCAGGAGCAGGGACCGAACAACAGGAGCTCACCCTGTTGCGGGGATTTGAACCGCCGACCTTCTGATCGGCAAGTCCTAGGCTCCGTGGTTTAACCCACAGCACCACCCGCATCCTTCGGTGACTCTTTAGGGTCCTGCCAACCCAGGCCATGTGATCAGCATTAACCCCTCAATGCTAGTCTTTGTGCCCAAAGGCTGCGCCTCTAAGGGTCCAGACAAGGAAGCCTTGAAAGGGTATTGGAAGCTCTTACCAGTGCAAACTGTCTGATCCAAGGGCTCTGTCCAGGGTCCTGAAAGATCTGCTACTAGCCTCCCTTGGCAGGCATCCTAGCCCTGACAAAACCTTGACTATCCTCTCCTTCCATTCCAGAATGCTTTCTGGTTCTGTACCCTCCCGACTCTCCCGTGAGCCCAATCCACCAGCACAGGACATTGCTCCATCTCTGCTGTAAGGATCTAGCGACTGCAGGAGACGAGCACTTACTTCTATCCAGATGTAATGCGGCGTGACCTCCGGGGGACACGGTATGGGCTGGCTCTCTTCCGAAGCAGCTAAGGGATCTGCTTCTTTCCGCTCGGCAGAGAACAGGCCAAACTTCTGCTCCACGGTCATTTGCCAGGCCCCTGACATTTCTCGCATGAACTGGGAGGCAGGAGGGAAGAGGAACACAAGTGTTTGCTTCATTTCCTGCTTGCCGATCTTAATTTTATTCTAAATGGTGGGGTGTACAGTCCACTTTGAGACACGTTTTTTGGTTCTGTATGCTAGTTAGTACACAGAAATGCATGCATGTGTACACCTAGTTCATGGGATAATTTTAGAATATTTCCTTTAAACACACATGTATTACAAAAGCAACATAAGGCCACTTTCAAAGAAAACTGGCCCAAGCTATCCACTCTTGCTAGAAAAACTGACTGCATTTCTACATTTCATGGCACAATCTTTGCAAACAACCACTACCCAATGTGTGGAAGTGATATGCCAAGCACAGTAAAGGTACAGGTAAAGGGACCCCTGACCATTAGGTCCAGTCGTGACCAACTCTGGGGTTGCGGTGCTCATCTCGCTTTATTGGCCAAGGGAGCCGGCGTACAGCTTCCGGGTCATGTGGCCAGCATGACTAAGCTGCTTTCTGGAGAAATAGAGCAGCGCACGGAAATACCATTTAGCTTCCCACCAGGGTGGTACCTATTTATCTACTTGCACTTTGACATGCTTTCGAACTGCTAGGTTGGCAGAAGGACCAAGCAACAGGAGCTCATCCCGTCACGGGGATTCAAACCGCTGACCTTCTGATTGGCAAGTCCTAGGCTCTGTGGTTTAACCCACAGCGCCACCCATGTCCCCCAAGCACAGTAGTTACATGTAAAAAAGGACCCTGGACAGTTAAGTCCAGTAAAAGGCAACTATGGGGTTGCCACAGTCATCTCGCTTTCAGGCCGAGGGAGCCAGCGTTTGTCCACAGACAGCTTTCCAGGTCATGTGGCCAGCAAAACTAAACCGCTTCTGGCACAATGGGACACCATGACGGAAACCAGAGCGCACGGAAATGCAGTTTACGTTCCCGCTGCAGTGGTACCTATTTATCTACTTGCACTGGCGTGCTTTTGAACTGCTAGGTTGGCAGGAGCCGAGACAGAGCAACAGGAGCTCACCCCGTCGCATGGATTTGAACCGCCAACCTTCTGATTGGCAAGCCCAAGAGGCTCAGTGGTTTAGAACCACCCCCCACATGGTTATCCAGCTCCTACTGGGCTAAAAGTGTCACTACTATTGCAGAGATGGCAGTGGAAGTTGAAGACTGTGATCTCCATGTCTCTCTGTGCCTCTCAAGCTATGGAGAGTGAGTGCTGACTATGGGAGAAGTCAGGGGTGCTGTATTATTGGTGCTCCCTCTGATGGACAGGCCCTGGGTCTGCCTCCTGGTGTCCCAGCAACCAGTGAGTGTTAGTGAGACCATCAGCCAATCAGGAGAGACTGAGTGGACTGTACTGTAAGTGAGATGCTGTCAGATATCTATGGACGACCTACATCAATATAGGTGTTTAAATTAGGATTGGTGGGATACTCTTACAGTTAATGTGAGCTTATGTTGTTTCTTTTGCTTTCCTTTCTGCTATATTTGCAGCAAAAACAAATGCACTAAGTATGCTTTAATAGCTGGATAGTTATTTACTATTACTGTGCATTATGCAATTGGGACGCAGGTGGCGCTGTGGGTTAAACCACAGAGCCTAGGGCTTGCCGATCAGAAGGTCAGCGGTTCGAATCCCCGTGATGGGGTGAGCTCCCGTTGCTCGGTCCCTGCTCCTGCCAACCTAGGAATTCAAAAGCACGAAGTGCAAGTAGATAAATAGGTACCGCTCCAGCAGGAAGGTAAACGGCATTTCCGTGTGCTGCTCTGGTTCGCCAGAAGCGGCTTAGTCATGCTGGCCACATGACCCGGAAGCTGTCTGCGGACAAACACCAGTTCCCTCGGCCAGTAAAGCGAGATGAGCGCCCCAACCCCAGAGTCATCCGCGACTGGACCTAATGGTCAGGGGTCCCTTTACCTTTACCTATGCAATTAGAAACACAAAACAGAAGGGCAAATGAGGTGGATATGACTCCTTTCCATCCTGGCTAAATAACAGGGGAAGCTGGGATAGGATTATTCCAGTCTTGCAAAGTCAGTGAAGAGAAACCAGCAGGTCTGGAACTAGAAAGGGACATCCTTCTAGCAAGATACTTCCAAGTTATTTCATAAACCTCACCTACAGAACAAGAGGAAGGGGATAACCAGCCCTGGAGATCCTCTTCCACCCAACAGACAGAGAAGAAATAATTTCTAGCACAGGTGATTTTAAACATGCGTCTATTCTTACTGTCAAATTTTTACTCCAGATTCCTTCTGGAGAATGACTCTTAAGACTGCAACCATGAAGAGAGTTACTAGGGACACTTACTAGGGACCCTTTAACACATTAACTTCTGCGTAAACGCATCTCAGATTGTGCTGCGAGTGATTTTGTTTTCCTTACCGGCACTTCTATTCCATTCTTGGCAGCGAGCAGCCATTCCCAACAAGCGATGGCCGTTTCCATGCCGTGCTCGCTGAACATTCGCAGCGGGCCCCAACACAGGTGATGCAAGAGCTGAGGGTCAGTGTCTGAAATGGAAACATTTATACGTAGCAATATACTTTTTTAAAAAAAAGTATTTTAAATGGGTTGAGTCCAGACTTAGTCATACTTAATGTAGACCCACTTAAATTAATGGGACTCCAGGGAAGAAATGAAAGAAGTGGTACATACGTTACAAAACAAATAAGCAACATTTTGCATTTATCACACAAACGTTTTGTTCACATATAAGCATCTGTAGCTATTTAATCCTGCACCGTTACGATCTAAGGGTAGGCACTGATGGTTTAGTGATGCTGTTGCAATTTCGTGTGTTGTATGCATTCCCCGCCCCTCCCCCCCCGAAAAGTGTGGTCTACAAATATTTAAATAAATAGCTGTAATATGCCCTGGGACCTTCTGGTAAACAAACAAAACAATCACTCACTCACTCACTCAATCAATCATCCTTACAGCTGTACAAAACTAAATAATCATTTGCCCATCAACCAATAGACAAAATTCTCTTTTATAGAGAAATAAAAGAACCAGATTGCAATTCTCCTTTCAGCATCCTTTTCTGTGGCTTCTCTCTCTAAAACATGTATATATGCACGTACACATGGCAGAGCAAGGAAAATCAAACTGTCGTCCTTACCTCTGCTACTTATCAACATGGCTGTCATCTTAAACATGACTTGAGTGTAGTGTTCAGGCTGGCCTGGTTCCAGAGCCTCGTTGAGCTGCTTGATCATTAGTTTACTGAGATCTGAGGTGCGGCCTGTGGCGTGACAGTAATTAATCATCCCAGCGACCTGTTAAGAGAATTTCCAATCAGTTAACAGGGCTTGCAAAAACCTTTAAATGTCTAGTGTTTATCTTTGTGGTCAATTAAAGGTAAAGGGACCCCTGACCATTAGGTCCAGTCGTGACCGACTCTGGGTTGCAGCACTTATCTCGCTTTACTGGCCGAGGGAGCCGACATACAGCTTCCAGGTCATGTGGCCAGCATGACTAAGCCGCTTCTGGCGAACCAGAGCAGCGCACGGAAACGCCATTTACCTTCCCGCCGGAGCGGTATCTATTTATCTACTTGCACTTTGTTTATCTTTGTGGTCAATTACTCTACGGCTAAGTAGAGCTTTTCAGCCCTGTCAAAGCATGGCAAAATTACTATTACAGCCTTTGCAAAATATGGATTCTGCATTTTGTGAATTGTCTTTATTTCATGATGTTTTAATCAATCTTATTCTGCAAACCACTTTTGAGTTTATTTTCAGGTAAAGAAGAGCTGGGTAAAAATTATTAAAATAAAACATTCCCAAATATTCTCATGCATCCCTTTTCAATGGCCAAGTTTAAACATCTTGTTTGCACGTAATGATCCACGAAAGAATCCCTGGTCAACCAAAAGCTTTTAAAAGTACTAGGAGCTCAGGAAGAATATGATGGATGCAACAAAAGTTACTCGGTTTGTTTTCACTTCTACATAAAATGTTTTCAGATACTAAAACGTATAACTTTCAAAATAATGTTTCATGCCACAATAAACAGTTCACTGTAAATGAGCAAATGTCACTCACTTTAGTGAAGAGAAGCAAAGCAAGAGGGAAACAAATAATGATCCCTGTTTTAATGCCACAGGGCTTAGACTGCTGTACTTACTTCTCCAGCATAGCGATTTCGCAAGTTAAGTGAAGCCATGAAGTTGGAATAGTCTTTCTTTACACAGGCAGGCCTTTCAGTTAACTGGGTTGCCTACAAAAAAAACATACGATTACTATGTAAGTCATGGATAGGCAAACTAAAGCTCGGGGGCCGGATCCAGCCCAATCGCCTTCTAAATTCGGCCCACGGACGGTCCGGGAATCAGCATGTTTTTACATGAGTAGAATGTGTCCTTTTATTTAAAATGCTTCTCTGGGTTATTTGTGGGGCCTGCATGGTGTTTTTACATGAGTAGAATGTGTGCTATTATTTAAAATGCATCTCTGGGTTATTTGTGGGGCATAGGAATTCATTTATTTCCTCCCCCCCCCAAAAAAAATAGTTTGGCCCCCCACAAGGTCTGAGGGACAGTGGACCAGCCCCCTGCTGAAAAAGTTTGCTGACCCCTGATGTAAGTGGTGTGTGTGTGTGTGCGCGCGCACACGCACACACACACACAGCCCACCCCCCCTTCTGCTGCTGTCCAGCAAATGGTATTCAGTGGTATGCTATGCCTGAACATGGAGGTTCTACACAGACACTGCATCTATAATAGCCACTCACAGACCTCCATGGATCTGTCCAGCCCCCTCGCCTTTAAAATTAACTAAGCCCGTACCCATCACCACGTCTTGTGGCAGTGAATCTGCTAAGTGAATTAGGTGGTGGTGTTCTTGGTGTTTTAATTCCACTCTTTAGCCGGAAAAAGACTCCTACAGCGGCTTCCCGACCCCAGTTATAAGACCGTACCTGCCTGCAGGCTTCCAATCTAAGAAACAGGACACAAAAGGGGGGAAGGGGACCGGGAGGCAGTAAGAAAATCAAGCTCAGGCACTGGAAAACTTGAAAGCGTTACGTGAATTCAGAGCGAACCCCTCCTCAATGAAAACTGTTAACTCCCCAGAGAGCACTGGGCTCCACTTGTATAAAATAGTCACAAAACCAAGGGGGGAAAACACAGCAAACTCTGGCCAGTTAACCAAAGAGGTGATTGTCCTCACTCACCCCCAGAGTTGTGTTCTGCCTGTTGTAGCCTGCAAAGTGGAGGATGCTCTCCGTGGCCATAGCCAGCCCTGTGTGCTGGGACAGGCCAGAGACCCAGTTCTGATGCTTGTTTAAATATTCCTGAAAGAAGAACAGAAATAATAGTCTGAGCGCAAGCAGAAAATTTAAAACAAGGTGCGTATGTTTTATCTTATGCTGGTCAGTAAACGAAATAAAGTTTGATACTGACTACTTTAAAACAATGTCTAATACAATATACCGAAAATGGCATTCCCTTCTGTGGGAGAAGAGAGGGAGTGCTTTGTTTTACATAGTATACCTCCATCTTTAAATACACACACACAGACACACACACCCTAATATTTAGCTACAACTTGCAGAAGTTACCTGCAAGTGAGATTTGGTGACCGAAGGGGCCCATTTCATGGCTTCTTGGAGGATCATTCCACAGCGTGCGGCAAAATCCTTCACTATACTCTAAAAAAAGAGACACAAAACAGTCAGCTGGTAAAATGAATTGTTGTGCTGAATAATAAAAGCAAAATACAGTCGTACCTTGGTTTTCGAACAGCTTAGTTCTCAAACATTTTGGCTCCCGAATACGGCAAATCCGGAAGTGAGTGTTCAGGTTTGCAAACTATTTTTGGAAGCCCAACATCCGACATGGCTTCCGATTGGTTGCAGAAGCTTCCAGCAGCCAATCAGAAGCTGCGCTTCGGTTTCCGAACATTTTGGAAGTCGAATGGACTTCCGGAACGGATCCCATTCGACTTCCAAGGTGCGACTATAAAGCAAATATTAAGCTGGGTCGGGCGCACATGCAAAATATCCAACATGCGGCAGTAAAACTGCTAGCACATTTGAAAAGCTAAGCAGGCTCTGGCATGGTTTCAAATTGTGCATTCGATTCCTGCGCTTTATCTAGAACATTGATCAATCCCCCCCCCACATTATTAATATTTGATAAATGTATTTAGTATTATTTGGGTGGCTGGTCCAACTCAGAGAGTAGAACCTCTAAAATTAATAGACATGACTAACTTACATCCGTTAATTTCAACCAAGCGTGAGCAGAATTGGGTTTCTTTTCTTTCTTAATTAGATTTCTTATCTGCCTTTCACCAATAATAGCTTGGTGGAAGAACCTCTGCTTGGCATGCAGAAGGTAAAAGGTTCATCCCCCAGCCTCCCCAGAGAGCCACTGTCAGGCAGCGAAGACAACATTAAGCTAGAAGGACCAAATCAGCCTGATTCAGTATAAGGGAGCTTCCCATGTACCAATCCCCACATGTGGAAATCTAGGACAAAGGAAATGGGGTGGGCACACTGGGCAAGTGGGGAGGAAGATGGGCTCTTGCTCCTCCACCCATATGCAACTAGGTAAGCCCATCTACTCCAGCCTGGCAAAGGCAGACAAAATGCTACTCTTGCAGTTCAATACTGCTGCAGTGCAAGGAAACAGAAATGTTCCAAATTATCTGGAAGGAAAAATTATATGAGGCCAGACATAAGTAATTAGTCGCCTTCAAGCATTAACCATGTGCAGGAGCAAGAGGATGCAAATCTAGAAAAGGTCACAGTAAACTTCAATTCATCTTTCTGCATCCTGGAGTGTCTCACCTCTCTAGCTTCGTATGTATCGGGAACAGTAATTCTATACGGGGCGTCTGGAATGTCATAGTAGGGTTGGTCCTTGTGAATGTCCTGAAAAGAAAAAAAAAACCCTTTAACAAGAATCAGATCACTTTCTTAGAAATGCTGTGTGTTGACATCCGTCTGTCTCAAAAGACAATGGAGTGCGCCTCCAGGGGAAGAATTAAACTGCTGCAGAATCACAGTGCCTGCTGTGGCTACAGAGAGGGTAATTTGTAACTACTGCCTCCCATGTTGTTTTTGCCGTGTTAGTAGCATTGAAGTGACTTCCCCGAGGCGCAAGCCTGGGCAGTGTGTATGGAGATCCCGGGCTGCCCAGAAGACAGGACCCACACCTCGCTGGTAGGTGTGGCGTTTGCCTCCTAGGATGGGTCATAAGGAAAAGGTTAAATGAGTGTGATGTGATTGGCCAGTGGGAATGCAAGGGGTGCAGTAAAAGTTAGAGTGGGAGGTTTTGAAAGTCAGTTGAGGTTTGGGAGTTGGAGAAGGAAGAGGGAGCAATAGGCAGTGGGTTGGTAGAGTTGTATTGTGAGACAGTGAGAGGAATTGTCAGGTGGAGTCAGATAGATAGTTGGGGATAATCAGTTTGAAGTTGTTAGGAACTAAGATTAAGAAACTGTCAAGAAAAACTAACTGAAACCATAAGCTTGTTCCTGCATTTAAAAATAAACTTGATTATTTGTTTATGTTAACAACTGTCTGGACTCCGTGTGTCCCCGTGAGAAACGGGGTGGTAGCAGCGAAGAAAGTAATCACAGTGGTGGCACAGGGTCAATAGACTGTCAAACGTCCGGGGGCCCTGTCTGATCGCCACAGTAGGGTCCAGAGGAAAGCAGAGCAATACATTTGGCACCAGCTTGGCTGCAGGAGCTGTTGGAAGGAAATGTACAAGGCACCACCCAACCATCTTAGGGACTCCACTCTGGATTTGTGCAAGATTTACTCCAGAGGGAAGTATCAGCATGCATGGGAGAACCCAACATCTACAAAAATTCAAAAGGTTTTCAGGAAAAAAGCCCTAGGCGTTCTCAATAACCCAACAAAGGCTGAGCATCCTCAGTTACTGGACAATGATGAGTGTCTTTTGCAGGATGGAACAGAAAACCAAGGGAGAAGTGGAATAGAATATCCTGGAGGAAACGAAGAGGGGCTGGCCAGTTATTTCAAGGATAAGGAACCATGTTTCAGCCCAAGGGACACAATCGCTTCTGCTCAACTTTCTGCAGAAGCAAATGTGGGCAGAGCAACATATGCAGTGCAAGAACTCTACAAAGGAGTTTCAAAATCGAATAATAATAATATGGTTAATATGAAAATACTTACTGCACTCAATGACAGGGAGAGGGTCTGGAGGATATCTAACATGGTCTTCAGCACTGTTCCACTCCAAAGTAAGTGAGGGAACCTTGGAACAAAAAAGACATGTACAAAAGTCTTCATCAGTCTAGTTGTTACACAAAGCAGAGGGTGGGAATGAAGGGAGGAAAATACAAAAACCAAGGGAGAGTTGCTGTTCCATGAACATCAAAATAAGGACAGCATATTTAAAAATACACTCACTTGTCTACAAGGCCAGATAAGTACTTATCGGCGACCCGTCTGATCCTCTTATGAATATGATTGAAATTCACCAGCAAAAACTGAGCGTGTCTTTCCAGCTCTTCTTCGTTTTCTTTCGTTTTAGCCTAAACGTGTAAGAGAAACATGAGGCTTTTTGTTGTTCCTTTAAAACAGTTGCTAAATCACTGCTTAAGGTCGCAATACTATGTACGCTAATATCTGGATAAAAATGTCTAAGACTGTTATAGGAAAATAGGACTTGGCTTTGCATTAGGATTTATCTCTTATCTAGCACCATTAATGAGTGGGGTAGAGAGTAACAACAAGACAGCAGCCAGCTTGCTGATCCCTAATGTCCTATTTTGAGCAGTACTCAATAAAAACCATTGCCAAGTTTGCTCCTCAGAAAGGTTCTGCCGTCACCTAGAGCATTTGCTATTGCTTTGCGATGTAAGAAGAATGAGCCCTGAATTCATGCGATCGATAGATCTCTCTCCAACAGAACCACACTGCTTTTCAGTTCCACGTAAAGTTAAGGAAATACAAGGCCATGTTATTAGCTAACGATTTCATGGGTTAGTGTCATATGAATGATCTTTATGCTCATATGCTCCCTCCTCCTTCTTCCTCTCCACGCTACAATTCTCTCCCTAACTTCCAGGCTAGCAGCAAACCATGGTTTGTTGTTCCACCCAAACCACAGTTCTCTGTTGAATCTGAGCTGACCCTCAGATTGTTCTCTTTTATTCCTGGATCCACAATGCTCTAAATGCAGGGAGAAACCCACTCTGAAGGTTTTTAGGACAGGTTTCAATTAAGGGCTAAAGGAAGTTCCACCTGCCGTTTCTATGCAACAGTTTTTCAATGTGTCGGAGCAACAGCAGAGGAGCCAATCTGCTAGCCTAAGGATTTAATGTGGAAGTGCATCAGGGTTGTATCCAATGCAGTGCTTATTAAAGTCAATTTGAGGTACACTTGTTATGCCGGCGAAACGCTTTGTGCCAGTGAAACGTTGTGCAAGGGAACGCATTAGCGTAGTAGCTTTGTTGCACGATAAGACTGTGAAATCTATTGCACAAGGAGTTTCTGCCAGCGCCACTGTTGCGTTGGGGTTCCTCTGTTGTCACAGCTGAAACTCACCCATCCATTAGCACAAGGGTCCTTTCGTAGCGGACAGAGAAATTGGATGCAGCCCCAAGTCAAGGATGGGGAACTGGTGTCTGTCCAGATGTTGTCAGACTTTACCTCCCATCAGCCTCAGTTGGCAGAGGCCACGGTGAGGGATGACAATAACTGTACTCCAGCAACATTGAAGGTTCACAGGTTCCCCATCCCTCTTCTGCACTACGTTTGCAAAAACACTCTAGATTTGGATTGACCTAAGGAGGCGTTTTGTCATTGCCCTGGTTAACTTACTTTGTCAGCCATCATGCAGAGGAAGGCTTCAAACACCTTGTCTGCTACAGCTATGACACACTGCATCATACCTGAAAGGAGGAAGCAAAAGAAAAGAAATGTTGGCTGTGCTTATTTTTTACCCATTTTCTCCTGAAACTCTGGGACAGATTTCCTTCTCAGTAGAGCTAAAGGGGGAGGTTTTGCATCACTCATGCCTCCATCCTAAATATCATTTCCCCTGGACTTAATGAATGTATTGCCTAACCTCCATCCGTCCTTTAAATCCTTCAAGTCTCCATTAAAGGTGACTTTAATTGCACGAAAACCATTTCCCACCAACTGCCTGATGCTAAAGATTCCAGGAGACAAGCAGGCAGGTGAAGACAACACTGGGGGCCTGTTTCTGTTACAGCTGGACAATCTCTTCTCCCCACAAGCCTGTCTACTGCACACTGCCCAGGGGGAAGGATCTTGGTGATTTGTCATGATGTTGTTCATTATGATTTTACTGGTGCAATTTGAAATATTTGAAGTTGCTTTGGATAGATTTGTATCCTGAAGAGGCAGGATGCAAACGAGTATCATAAACAAACACACAAGATGTGCATGTTATTTTTTATTTATTTAACTAGCCACCATAAGGGAAATTGCACAATTTTTGTGGGGGTGGGTGGGCTTAAACCTCTCTTTCCCTACCAGAGTCCTGACAAAAATTATCCACCTACCCCCTTGTGGGAAGGAAGCCAGCAAAAAGGTAACCCAATAATTATGCTACATTATATGAAATGAGGGACGCGGGTGGCGCTGTGGGTTAAACCACAGAGCCTAGGACTTGCCAATCAGAAGGTTGGCGGTTCGAATTCCCGCGACGGGGTGAGCTCCCGTTACTCGGTCCCTGCTCCTGCCAACCTAGCAGTATGAAAGCACGTCAAAGTGCAAGTAGATAAATAGGTACCGCTCCAGCTGAAAGTAAACGGCGTTTCCGTGTGCTGCTCTAGTTTGCCAGAAGCGGCATAGTCATGCTGGCCACATGACCCGGAAGCTGTATGCCGGCTCCCTTGGCCAATAAAGCGAGATGAGCGCCGCAACCCCAGAGTCGGCCACGACTGGACCTAATGGTCAGGGGTCCCTTTACCTTTATATGAAATGAAAGCTGGTAAAAGTTCGTTCAATTCTGTTACATCCAGACACAAATCTGTCTACCTTAGGTAAAACACAATCTATATACAGTCTCACCCGATTTGTCTTTTTGAATAGCTTTATCCTCAAAATAACAAAACATCACTTGGAAGCGATCTGGGTCTGTTGAACGCAATACCCTAGGAGAGAGATTATGAGAAATGCGTTTGACATAGAAATACAGGTGAAGGAGGCTTTTTAAAGTGTCCATTCAGGGAAAACAGCTGTCTTTTCCTTACATGGTGTGGAATTCTAACTGAAAGAAACTTGTTTTAAAACGTAACTGCTAAAAGCTAAAACTCTTGCAGGAGTTGCCTTCCATTTTGCTCTCATCATGTCATCCACTGGCATAAGATGTGACAATAGCCACCAGCTTAGGGTCAAATTTCATGTCATGCTTATTGCGCAGCTTAATGTTATTCTTTAATTAATTATAGCCACAGGGATTTTGAGGGGGGGAGAACTGTTAACAGAGAAAGTAGTACACAGGGAGGCTTATCCCTTCCCTACCAAGCCACAACCTCTGCAAACCACCAACTCCCATTACAGCTACACGGCAGGGTCAAAAAAAAAAAAGTTCCTGTTTTGCTTACCATTACTGGAAACTTTTTTTTTACTAAGGCTCATAGCTGGAGGGGGAGTTCATGAGGCTGGATTAGGAAGGCTAAAACTCCCTACACACAGCTGTAATTGTTTAATGGAAAAACAAGAGACACAGCTGAACCATTTGCATTAAGTTGCCCAGTTTGAAAAAGGATTAAAGAATTAGTGGGGGGTAAGCACAAAGTCAAAGTGCATAAAATGCCAGAAATTGGTTCGGACATGACGCAAAGCCAAACCAAGATGTGGCACAAAACTGCAAGCTTCCAGGCTCCCTAAGAGGAGGAGGGCAACCACCTCATTCCTCCCCAGTCATTTTGCTGAAGTGCCACGCTGACCTAAGCCATAGGTTGTCTTAGCATGTTTTCCAAATCCATCCTTATGGTTTAGCTTTCCCAGACAAACCATGAGCTGTAAACCAAGGTCTGCCCTATGGTTTACCATCCGTGGTTTGTCCAAGAGAACTAAACTACAAGCCCAGCTTCAGGCGGCACAGTAAGCCAAACCATGGCTTAACTCGTCTCCCAGAGCCTGTGTGCTTGTGCTAAACCATGGTTTGGTTTAGCATGACAAGCAAACAGGGCACTACAAAATCACGAGCAGGGCTTAAAAAGCTACCTCATGCATTCTAGACGGTACACAGAGAGCAGGTAGGTAGACATGGCAAAGTCCAGCTTATTGATCAGGGCAGATACGTCTGGCGGAGGATCCAAAAGATTGATGATGGTGCTCCGTAACTCATTCAGTTCAGCCTAAGAGCAAAACAAGAAAAACAACCATCAGCTACCCCGAACATGAGTTACTTAACCTGCAGAATTCCTCTGAACAGTCGTTACTTTTGTACTTTATACAAAGGGAATTAAAACAATGGAAGCATAAAAAAACCCTTTTGCAGGATACAGAAAGGTGCTCAAAGTGTTTCACAGCACATCCTGAGAGAAGACAAACACTATGTGTTTGGCTTAGAAGTATCAAGATGCAAGAATGCTGACGCGGCTCGATGCGATTCATCACAAGTCAGGATGAAGTCTGCCAAAAAAAAGAAAGATTCCCACGGGGTGTCGGCTTTTATTTTTCTTCCATCGTGAGAGCATACGCAGTCGACAGCTAACTGCTCCACTTGCAAGCAAGCAGAGGAGCACTACAGCTTATGATACGGGGAGGGAATCAGGAAACTGGATCGATGCAAAGAACTTCTGAAAGGGCAGGGAGATACAAAACCAAGTTGCTGTCTACTACAACTTCAAAAGTTTTGACAGGTAAGTATCAAAAGCAGGAAAAACAAGGACTGTCTCTTTCTTTCTTTCTTTCTTTCTTTCTTTCTTTCTTTCTTTCTTTCTTTCTCTCCCTCACTCTCAACTGATACCCCTGGGGCAGAACTACATGTTATGAGGTTAACACAGGACCCCTCCGAACCCCCTCTTTCTCAGACATTCGCCCTGTTTTGCTTAGGTGGAGGTTATACAATGTCTTTACTGAGCATCCATTCCGTTTTGTTTGCAATCAGTCATTTACTCCACACGCTTCAGTGCATTTCCCTGTCACATTTCTAAGCTGCAAAATCTGTTTGTTTTTTAAAGTGGATTTGTTGCGCCAGGGGAACAGGTGCTTTATTCCACTTTAACTGTGCAAGCTACATTTCCAGGGTTTGATTAAATCCCTCCGGTCAAAGTACTGACAACCTGGGGATGCCCAAACCCATAACTGCCTTGTAATACCTGTTAGAATTCCTGCTCCGTGATTGCAGACATGGGATTTTTGTCTATCACATGACGGTGTATGTTTTGACTCCACAGAGTGGGAAGTGACGGAGACAGGATGTTTGTGTTACTGTGTTCTGTGAAGTGGGACTATTGTCCTTTGTTCTTTTTCTCTTTGCTGTCCGATGCTAGAGAGAGAGGGAGCCATGTTGCAGTGCTCCATGTGTGTTTGTATGTAAATAAACGTAGATTAGCCAAAATGCTGAGTTCTGTTATGCAAACTGCAAAGACTCTGCGGATCCCTAAGTGTGTCGGTGTCTGTTGGCATTGGTCGCTGTGATGTTCGGGCAGAAGAAAGCTTTTGAAGCTCCCGAATGAACGACCAGGAGGGAGAGAACATGCCAGTCGGGCATGTGTCTCTGCCAAGGTCCTACTCGAGTGTAGGACGAGCTCCTGACAACACCAAGGCCAGGCAGTAGTGCCTTTGTGGGGAGAAACAGCAGGCAGTGCTTGACCTCTCTGGCTGCCTACTGATTCTCTCCCACATGCCCTTCCCTTTGGGTGTTTTTAAGAGTGGAAGCATTGCCGGGAGTCCTGGGAGAAAAAGGTTCAGCACCCCTTCCTCTTCCTGCCAATTCTCTCCTGCAAAAGATCCACATCCCTCACTGCATTGCTAGCCTGTATAATGTTTAGTTCTGCTTGGGGATTTCAGTGAAGCTGCTCCTTAAAAAAAACACCTTTGTTCTCTTTAAGGTGGGAGCTGATTAACACAGGAGGGTATTTCTATGATCTCAGCACCCCATTCACTCTGTGCATTAATGAGGGTCTGAAAAGAAGAGGGAAGGACTTACGGAAGTGACTGTGTCATTTTTCATAGCTGAGTTGTACTGAAGAACAGAGCGGAGAGGCTCTTTGCTAGGAAACGTCAGTAGCGGCGACTTGGTTGCTATCTCACAAACACCCTCATACCACTCTTCTGGCCAAAGACCTAAAAATTGGAGACAAAAGAACATTATACCTGGTCCAGAATGTGGCAGTTAGATGGGTGATAGGGAGCGGCCGCCAAGACCACATAACACCGGTCCTGAAAGACCTACATTGGCTCCCAGTACATTTCCGAGCACAATTCAAAGCATTGGTCCTGATCTTTAAAGCCCTAAACAGCCTTGGCCCTGTGTACCTGAAAGAGCGTCTCCACCCCCATCGTTCAGCCTGGACACTGAAGTCCAGTGCCAAGGGCCTTCTGGCTGTTCCCTCACTGCAAGAAGTGAGGTTACAGGGAACCAGCAGAAGGCCTTCTTCAGGGACTACAACTCTCATCATCCCTAGCTAACAGGACTACTGGTCAGGGATGATGGGTATTGTAGTCTCAAAACATCTGGAAGGCCGAGTTTGCCTAAGCCTGGCCTTCTCGGTAGCAGCGCCCACCCTGTGAAACGCTCTCCCCTCAGATGTCAAGGAAAAAACAACTATCTGACTTTTAGAAGACATACGAAGGCAGCCCTGTTTAGGGAAGTTTTTAATGTTTGATATTTTATCACTTTTGTTATTAATAATAATAATATTCTGTTGGGAGTCACCCAGATGGGCAGGGTATAAATAAATTATTATCATTATCATTATTATCATTATCATCATCATCATCATCATCATCTCTGGCCATTAAGACCAGAACCATGATCAACCAGGATGCTGTCATCGGGGGAAGAACTTTTATCAAAGGTAAAAGTAACAAAAATTAGTTTGAGTCACACTAGGCTTTTTACATTTGGATATCAGAAACCCTTTCAAAAAGATTAAAGCTTGGTTTGCATGCAGTCGCAATTGGGTGTTAATTGACTGAGCCTTGGGCTCATATGCTCCTTCCTCCCTTCATCCAATCAGATTTCCTCCTTTTTATCACAAGCCACACCATTTGACCTCCAAACCATGAGCGACAGCTGGATTATGACTCTGGTTTTAGAGGGCAGGCAAAAACAAAAACAAAAACACAGAGAGTTTGCCAGTTCAGGTGTGATGGGTAGAACTTAGCAGGACAGAACTCAATGGACTTAAAACTGAGTGCCAGTGAAACTGAAATGGTATAGAATTAGACCACTCAGTCTATCCCCATTTGTGGGTTTCTTGTCACAACCACAACAGGACAGTACAGCCATGATATTTCTTGCTGCTGCTGCTGCTACAACAAATTAGCATAATTCTTCAGCAGTGAAGTCACTGGTAAATGAAAAATTTTAAATGTGGCAACAGGCAGCTATTTGGCATATTTTCAATATTTTCCTGCCTCTCCATTGAGAAACGGTTGTCCAAATAAAAAGGAATCTCTGGAGTACCTGAGCCTTCCACGGCAAATCCCATAAGCACCGAATACAGCCAGAAGTCGCGGAAGAGCTTCTGTAACCTGGGCTTAGCTTCCTTGATGGGCGGCAAGCGTCTTGTAAGCTAGCAGAGTAAATGGAAGGGAAAATACGTTATAATAACATAAATGCAATGATATGCATGTAGATATTCTGGTACTTCTGATCTTGGATTTCTCACCTAAACATCAACCTAATAAAATGCAGATCATACTAATCAACATTAGTCCATCAACTATTGTGAGCCACTGGATTAAGAGTACTATCTCTGTCATGACTCATGTTAACAATATTAACAACAAGAAGCAGCTACTCTACAGAAAAGATGGGGAGCCACTGAGCCGTCAGATGTAGTGGGGGCTACAACTCCCAATATCCCTGATCAGGGGGTGTCCTGTTGAGCTGAGATGGAGTTCAACATCATCTGGTGGACCGCCCTTGCCCAGCAGAATTGTTGAGAGAACAAAACTAGAGGTTTCCAATTTTAGAGTACATTAATTATAGCAAACACTCTCAAGGGCCGTAAGCACATACATTGCAAGACATACTCAATGTTATTGTGAAGGGCTGTAGCTTAGCTGTAGAGCATCTGCTTTGCCTTCAGAGGGTCGCATTCTACCCAGAGTGGCTGAGGAAACCCAGTCAGAAGGTACAAATTATGATATGATATGATATGATATGATATGATATGATGATGTTCAATTTCTGCCTGGTATCTCAAGATAGGGCTGGGAGACAGCCCTGCCTGAAATCCTGGAGATGACCAGCCAATCAAGGTATACAATACTGAGTCGATGCACCAATGGTCTAACTCAATATAAGGCAGCTTCCTATGTTCCCAAAACAGATTAAATGTACAGTCATACCTCAGGTTACAGACACTTTGGGTTGTGCGATTTCAGGTTGTGCACCGCGCCGAACCCAGAAGTACTGGAAGAGGTTACTTCTGGGTTTCGGCACTTGCGCATGTGCAGAAGCGCAAAATCACGCTTTGCGCATGCACAGAAGCACCGAATCGCAACCCGCGCGTGCGCAGACATGGGGGTTGCGAATGCTGCGGGTTGTGAACATGCCTCCCGCACGGATCACGTTCGCAACCCGACCGTCCACTGTAGATGCTACAGAGAAAGCAGGCAACAGTTAACTATTTCAACATGACATCACTCAGAGTCCAAGGCTTGCATTCTCCATGTTTGAACACTATCAATTCTGAAATGTTAAGGGTGATTATGGAATTAAAAATGTAGCTCATAAGTTAGAAGGAGCAATCAGAGACAGCTCAACTATGTTAGGCATCAATCAAAACACCTACAAAATTTAGAAAAGCAAGGGACACTTGGCTAACAAGCTTACATTCTCTTAACCATTTTTATCACAACGAAGTGACCAGTTTTAGGCTCTATCCCACAATTGTTCTAGGGGTTTTTAAAACTCAAAAGAAGCCTTGTGTGGCTGAAAATTTGAGCAGGGGAAGTGAAGGGGGGAGAGAGAGACTGTTTATCACAATCCCTCCAGCAGTTCTTTCTTCTCAAAACTGCACTCCCCCGATTCAACTTTTCCCCTGCATAAGAAAAGAAATGGTGACTACATGTCACCTCTAATTTTCATTTATTCAACTTGCCATGAAGGAGATCAATGTAAAATGATCCATCGTCATTGGGACAAAGTGCATTCTGGGGCGACGTGAATGTGGAAATGTCATTCCAAAGCTATGCTGAACATTATGCTGGTTCCTGGTCTTATGAATCATCTCTGGTGGGCCTCATAATGGAACCACTGAAAATGACTCATTACAGCCAAAGAAAATGAAATGGCCTGTGACTCCAGCAGAAGCCATGGATTACAATGGTTTAGCCTGCTAGATCATTAAGAGCTGTCAGAGACCCCACAATGTGTCACAATGTATGGTAAGGCAAAGATCTGGGGGGTTTTTTGCCCTTGCTTATAAAACTAAAATAAAATGTGAGCATTTGAAAGATCAGAAGATCAATCAGCAGAGGCGGCAAATGAACTAGAGGGATTTTAGCTGACAAGATAAACTTAGAAGTGATTGATTTACAGCCTATTTACTTTAGCGCATACCCATACACCAAAGTTCACAGTCAAACATTTTCGTCCTCTTTATTTGGGTTGCTCTTCAGATCGTACTGTTTGGCGACAGAGGAGGTAAGACGTATTTCTCTCTTTTGGAGATTAATTAACTCTAAAAAAGTTATTTCTGGACTAAAGGAGTGAGGCAGAACAATGCATGAACCCCCAAAAGAGGCATAGCTTGAAAAGACCAGAAAATACCTGCAACTTTATTAATGGCAACGCTGCTGCAACAGAGGATCAAGCAAGCATTCAAAAACTTACAGCTAAACACCCTTACTGAGAAATAAGCTCCAGTGGACACAATGGGACTTACTTCTGAGTAAGCATGCATAGGATTGTGCTATAAAGCTGTTGCCCTTCTCTAGTACAGGGGTTGAACGGGGCTGCAGTGAGAGGACATCAGAATATTTGTTCTTCTGGGTCTTAAAAGTATTCTGAAATTCATTCATGTAATAGCTGGTTGTTAGAGGTTGGGCTCTGCTTTCAATTTATTGTTAAAGGGGAGAGGAAAAATCCTCAAGAAATGCAGATCCAGAGAAAATAACGACTGGTTCTGCACAAATGCAAAGGATTACCGGCTCTCCTCCCAGTGACAACATCCTACACCCCGTGAAATGCCACCCCCCCCAAAAGGTAATGTGGTGAGAGGTATTTGCAGCCCAAGAAACCGCTAGCAGATTGTACCATTCAATTACAATTCCCAACACCATTGTTTGTTTCTCTCTGTGTGTATATGTGTGTACAAACATGTAGGAAGAGGGAGTTTTGCATACATATACAACATTCGAGCAAATACGGCATATGCATCCAAGGCAGGTCTAATTCATTTTAACTTCATTACGTTTACTTATTACAAATCCCGTTATTTAAACACAGTGAACACTTTCAACAAAATTGGTCATTGAATACTTTATCTACTTCGTGTTGTATCCGGATAACCTTTCCTCAAGTAGACCCACTGAAATCAATGGACCCAAGTTAGCCACATCCATTCATTTCAATAGGTCTACCACGTCCATTCATTTCAATAGGACTACCACTGGCTACAAGCCTATATGTATTACAGAAAGTTGTTTGCTCACTCTGAATTTGGACATCTCTTAAGATATAACAAAGTTTTGCACAACAGCTCCTGAGATCCAAGGGGCAGCTTTTCATCTATGTTTGGCTAGAACAGGGGTGGCCAACTCCCAAGAGACTGCAATCTACCAAAGTTGTTGAGCTTTTTCTAGGAAGGAAAGCCCTGTTTTGCGGGGTTCAGGTCAAAGTTTTTCAGCTTTTTGGGGGGAGGAGGAAACCCCCATTTTGGGGGGGGGTGCAGGGCAAAAATGTTGAGCCAGTGATATACCAGTGATCTACCTCAGACGTCCAGTGATCTACCAGTAGATCACGATCTACCTGTTGGATGTGCCGGGGCTAGAACATGGGTTGGCAAACTAAGGCCCAATCAGCTTCTAAATTTGGCCCGCAGAGAAGTCCTGGAATCAGCATGTTTTTACATGAGTAGAATGTGTCCTTTTATTTAAAATGCACCTCTGGGTTATTTGTGGGGCCTGCCTGGTGTTTTTACATGAGTAGAATGTGTGCTTTTATTTAAAATGCATTTCTGGGTTATTTGTGGGGCATAGGAATTCGTTCTTTTCTCCCCCCCCCCCCAAAAAAAGCCCTGCCCCCCACAAGGTCTGAGGGACAGTGGACCGGCCCCCTGTTGAAAAAGTTTGCTGACCCCTGGACTACAACATTTTGAATCCAGATGGCAGACTTAACCTTTCAAACTGCCCTGATGTTTGGGTTTCTTAGCATTCCCAAGCAATCTCAGGTACAAGGCTGCTAGGATGAAATAGCTATGCCTGCGTTAAATGGAAAACTTTACAACTGCACTCTGTAGGTTCTGTTACAGAACTCCAGTTCTCGATGCATAGTTGCTTGGGAAGGTGTGGCCTTCTTCCACCTGGTTTTTGTGTGTGTTGTGAACGGCCAATGTACGTTCCTGCCTCAAGTCAGATGCACACAAGGGATTATGGGTACTGTGCACTCTCCTAAGATACTAACTGAAATGGACCACCTGCCAGTCCTTTATGGGAACTTTGACCTAAGGCGATAGATATGGGTCACTTCTGATAGAAGCATCTTTGCAACCTTTCTACTGATTAGAGCCTGTGTCTTGGAAGGTTCACCTTTTGGAAAAGTTAAGAGATTTCTGCAGTATTTTTTTTTAAGATGAATTACAGCTTGCACTAGTGACTTTTAATCCACGGCCTCACTAGGTGTTTGACGTTCCCTTTCATTGTCCCCACCTGCCCCCACCGGCTCAGGTCTCCCTCCCGTCCGATGAGATCGGTGTCTGTTCATGTTTTCCTGGGCATTGAATCAGCTGTTTGCTTAACTGTGTGCACAGTGTTATATTCTGGGAAACAAACCCCATTTCCAATTTATAAAAAGCATCCATTATTTGTTTTTGCTCATTCAGCAGATGCAAAGTAATTAGCCCTTACTGAGCCTTGAAGATGTGAATGCTGAATTTCTGGTCTGTTTTTTTAAAAAAAAATAAAAATGAAAGCTAATATGCAGATGCATCTGTGCATCACCCCATTTCAGTAAAATATGCCTGTAATTACAAGGTGCTGAAGGGCTTCATGTTGATATCTTAGCTCTATTTCAAATCAACTGGATGCCTGCAGTCAAGTCATTGGCTCATTAGTTCAATATATACAATTCGGCCCGACTGGCACCCATTGTTCCCTGAGCTCTCACTGAACCAGCAGGGTTAGCTACACTGGCAGAATCTCCCCCACCCACCCCCATCAAAATCTAGGCTCCTGACCCCGGCATATCCCATCAATCTCATGTTAAGAAATACATCTGCCAAAGAACTACTGCAGGTCGGAGGAGGACACACAAAACTGGGCTTAGGGATGGATAAACATGTCAACTGCTGTCCTCCAAGTTCCTCATTTTTACGAAATTAAATTCAGTCCTTCACATTTTCACACCAATTCGTGAGTTTGCTTTCCTAATGAAATTTCATCAGCATTTTAGTGCAATCTTCTCCTAATAAACACGTTTTTGTGTGCAGTTTTGGCTCACACACAAATTTTTTGCAAGCAATTTCCGCTGACAGAATGCATCTTTGTATACAATTTTCACACTTTACCCTAGTATATGCAATTGTGAACTCATTACTTGGCTGGAGAATTGCAGTGCAAAATATAAAGGAGTGCGAATTTTGAAGGATGTTTTTTGGTTTGCACATTGCTTTGAAAAGTGAGGATTTTCTGGGTTTGCCTTTAAATACAAACTGAATAGAATTTTCTTCCCTCATCCCTAAGACTGGGCTCGATGGACAAACAGTCTGGTCTGGCATAAGCCACCTTTCTAGGTTCCTAGGTTCCTCCCACTGTGCAATCACAGCCTCCGCAAAGGGAAACCAATTCCCAAGCAAGCTTCCTAAAAGCTTTCTGGTTCCAGAGTGTCTAACTGTGATGTTTTGAACCTTCCAGTGTCTCGGTTGTGAAGATGAAGCTGCTGCTGTTTTCCGCTTTCCTCTCCCTCACAGTAACACTTGCATTGTGTGGAATCAAAGGTTTGCAAGAGCATTTTGAACAACTCGGCGTTCAGTCTCTCAGTCCTCGTGGGCTCCACAACAATGGGACTCTTAGCGTGGCCAATCTCTCGCCCGAGTTTCACCAGGAGAATACGGTGACCAATGACTTGAGCACTGAAGGTGAGGAAGAGGAAGACTATCTTGACTTTGAAACTTTGTTCAGGGAAGATTACGACGATGTTGACATCATTGATCCAGATATCACCTCTGAGTTCAAGCAAGGGAATATTCTTAAACTTTTCCAAGGGAAAACCAGAATCCAGCGCCTCAATATCCTCAATGCAAACTTTGCCTTCAACCTTTACCGGAGTCTGAAGGACAAAGCCAACTCCTCAGAGAACATCCTTTTGGCTCCAGTTGGAATTTCCACAGCCATGGCTATGATTTCATTGGGACTGAAAGGTCAGACGCAGGAGGAAGTGTTGGATTCCCTTGGCTTCACCGAGTTTGTCAATGCCAGCTCCAAATATGACATTACGACCATTCACAACCTTTTTCAGAAACTCACTCACCGGCTCTTCAGGAGGAATTTTGGCTACACACTCAGGTCAGTCAATGACCTTTATATCCAGAAACAATTCCCTGTCCTCAGTGAATTCAAAAGCAACATGAAGAAGCACTATTTTGCTGAGGCTCAACTGGCCGACTTCTCAGATCCAACTTTCATCTCGAAAGCCAACCAACGTATTCTGAAGCTCACCAAAGGATTGATAAAGGAAGCTCTGGTGAACATACCCCCAACCACCATCATGATGGTCCTCAACTGCTTGTACTTTAAAGGTAAAGAAACAAAATGAAGCAATGGCGATTTCACCCACGTACAAATGCATAAACTAAGAGATTACCAAACAGAATCCTAGCAACTACCGTATTTTTCGCTCTATAAGACGCACCAGACCATAAGACGCACCTAGTTTTTGGAGGAGGAAAACAAGAAAAAAATATATTCTGAATCCCAGAAGCTAGAACAGCAAGAGGGAGCAGTGCGCAGAGATCCCTCTTGCTGTTCTGGCTTCTGGGATAGCTGTGCAGCCTGCATTCGCTCCATAAGACGCACACACATTTCCCCTTACTTTTTAGAGCGAAAAATACGGTACATAAAAAAGAGTGACTAGACAAGTGATCAGCCTTGGTTTTACAAACTGCAATCCTCTTCTTTTTAAAAACAGGCAACTGTCGATATTAAATGCAGCATTTCAGCCAGCTTCACAGAAATCTTCTCTTAAAACATATCAAGGACATAAACAATCAAAGGTTACATAAGGTTAAAATGACCAAATACAGCTGCTGTTTCACTGCTCTGATACTGGCACACATTCCAAACGCTAAATGAACTGCCACATATTTTACTTTTTGTATTTCATTGCCATTTAACTCCAACTTTTAGCACAACCCCCATCCTCCCCACATGCATATATACTGAGGATTACACTTCATATATCTGATGAAGCGGACTACTCTAGTCCACAAAAGCTTATGCCATAATAGTTTTCTTCTTCTTCAAAGTGCCAAAATATACTTAGCTGCTTTTGCTGCAGCAAACTAACACAGTTACCCTCTCTGGAAATTAGCTGCTTATGACTCCACCTTTGATATAACCAGCAGTGTGTGCAGTTTACTCATTCAGCTGCATTCATCGATCATGAGCAACTATGAGTGGTATCCTCCAGAATACATTTGTTAAAAGGTAAAGGGACCCCTGACCATTAGGTCCAGTCGTGGCCGACTCTGGGGTTGCGGCACTCATCTCGCTTTATTGGCCAAGGAAGCCGGCGTACAGCTTCCGGGTCATGTGGCCAGCATGACTAAACCGTTTCTGGCGAACCAGAGCAGCACACAGAAACGCCGTTTACCTTCCCGCCGGAGCAGTACCTATTTATCTACTTGCACTTGATGTGCTTTTGAACTGCTAGGTTGGCAAGAGCAGGGACCGAGCAACGGGAGCTCACCCCACCACGGGGATTCGATCCGCCAACCTTCTGATCAGCAAGTCCTAGGCTCTGTGGTTTAACCCACAGCGCCACCCACGTCCCAATACATTTGATACCAAGTGCTTAAAGCAAAGGAGCTGGCTGTTCTTTTAAAAAAGGAGGAGCTAATAAACATCAATTTGTCAGAACTATATCTTAAAAGCCCTCCTAGACCAGATCTTGTGAGCCAAACAGACAAACATGCCTGCTCCCAGTAAGGAGTCCACACCCCTTTTGTCAAGAGTCAGGTTGACTTAGTGTGTCATCTAAACCTAGATTGTGGTTAAGATCAATCCTTAGCTACAGATCATGGTTAAGGAGTAGAGAGACCTTAGGTACAATTCAGAGTTTGGACAACGTCCTAAGCCAAGCCTATCATGCCATGCTGTGCTGAAGGACCAGGGATGAAGCAGTGCAGTCCTGGTTAGCCATCGTTTGGGCTCACTGTGATGTGTGAATGAGGCCTTCACCACAGTGGTGATCAGAATGGTGGACAGGATGGGCATTTAGGCCTTGTTCACACATCACAGTGAAACAAACTATGGTTTACCAGTTGTCGCTCTCCAGAAACTCCAACTGTGTCTGAGCCTGCAGGCGAGACATAATAATCCCTGCTTCAATTGTCCTCCATGTGTTGAAGTCTTCATTAAACATGTTAATTAGAAAAAGTGTGCCGCCTCTTAAAATGCATAGCGGCCTTCCTTGGATGTGCCAAAGCTGTATGAAAGATGCTTTCGGCTTATATTTTTATATTCAGAAATACCTGAATTATGCCGAACCGTAACTCTTTTCCTTCCTAAGCTACATTTTATGTATTAAGTTTTCTTCTGTGTTGACAGGAACCTGGGAAAATAAGTTTCCCGTGGAAATGACACGCAAACACACATTCCGCTTGAACGAGAAAGAGACTGTGAAAGTTTCCATGATGCAGACGAAGGCCAATTTCCTGGCCACTGTAGACCACGAGCTAGATTGCGGGGTGCTCCAGTTGCCGTACGTGGGCAACATCAGCATGTTGATTGTACTGCCCTATAAGCCGTCGAGCATGAGAACACTAGAGAAGCAACTGACTCCTCAGCTCGTTGAGAAGTGGCAGGAGAGCATGACTAACAGGTACTTCCTTTACTCAGGGTTTTGTTTCTTTCCTAATGATCTTTCACTGCATGATATGAAGAAGAGTTTGGATTTGATATCCCGCTTTATCACTCCCCTTCAGGAGTCTCAAAGCGGCTAACATTCTCCTTTCCCTTCTTCCTCCCCCACAACAAACACTCTGTGAGGTGAGTGGGGCTGAGAGACTTCAGAGAAGTGTGACTGGCCCAAGGTCACCCAGCAGCTGCATGTGGAGGAGCGGAGACGCGAACCCGGTTCCCCAGATTACGAGTCTATCGCTCTTAACCACTACACCACACTGGCTCCCATGAATAGCCTATGTGTTATTTGATGCACATCACTGCATCAAACCGTCCAACGCCGTCGTAGCCAAACTGCTGTAACTGGGTTGTATCCAATGTTCAACTTATGCAGAGCAGGCCCATCGAAAATAATGGACATGGCTAACCAGGTATTTTAATTTCAGTGGGTCTACTCTGAGTAAGTTGAACACTAGATACAACCAGTGGATCTACTCTGAGTTTAACTTAGCTCAATAACTTAGCATAGGCTTCGTCGACCTCTGCCCTCCAGATGTTTTTGGCCTACAACTCCCATGATCCCTAGCTAGCAGGACCAGTGGTCAGGGATGATGGGAACTGTTGTCTCAAAACATCTGGAGGGCTGAGGTTGAGGAAGCGTGACATAGCACAACTAAACTCAAGTGGAATATGATCTCAAATGGGGTGGGGGGAAAGAGCAGGAAATTAGGAAGAGCTTCCAATTCCTTGGTCCTGCTCAAGAGTTCAAAAACACCCTTCTGTCCTTATCCATCTAGCCAACAGACTCAATGCTACAGCTCCAAAGGAGATGTTACTAAAAGAGGAGACTAATGTATGCCGAAGAACTAGTCACACTGTGCAAGGCAGGCGTGCTATAGTATAATTTAAACTCTGTGTGACAAGAGGCTCCAACACTGTGTAACATGGATTAAGAACTGTTCTGCACCCTTGGCTTGAGTCAATTAAGGCCTGTGACGTTGTTTTGTTCTCCCTAGAACAAGAGAAATAATGCTACCTAAATTTAAGCTGGAGAAGAGCTATGACTTGATTGAGTATCTGAAAAAACTGGGAGTAAATGAGCTATTCACCCAAAATGGCAACTATTCTGGGATATCGGAAGAGAGAATCAACATTGAGAAGGTAACTAGCTTTGGCACAACCTGATCATCCTCTCAAGGACGGCATTGCATAACAGACAAAATAAAGCACATTGGAGCAAAACCATCAGCACCTCTCTCTTTGCTCTATTGCTTCAGAGTGAGCCCAGAGGAAAAGTTATTTACGCAGGTAAAGAGAAATTGTTTGGCTCCTCTCACCTGCATCTTCCCTTTTATGCAAACTTGGGTCCAGTGTTGCCTACGGGACCGCCTCTCCTGGTATGTCCCACGGAGGACATTATGGGCTTCAAACAGAAACATCTTGGAGGTCCCGGGCCACAGAGAGGTTAGGCTGGCCTCAACCAGAGCCAACCTGTGTGGAACGCTCTGTCACAAGAGACCAGGGCCCTGTGGGACCTGACATCTTTCCGCAGGGCCTATAAGACAGAGCTGTTCCACCAGGCCTTTGGCCAGGGCACAGCCTGACCCCCTCCTTTGGCAATCCTCACAGAACTCTAGCCCAATGGTTGTCATTAATCTGATTTGAACTGATTTTATAAAGAAATGATTTTATAATGTTGTATCATTTTACTGTTGTTAGCCGCTCTGAGCCCGGCTTCGGCTGGGGAGGGCGGGATATAAATAAAATTTTATTATTATTATTATTATTACTCAAGAAACCAGAAAAAGTGCAGTTCTAAAAAGTTCAGTCTGCCATCTTGATTCAAAATGGCATTCAACTACACCCAAACATGGATGAAAACCTGCTCCTTCATTTCAGAAACCATCATACAAAATGTGGTTAGGGTATCTTAAGAGGTGTTCAAATGCAAAGCGAGCAAACAGCTTTCCAAAATATTTCTGGTTGTATCCAGCGTGAGTCACACTCAGGATGGACCTATTGAAATGAATGGGCATGGCTAACTTGGGCCCATTCATCTGAGTGGGTCTATTCAGAGCAAAGGTCAGCTGGATACAATACAGAGTAGATAAAGTATTAATGACTGATTTTGTTGCAGGTGTTCCCTGTGTCTAAATGAAGGCATTGTCCAAGCGCATAGCCAACAAACAAACAAACCTTCCAAAACATGAGACACCCAGACAACCCTGACTTTATATGTCAGTGGGCAGATACATGAATAGCTGCCTCTTAAGTATCCGGCAGTAGAGAGACTCAGATTTTGGCTGGGTGCTTCCCCTCATATTCACATCTTTGGCACCCAGCAGTCCAGAGTCTCCCTAACACAAAGGAAATCCAATTTTACCCACCCAACAAGATTCCAGAGCACCCCTTCATCAGAAATGTGGTACCAATAAGGTGAGGCAGAAGGCAGGAAAGTACTTGAATGGCAACTCATGCCTTGACCTTTAGGAAGCAGGTGAGCCTAGCAAACAGGTGATGGAAAAGAGATCCTGGAAAGACCTGTCAGCAGAGAATATTGGATAACAGGCAAGAAATCTGATCTAACAAAGCTGTAGCCCTCCAGGTGCTATTCGACTATCACTCCCAGCATCCCTGACCATCGGCCAGGATGGCCAGGGCTGATAGGAGTCCAAAATCTGGAGGATCAGAAATTCTCCGTTCTATTAAAGGCATAAGTTCAAATCAGACCATGTTTAAGGCAACTTGCTGGCCTCTTGGTTATCTGACTGTGGAGAACCATCTTGGGAGCCCTGGCTGCCCAACCATCTGCAATCATTCCAATACGTCAGTTTCTAGTCATGATGGTGCCCAAGACTGCTTGGATTATGACCCATTGTTTTGCAGCAGGCCAAGCTTACCTCCTGCTAAGTTTTTAGAACCCTGCAGGTGTTGGCTGAGAAAGGGGACAACTCAATAACATCCCCAAAGCAGAAGAAATGGAAGCCACAGCAATGACTGAGCTAAAGGTTATAGAGATGGTTTGTGGCTTGGCCAGGCCTTTGTACAGTTAAGGTATTCAAGACATGGTGTTTGGTTTTCTACTGCATAATTTCCCCCTTCTTTTTTTACAGTTCAATCACCAGGGGACAATTACAGTGAATGAAGAAGGCACGGAGGCGGCATCTGTGACCACAGTAGCCTTCATGCCCCTTTCAGCTCAAATTCGCTTCATTATTGACCGCCCTTTTATCTTTCTCATCTATGAGCACCGCACCAACTGCTTGCTTTTCATGGGCCGAGTCGTCAACCCAAACAAGTTGTAAAAGAAGAGGCGAGCTTTCGAGATAGGTACATCTAGGCAACCTTAATGCGTCTTAAATAGAACCATTTTTATATGCCAATTAAGTGTCTGTGTTAGTCGTAAGTGCTATTGCGTGAAAAATGCAAGGCTACCAAATCAAAACCACAGCGATATATTGTTTAATTACAATCTGTAAGGGAAAATATTGCTGCAAAGTACTAAAAACACCCTGTTCTATTTCATCCCAAGCTACCTGGAGGTCAGAGGCATTCTCTTTGCACCTTGGAGAACATTTTCATGCCGCCTGAAGGGTGAATAAAAATTGGCTCCACTGAGCTTCAAAAAGTCAGATTATTAACAGAAGCAGCTTTTCAGTTTCTAAAAATGGATGCTGTCTATGTTCTTCCCAGTTGGCCAAAGAGATTTTAAACTTTAATTATAAAAGAACCATTGATGTTTGACAAGAGCAATACAAAATACTCATCAGGAATCTTGAACTGGGTTTCATTTGAAACTTGGTGAAACAGAAGGATGCTACATGAATTCTTTGTGGGTGAGGAGAGAGAATGTGCAAAGACCTAGGGGGAAACATGATTCCTCATCAGCTTGACTGATGAAAATGCAGAGAGTGGAAGCTGTCCATATACCATCGGGAAGGTCTAACAGCGTAAAGAGAAGAAAAAGTCTTACACTTATGGATGTTGGGATCCAAGACTGAGAGGTGGTAACCCTGAACAAAATATTACAAAATTAAATGTAGCAATAATGGAAGAAAGAAATGTAAAATAGTCGCATCCAGATGAACACAGCAAGCTCCCTTAAACCCAGTTGGTTCATCTAGCCTAGAATTACCTGTTCTTAACTAGTATTGTCTTCCCTAAGACAGCCATGGAGAACCTCTGTCTGTCCATATCTTGCTGAACCACAACTCCCATAAACCCTGGCAATTGACCACACTTACGGAGGCTGATGGGAGTTGTAGTTCAGCAGCTTTTGGAGGGCCAAAGGTTTCCCACGCCTCCCCTAAGTTCTCAAACAGAGAAGGAACTGCTGCTCAGAATGCTTTTGAAGTGGCTATGGCAGGGATTTAACATGGGGCCTTCTGCAAGCCATGCAGGTGTTCTACTACTAATACTCCTCTCCTATTAATGTCAGTTTAGGGCTGAACAGAAAGAGCATGAACTCAGCTGCATTATTTGAGGAATCCATATAGGGCAAACAGTATCGTTTTGCAAGAACACAAACACTTACTTTCACTCTGTAACTACGCTACCTGTCTGAAGCAAGAACAAATCTGCACTTTGAACAGCATAGTTGTTGTACTGACATTTATGCAACCCAGAGAGGTCCAAACTAAAGTACAAGCAATCATGTACACATGCAGAGATTGTTCCTATATTATTTTTTAAAGAAGTGTACCCTGGAGTTATGAGAAGGCTTGATATAAAAAAGTTTCCATTATCTCCGAGAGTATCAACATAATTAGAAAGTTATTTCATATTTAATAAAAGGTTGTGCTGAAATCCTGAATTTGGATGCTGCATGCAGTTTTATTTCCTTTGCCACCAGTGTAAGGTGACTTTTGTACAAGAAAATTCAAGCACCAGCCATTTAAATATAAGCACATTGCCCCACACATGTCAAGTTAAACATGTGCTTTAATCTGTCCCACTGAAACCACTGAGGTTTAGAAGCTCTACAAGCTATGTTTGTGTGTGCACAAGTTATTATTTTCTTTTCTTGCCTGCTTTTCGATATGCCTGTCTTTATTCAAAGCAAAGATGGTACATGGAAATTTTCAACACTATTGCAGCAACCCAAAGTACCACCTAGAACGATTCTTCCCCCAAAGGCAGGATTTATATAGAAGTTCTGGATGGCTACAAACTCTGATTTGAGTCCAAAAGAGCCCTTGGCTCAAGGGGAGACCCCAATTTTCACTGGTTCTATTCCCCAGCTGCAGCCACAAAAACCACATTCTAAAGGGCTCAGTTTGGGGCAGCAATTTGGGCAGGTACCAGCAAGAAAGAGGACGGGGGGAGGAAACCCATCCTGGAAACAGCTGAAAGCCCTATAAGCAAGTACAGTCACACCTCGGAAGTTGAACACGTTGTGGCTCATGTTTTGGCTCCCGAATGCCGCAAACCCAGAAGTGAGTGTTCCGGTTTGCGAACGTTCTTTGGAACCCGAATGTCCAACGTGGCTTCCATGGCTTCTGATTGGCTGCTGCAGGAGTTTCCTGCAGCCAATCGGAAGCCGCGCCTTGGTTTCCGAACGTTTTGGAAGTCGAACGGACTTCCGGAACGGATTCCATTCGACTTCCGAGGTACGGCTGTACTCATTTCAAAAAAGATTTCACTGTAATCCGAGAAAATGTTTAATAAAAACAATTTTTAAAAAGCATTTAATACATGAAATTTCTGTATCAAAGTAATTTCTATATTTGAGGGTGGGGGAGAATGTGTACCAACTGCACACAAAGATCTGTGTAAATAAGTTTCTATTTTGTTGCATGTGCTAATCAGCTCCCAAACATATTCCTGCATCAAGAGATGAGTTCATACGTTCGTCAGAAGAAGACTACATGCTTCCCCATCCCCTTTTGCATAAATCATCTCCCTGCTGGAAAAGCAAGAAGACCTGCAACAAAATGGTGCAGCACAGAGCGCTTGAATTCTGTGTTCCAGGCCACAAGCCATGCCATCTTTTAGGGCACTCTATTGCAATCTCCTATGGTTCACCCCATGGGTGGCACTGTGGGTTAAACCACAGAGCCTAGGACTTGCCGATCAGAAGGTTGGCGGTTCGAATCCCCGCGATGGGGTGAGCTCCCGTTGCTCAGTCCCTGCTCCTGCCAACCTAGCAGTTCAAAAGCACGTCAAAGTGTAAGTAGATAAATAGGTACCGCTCCGGCGGGAAGGTAAACGGCGTTTATGTGCGCTGCTCTGGTTCGCCAGAAGCGGCTTAGTCATGCTGGCCACGTGACCCGGAAGCTGTACGCCGGCTCCCTCGGCCAATAAAGCGAGATGCGCGCCGCAACCCCAGAGTCGGTCACGACTGGACCTAATGGTCAGGGGTCCCTTTACCTTTATTCCAATCTCCTATGGTTCACCCACTGCTCCAGACACACTGGATTTTGCAGCCACTGTGTCATCACTGAGCTGCTTTGGGTGTCCCCCCCCCCAAAAAAATTCTAGCATTCCTCCCAAGAATGCAGATACCATTTTGTCTTATTTCTCACTGGCCCTACAACAATCATACCTCAGTGCCTGAGCTGGGTTTTAGCATGTACAGTGGTGCCCCGCAAGACGAATGCCTCGCAAGACGGAAAACCCGCTAGACGAAAGGGTTTTCCGTTTTGGAGGTGCTTCGCAAAACGAATTTCCTATGTGCTTGCTTCGCAAGACGAAAATGTCTTGCGAGTTCCTGCAGGGTTTTTCCCCCCCCCTTTTTCCCAAGCTGCTAAACCGCTTATCAGCTGATCTTTAAGCCGCTTAACAGCTGATGCTAAGCCGCTTATCAACTGATCTTTAAGCCGCTTAACAGCTGATGCTAAGCCGCTTATCAGCTGATCTTTAAGCCGTGTTAAGCCGCTTATCAACTGATCTTTAAGCCGCTTAACAGCTGATGCTAAGCCGCTTATCAGCTGATCTTTAAGCCGCTAACAGCTGATACTAAGCCGCTTATCAGCTAATACTGTAGCGCTAAGCGCTAAACCTCTAATGGGCTTGCTTCGCAAGACGAAAAAATCCGCAAGACGAAGAGACTCGCGGAACGGATTCTTTTCGTCTTGCGAGGCACCACTGTATCAAGAACGGGGAAGCTGTGGTCCTCCAGATGTTACGGCCAAGGAGGAAATGAGGTGTGGTTCCGCAACATCTGGAGGGCCACAGGTTCCCCTTGCCAGGTATATACGATGTTGCGTATCAAGTGGCCATTTTGAAGAGCACTCCTCGCCCTCTTTCCGGAAACAGATCAATTCCGAGCTAGCAACCTTTTAAAAAAGGCTAAGCAGAAAAGCACTTGCAGTAGGAGCTGGGAACTCTTGATCACCACAAATTGTGCAAGAAAACTAAATATTTGGTTTACAGGCCCTCAATGTAACCATTAACTTCTGTTAGGGCTCATAACGGTATTTACAGAGAGCTTAATGGTTGAAAAAATGCAGATTAGGGGGGTCTCAGATCAAACACCATAATGGCCTTGAAGTATATATTTTGAAGTCTTTAGTGTAAACAACGTTTTTTTTTCCTGAGGAGGAATTGGTCTTGGCTTGTAGATAGAGAAATTACTGCTTTTCAGAATTCTCGCTGTCTATAAACCAGCCTGAATAAAAAGTTCTCTGTCACACAGGAACAAATACAGAGCTAGGCAGGGCTTTTATTTTTACACAACTGCATGCCTCTTCCTATGTATAAAAAAGGCTTGCATCCAGTATTTGTCTCAGGACACAGAATACCAACCACCCCGTTCCACACACCTGTCCCAAGTTTCTCCCCAAGAACCAGGAAGCATTCCACACCCACTGAGAATTCTCACTCCTCACTGGGCTGCTTTTCGGAAAGTTCTACCCTCAGAGATTTTTTTTTCCTCCTAAAGGGTTTTTTTTTTGTACTCCCCAAGGCTGCTGGTACCTCCCCTCTTGTGAATGCTATGTGATCATATTGATAAGAACGTTCACCCATCTTTAACGCTATTGCTATTATTGTGAGCCATTTTGAGCTCAACATTGCTGTTGGAAAAGTGGAATACAAATATGAAATCAAATCAGATGGGTGGCTCCCTTTTGGCAACACAGGCAATAACACTCACCGTCTCAACTTTGGAAATACAGTGGTACCTCAGGTTAAGTACTTAATTCGTTCCGGAGGTCCGTTCTTAACCTGAAACTGTTCTTAACCTGAAGCACCACTTTAGCTAATGGGGCCTCCTGCTGCTGCTGCACCGCCAGAGCACAATTTCTGTTCTCATCCTGAAGCAAAGTTCTTAACCTGAGGTAATATTTCTGGGTTAGCGGAGTCTGTAACCTGAAGCATATGTAACCAGAGGTACCACTGTAGAAGGAATGATTCTAAACCAACTAGGTTTTGCGGCAACTTAAATTGGGTCCAATTCCCATCAGCTCCGGTTAGCAAGGTGAGTGGTCACGAATGATGGGAGATGTAGCCCAGCAAGATCTAGGGAACCACAGCTTCCCCACCCATCTTAAAGGCTAACAAACCCATTATAGCATAAGTTTTTGTGGACTGCAATACACTACATCAGATGCATGAGTATACACACACACACACACACACACACACACACACACACAGTCGTACCTTGGAAGTCGAATGGAATCCATTCCGGAAGTCCATTTGACTTCCAAAATGTTCAAAAACCAAGATGTTGCTTCTGATTGGCTACAGGAAGCTCCTGCAGCCAATCGGAAGCTGCAGAAGCCACGTCGGACGTTCGGGTTCCAAAGAAAGTTCGCAAACCGGAACACTCACTTCCAGGTTTGCGACATTCGGGAGCCAAAACGTCCGATAACTAAGCTGTTCGAAAACCAAGGTATGACTGTATACACACACAAACAGGGGAAGAATGGTAAACAATGACTTTAGAAGGAAATGAAATGCAGAAAGTATGAATGGGAACAATTATATTATTAACAGTGAAAATTAAAAAAACACACCTATTGATAACACAGATATTCTGGCATTGGTGAGCCAGCGCATACACACCCCAAAAAAACTTTATATTTTTTTCAGTTCACCAGAGAGAACTATATTAAACAGTTTCACAAGTTTCAATGAAATCATGTTCATAAACAGATGATCACTGTCTTGTACTTTTAGCAAGGGGTGGGGGGAGGAGAGTCAATCATTGTTTTACATATTTCTCCATTCAGATTTTCCCAAAATATCCAGCTTCCAAGCAATGCCCTGCTCCAAAAAGCAAATGACCTGGGTTTAAAACACTCACCACAGCAATAACAGGAATCAGAACTCCCAGGTTCCCTGCACTGCTAGATGCCTAAGGAAGAAAAAAAGAAAGAAAGGGGGGGGAGAGGAAGAGATGTCAGAAAAGCTGCAGGGGGGAAAATAGAAATTCCCATAACAATGATAGAAAAGCAACTGCAAGGTCATGAGTAGAGGCTGGCACATGGGCATTCACGGAAGCCGCTGGCTGCTCAATCAGATCTCATTTCCCCTTGTAATGAAATTAGTTACTGGTAGTAAGATCTGTTTAAGCTGCTTTAGCTTCTAAAGCAAACAAAATGGCTTGACCCAGTAAAACAGCATGCCTATGGTTAATGAGACAGCTCTGTCCCAATTAAGAGCATACAAGACAGCCTACACCAAGTCAGCCCAGTACTGTACGGCCGATTCTGACTGCGTTTAGAGCTAATAGCTTCTATTCTGAACAGCTGCAAGAAGCTTCATTTCGCGTCCTACCTTTAGCGCTGGGCCTTTTTCACTTGCCCTCTCACTGGCTCTCTTCCCTTCGAGCCCGAGTTGTACGAACAGTTCCAGCAAGTTCATCAGCAATTCGTCCACAAGGTGTTCATCTTGGATGTTTGCAGCTATGTTTGCGAGGGCATTAATAACAGCCAAGGAACAGTGCCTGGCGGGAAGGGGGGTGACAGAAAAAGGCAGAATCAGTAAGAGAATCAGCCCTTTGATTAAATACAGTGGTACCTAGGGTTACATATGCTTCAGGTTACAGACTCCGCTAACCCAGAAATATTACCTCGGGTTAAGAACTTTGCTTCAGGTTGAGAAGAGAAATTGTGCTCCGGCGGCGCGGCAGCAGCAGGAGCCCCCATTAGCTAAAGTGGTGCTTCAGGTTAAGAACAGTTTCAGGTTAAGTACGGACCTCCGGAACGAATTAAGTACTTAACCCGAGGTACCACTGTAGTTCCCATTTTCATCCACAGCAGAAGTGGGAAGAGACAGAGCTCAAGGAAAGCGCTGAGCTAGATGTTCTAATGTTTTAGATGTTATTTTTAATTACCGTATTTTTCGTCCCATAGGACGCTCTGTCCCATAGGACGCACCTAGTTTTTTGGGGGGGAAATAAAGCTGTCCCCCAAGCTTGTGGGGCTGGTGCTGGGGAGAAGCGCGCTTCTCCCCAGCGCCAGCCTCCAAACCAGGTCGAGGAACAGCGGGATGGCTCCCCACGCTGCAGATGTCTGCCCGGCGCGCAGGGTGCTCTGCTTTAGGGCGCCCCGCACGTTGGGCGGCAGGCTGCTATCCGCAGCCTAGGGAGCCCTGCGGGAACTCCCGCGGGCTCCTCAGGCTTGCTGATAGCTTCCTGAAGCCTGGAGAGCGAGAGGGGTCGGTGCGCACCGACCCCTCTTGCTCTCCAAGCTTCAGCGAAAGTCTGTATTCACCCCATAGGACGCACACAGATTTCCCCTTCATTTTTGGAGGGGGAAAAGTGTGTCCTATAGGGCGAAAAATACGGTATACTGTTTTAACTTTTTGTGTTTGTTGCCCTTGGTCCTTTGGGAGGAAGGACAGGCTATAATAAATTTGGACTCATAAGTAAATTATAATAAACAAACAATAATGTTGTAAGAATGAACCATAAGAATACTGTGTATTCACAGATCAGCTAGAATCTGATGCCTTGCCGCAGGGTTAGCCAACATGATGACCTCCAGATGCTCCTGGACTACAATTCCCATGATCCCTGGCTACGGACCATGCTGGCTGAGGCTAATGGGAGTTGTAGTCCAACAACATCTGGAAGGCACCGTATTGGATAAACCTGCTTTACCACATAAAAGTTGCATCCGACTAAGTTATACTTGGTGTGGAACCGTTAAAATTAATCAATCTCAGTCACATCCATTAATCTCAGTGGTCTCCTCTGAGTAGGACTAATAGACGTGTCAGCTGCTAGATAGGAAAATTAAACACCAATGCCTTTGGGAGGAATCCACAGACTTTAATGAGACAATAATGCTTTCTTTTTAAAAAAAAAAAATTCCAATGAGCCAGCAAGCATAATAAAGATTACCTATATCCATGATCCTTGTAGTCTTTCGTCGCAGAGTATACAATTGAGCTAGCTTTAACACTGATCTGCTGAAACAGATTCCATACCTCCTGGTAAATATATTGCTGAATGGAAATAAAACGATAAAATTAGCACCAAGTACAGAAACCTACAAGAATAAAAACCGAAAACCTTCACAAACAGAAAGGCAAATAACTTTGGCACAACTAATTCATTTTGAACACTGTATCAAAACACACAGAGAGAGCACTCAGAGGAAACACAAGGTTGTGGGCCAGAGTATGGTCTATTTAATCCCTCATTGCTCTTCACAGAGAGGAGGGACTTGGGGGGATACAGGCCATCAGGTCTGTTCCTAGAGACAAAGGACTCCAAGTCTCCTGCTGCGGCTGGAGCTATTCATGTCCTGAACAGCCAGCGTTCCAAAGACTTTGGGGAGTACAGTGGTGCCTCGCAAGACGAAATTAATCCATTCCGCGACTCTCTTCGTCTTGCGGTTTTTTCGTCTTGCGAAGCACGGCTATTAGCGGCTTAGCGGCTTTAAGAAAAAGGAAACAAACTCGCAAGAACTCGCAAGACGTTTCGTCTTGCGAAGCAAGCCCATAGGGAAATTTGTCTTGCGGAACGACTCAAAAAACGGAAAACTCTTTCGTCTTGCACGTTTTTCGTCTTGCGAGGCATTCGTCTTGCGGGGCACCACTGTACTAGACATTGCATTAGCAAACATGAGAGCTCAACCATGTGTCCGTCAAGACGGTGGGAATAAGAGGTGAACGTACTTGCAGGGAAGCTCACGAGTTCATTGCTTCTCCCTACAAGTGCTGCTCTGCCCCCTGCCCCCCAAAGCCAGGCTCACTTCTACTTTGGCAGCTTAGCTATGGGACTGAACCACTTAAAACCGTTGCAGGGGCAGGGGGATTGCAAGGGGAAATTGGTGTGTAGGGGAAGGAATAAGCACCACTAGAGGGTAAAGGGACCCCTCACCATTAGGTCCAGTCGTGACGAACTCTGGGGTTGTGGCGCTCATCTCGCTTTATTGACCGAGGGAGCCGGCGTACAGCCATGTGGCCAGCATGACTAAGCCACTTCTGGCAAACCAGAGCAGTGCACGGAAATCCGTTTACCTTCCTGCCGGAGCAGTACCTATTTATCTACTTGCACTGACATGCTTTTGAACTGCTAGGTTGGCAGGAGCAGGGACCGAGCAAAGGGAGCTCACCCCATCGCAGAGATTCGAACCGCCGACCTTCTGATCAGCAAGTCCTAGGCTCTGTGGTTTAACCCACAGCGCCACCCGCGTCCCTATAAGCACCACTAATTCCCACCAATTCTCTGCAAGGATTACAAAATAACACAGGCTTTTCCTTGGATCACCTAGCTTCTTTCTCCTGACCCGTTATCTGTCCTTCTGTAGCCTACCCCTGGCACCAATACCCAGGTTCCCATCACCCGTTGCCACCCATCACATGCCCATGTGTGTACAATCAAGGTTCAGAAGGCCTCGCCCAGTACCCAATGGGCCCAACCTGCCAAAACAGGGTAGGGAGACAGCTTACAACTCCCATTCTAATTTTTATCCTTTTTGGCATTTGTATGCTGCCCCATAGAGGGACGTGGGTGGCGCTGTGGGTTAAACCACAGAGCCTAGGACTTGCAGATCAGAAGGTCGGCAGTTTGAATCCCAGCAATGGGGTGAGCTCCCTTTGCTCGGTCCCTGTTCCTGCCAACCTAGCAGTTCGAAAGCACATCAAAGTGCAAGTAGATAAATAGGTACCACTCCGGCGGGAATGTAAACAGCGTTTCCGTGCGCTGCTCTGGTTTGCCAGAAGCGGCTTAGTCATGCTGGCCACATGACCCGGAAGCTGTACGCCGGCTCCCTTGGCCAATAAAGCGAGATGAGTGCCGCAACCCCAGAGTCGGCCACGACTGGACCTAATGGTAAGGGGTCCCTTTACCTTTATTTTTTTATGCTACCCCATAACATAAAATGTTCTCTGGGTGGCTTGCAGTAAGTAAGTAAAACACAATTTACATTAATTAATGAACTGATTTCATAAAATTTAGGCACCTCTTGACTGTAAGAGAACTCACAAGTGGTTTACAAAAAGATAAATACAAAACGGGACATAAAATCAAAAGCTACATAAAAACATAGTTCTAATCCGAAAAGACCCATTGAAATTAATGAACCTTACTATCTTAGGTCTGTTAATTTCAATTGGTCTACACTGACTAGGAGTTAGTTGGATATGACTCCCTTTTACAATATCTCTGGTGGGTGAGAAGAGAGATCATGTTCAGAAAGAAGCTACACAGACAAAGCACACAAAATATACGCAGCTGCAGCATTTGTAAAACAGGGTTTTGTGAGCTTTTAGTCACAAAGGACATTGCACCCCCAGGGCAACAGACTACAGGCTCTGTCACGCTTTTGCAATTTTCGGGTGTGATTCAGTCACCCACTAGCAAATTCAGGTTGTGCAATTATAGTGGATCTGGTGCTCTTGAACAGCAAACTCACTTCCCCCCCAAAAAGATGCACTGGAGAGGGTGTGGTAACACTGGTTTTGATGCAACATCATCTAATCTCCCCACAAATGTGAACGAATGCTCCTTAAATAGCCAACGTCATCTAGTCTCCTTGCAAATAAATCGGGATGAATGCTCAACCAACAGGCTACCCAGAAGCATCCATGCATCAGCTGCCATTGACAGCTCCCCAGCCAGTTCGTATCTTCTTACATTTCCAGTGATAACTAAGCATCCCAGTTGGTCAATGATGAGCACATCGAGAGGAGAAGGTGGCTGGCAGAACTTCTGCTGCAGGATCTGAAGAATCGGCTCCATCACCTTTGGCGTGTCCCTCAGGGCTACTGCAATGTGCCCCAATGCACGTATTGTGTGGTCTGGAATCAGATGGGCCTCCCTAAAACATACCAATAAAAAATGTGTTTGCATCACTGTAAGAAATGCATGTCTCCTCCCCCTACTGGTGATCTAAAGAGGCAAATTAAGGGAGAAAAAAATAAATGCCTAACGATGAAGTTATTATGCCTGACGTGCACAAGTTGCAGATCTCTTGCAGAAGCTCGTAAGATGTGCCAGATTCAGTTCATCAGGCTTTACAAAGACACAGGCACATGTGTAAGAAATTTCTGCACCTTTTAAGGCAATGCTAGGGGAAAGGAGTAGCCAAATTGCACAAAAACAACTTACTTGTCACTCTCCTGCGAGATGTACAGGCGGTTTGACAAACTAGCTAAGAAGGCTTCAACAATTACCGAGTCTATCGTCAGCCCAGCTTTCAGACACCTGCAAGAAGCGGTGAACATAAGCCAGAATGTATTTGGGGTGTAATAAAACAGAAAAGTGGACCCCATTTAACGCCAAAGTCTGGCCCCCTCCCCGCAAATTAGCAGGCCCAAATAACTCTCTCAAAATCTATACTTCACTTATTATTATTTATTAATTAATTAACAACAACAACAATTTATTATTTATACCCCGCCCATCTGGCTGGGTTTCCCCAGCCACTCTTCACAACAGAATCTGCTTTCTGACCATGTCTGGAAGACAAATCTATGTCTAAAACCCAGTTCATACCTGCAGATGTTATCGATTGCAATATCCCGCAGCTGTTCATACATGGAGGTCTGACTCTTCTTGCCAGACATTACACTTACAGTGGACTCGGCATGCTCATTTGTTATGCTGATCTTGATGTCATTGCCTCCTAACAGAACAACAACAACAACAAAAGGATACGAGAAAATGCTTTAATGGAGCTTTGGTGTGTGTCTGTAGAACGGCGACTTCCGAGTTAATTGTGAAAGGCAGCTATGGATCGAAAGGTTTCCCTAAGCCAGCAGTTCCCAAACTTTTTCCCCCCTCCTTGAAAATGACTGAGCGTCTTGGCAGACCACTGACTGATCTTTCTGCTTGTTGTAGCAACCGTAACGCACTGTGCTAGATGCTGTCAAGTTTCTAATTCTATTTTAATTGCTTCTTATTTTTCTCCTATATCATAGAATTGTAGAGTCGGATGGAGCCACTAGTCATGTAGTCCAACCCTTTGCAATGAAGGAATCTTTTGCTCAACGTGGGGTTTGAACCCACATCCCTGAGATTAAGAGTCTCGTGCTCTATTGACTGAGCTATCCCAGAGGATTGCATATACAGTGGTCCCTCGGGTTACATACGCTTCAGGTTACATATGCTGCAGGTTACAGACTCCGCTAACCCAGAAAGTGCTTCAGGTTAAGAACTTTGCTTCAGGATGAGAACAAAAATCACGCTCCGGCGGCAGTGGGAGGCCCCATTAGCTAAAGTGGTGCTTCAGGTAAAGAACAGTTTCAGGTTAAGTACGGACCTCCGGAACAAATTAAGTACTTAACCCGAGGTACCACTGTATTGTGCTTTATTTTAAGAATATATACAGTGATACCTCGGGATGCGAACGGGATCCATTATAGAGTCCCATTCGCATCCCGAACAGAACGTAAGATGCAACTGCGTGTCTGCGCGGGTCGCGTTTCGCCGCTTCCGCGCATGCGCGTAACGTCATTTTGAACGTCTGCGCATGTGGCGAAACCCAGAAGTAACGTGCTCCATTACTTCCGGGTCGCCACGGAGCGCAACCCAAAAATACTTATCCTGAAGCGTATTTATCCCGAGGTATGACTATATATCAAGGGACGTGGCTAGCGCTGTGGGTTAAACCACAGAGCCTAGGACTTGCCGATCAGAAGGTCGGTGGTTCGAATCCCCGCAACAGGGTGAGCTCCCATTGCTCGGTCCCTGCTCCTGCCAACCTAGCAGTTCAAAAGCACATCAAAGTGCAAGTAGATAAATAGGTACCGCTCCGGCGGGAAGGTAGACGGTGTTTCCGTGCGCTGCTCTGGTTTGCCAGAAGCGGCTTAGTCATGCTGGCCACGTGACCCGGAAGCTGTACGCCGGCTCCCTCGGCCAATAAAGCGAGATGAGGGCCGCAACCCCAGAGTCGGCCACGACTGGACCTAATGGTCAGGGGTCCCTTTACCTTTACCTATGACTGTATATTAAAAGAAGCAATGGAAATACAGTTAAAATTATGACGAATGTTTAATGCAATTCATGTGCGGCCTCCCATCCTCAAACACACATCTATTCCTCTTGCATTGCTGGGGGTTGGACCAGATGATTCTCAGGCTCCCTTCCAATTCTATGATCCAAAAATGGTGGACCACCTGCCACAGACCACAGTTTAGGAGCCCCTGCCCTAAGTACATAGCTCATGTGGCTAGGGATGGGATCCCCACAGTTGCACCCTTAAGGACTTCCCCTGGTGCAACAAAGCCTCTCCACCCCTCTCTCCTGAGCTCACTGTTTCCTTCCCCATGGGGTAGTGAGGGTGGTTCCGTCCACCAAAAGCACGTAGAGCTGAAGGAGGAAGCTGGAAGACCAACATTCCTTCCCACTTCCTCTTTCAGCTGTTATGTGCATCCGAAGGTTCAGACTGGGACTTGAGCAGCTGAACAGAGAGCAGAGCAACCAAGATGGTAGGGTAGGGTATCTGGGAGGGTATCTGGGAGACTGAGGGGAGGAAAATGGAAGAAACAGAGGGTGAGGCAGGGGGAACAGTGAGGAGCTGCAGGAGTCAGGAGGAGAAGAGAATGGAGAGAGAGGGAGGGAGAAAGGGAGAGGCCTAATGAAAAGGATCCTCTTGAAACTGCATGATTGGCGGGGGGGGAGATGTTTTCCCCCCCTCAAACACCAGTAAAAATCACAAATCAGATGCTTTCCAGCACTGCCGTGGCACCAAAAACATCAGAACAGAGCTATGAATCCTCAGGGTTGTGTTTTTTTAAAGAAGGGAGTCCCACAAGCCACTATCAAATCAAAGTGCCTTTGTGCCCACTGATATGTTCAGAGATAGAATAATTACAAATAATTACAAAACCACCAGTCAATGTAAAATTAACCAAGGTCCATGCCTCGGCTCTATGTCTGTGGTGCCAGCAAGCACTGGACCTGTGATTTTTACTTTGTGATCTACCAAATGAAGATTTAACTTCTTTGTGGGGTGTGTTTTTTTGCAGACCCCTTGCAAATTTAAGCAGATGTGCTAATTCTCCTGGATCCAACCTTTATCCAAACCTTACAGAAAAGCCTCTGTGTTAAAAATAAAAATATTTTTCCCAGGGGTGGGGAGAACAGAAACGGTGGTGGTGCCCAGAAAACTCTCTCAGCGTTCCAAATGTTCCCATGGGCTCAAAAAGGTTGGCAACCCTTGGGATAGAGGGTTTTGAAGGAGAACCGAAGGCACTCAAGTTAAAAAATCCCAGCTCAGTCGTGAAGTGGGCCAGCCACCACCTCTCACATTAACTTTTCCCGCATAGTTTCTGCAAGGACAAATGGGAAGAGGGAACGCCATATATGCCGCCAGTTCCGTGAATAAAAGGCAGGATAAAAACGCAGTTAGGATATTCATCAATATAACTTCGACTAGCACTACCAAGACATGTCACAATAAAAAGAGAGGCAGACAGACACAACGAATTAGATCAGCTTATCACAGAAGAGGCCATACAGCGATAAAAAAAAACACCACAATACCAGTATTATATTGGTTGTGGTACTTGTAAAGTTTCACCAGGACTGGAGAAGGGATCACGAGAAAATCTCTCAAGGATGGAGTGACCGAGTGAACCACCACAGGAAAACGCTCACACAAGCGGCCTAGACCCTAAGAGAAAGATATTTGTATTATTTAGTTAATCGTTCAGTTTAGAGTTATTCGTTCAGTTTATATCCCACCCTTCCTCCCAGAGGAGCCCAGCAACAATAATACAGTGGTACCTCGGGTTACATACTCTTCAGGTTACATACGCTTCAGGTTACAGACTCCGCTAACCCAGAAATAGTACCTCGGGTTAAGAACTTTGCTTCAGGATGAGAACAGAAATCGTGCTCCAGCGGCACGGCGGCAGCAGGAGGCCCCATTAGCTAAAGTGGTGCTTCAGGTTAAGAACAGTTTCAGGTTAAGAACGGACCTCCGGAACGAATTAAGTACTTAACCCGAGGTACCACTGTAATTTTAGAATCCTAAGAATGGTCCCCTCAGCTAGTGATTTCGGGGTTGCCATGAACAATATTTTTCACTCAACAAATGCTTGGGTGAACAGGTATTTTCTTTAAAAAATTCATTCTAGAAGTCAATAATGGGGCACCTTGCCGAGGAGGGCACTCCACAAACAGGGCATCACTACCAAGAAGGCCCTGTCACTGGTCGGCACCAAGCAGGCAGCCTGCAGTGGTGGCACACCCAAGGCATCAAATTCTGATAGTAGCATCTAAGATACAGTGCTATCTCGGTACTTGAATGGCTTGGCTCCTGAACAAATGGGCTCCTAAACGCCGCAACCCCGGAAGTGTTCCAGTTTGCGAACATTTTTCAGACGCCGAACATCCAATGCGGTTTCTGCTTGAGTGCAGGAAGCTCCTGCAGCCAATAGGAAGCCGCGCCTTTGTTTTCGAACGGTTTCAGGAGTTGAACGGACTCCCAGAACGGATTATGTTCGAGAACCAAGGTACCACTGTATTGGGGAAGGCACTCTTTTAGGTACCTGGGTCCCAAGCCATTTTGGGTTTCATACGCTAGTACTAACACCTTGAATTATGCCTTGACAGCTCATGGCTTTCATCAAATGCTGTTTAATCGTTAACATTTCTAAGTGGTGTCTAATATTGCACAGCGGAAGGCGGCGTGCAACCATGTGACACTGACAAATGTGTGCAAAATTCCACACATCTTTTCCCTGACCTTAAAAGTGAGGATCACTGCAATGCAGGGGCACTATAAAGATACATCATTATGTACAGAAGAATCTCAGCACAGTACCACCACTGAATAATTTATCTGGGAGGAGTTTGGCTATTGTTGTCTGAACCAGTCCAGTGTCTATACCAGGGATGGGGAACCTAGGACCCTCCAGATGCTGTTGGAAAACAACTCCCATCATCCCTGACCATTGGGGGGTGATGGGAACTGTAGTTTCAGTAACGTGTGGGAGGGCCACAAGTTCCCAATCATGGTAGTGGAAATAGAGCTTACACCACACTTACATAATCATTTCAAAATTACTAGCATACCTGTAAGCAGCAAATCAGAAGAGGCAAGTGAGCAATGATTACTTTGCTGGAAGTCTTGGACTGCAGTTTCTCCGACAGTTTAATGCACAGGTTTTCTGCCCCTTATTTGCAAAAGAACAAAAGGATATAAAAGCATGCTTGGCCATCTAAGAATAGTTTTTTTCTTTTCTTTTCTTTTGACAGTTACGACTTTTATGAAGTCCACATGGAAGAATGAATGATTAATTACTGGCTTTCTCTTGGGGGAAAAGGCCAACTGACTTGCGTGTTTCAAAAGACACCCAAGGAGGCTTTCAGGCAAACTGGGGGAAAGTGCTAGATAATGAATTTTGTGGAAATTTCCCACCAGGCAGTAACGCCCCTCCACCCCCCAAAACTTAGATTAAAAGCTCTTTACAAAATGTCATGCAGGGTTGGGGGGGGTTGCGGGGGGGGGGGGTAAATGCAGCCTACCAAAAATAGCGCAAGCTACTTTGCCAGAAACTTTTAAAATATATTTTTTTAAAAAATATGCTTCAAGACACCTTGCTCATCCTTCACAGCCCACACCATGAGATCCACACAAGCAGCGTTAGCTTGGCAACGTAGCTTCAGAGGGTTCAGCTCATTGTGTAATCTGTCTACGTCGTGAAGGAGTTTCTGGAGCTCCGACTGGCTGCTGTTGAACTGTTCCAGCACAAAATCATGAATTTCCTTCACAAACGAGGTTGGGAGATCTGAAAATGTAAAGAGAGGGGAGGGGGGAGATTAGATTCTTACAGTGGTCACCTCTAAACTGAAAGGAGGAACAAAAGCTAAAAGCTGGTGAAACACGACAGCACTTTTCTAAAACAAACTTATTTCAAAGTGTAAGGCACCAGTCAATTCATAGGCTCGCTACCTAGTCTATTCCTGAGGACTTCAACCATGAGTAGGCAAACTAAGGCCCGGGGGCCGGATCCGGCTGAATTGCCTTCTAAATCCGGCCCGTGGGCAGTCTGGGAATCAGCATGTTTTTACATGAGTAGAATGTGTGCTTTTATTTAAAATGCATCTCTGAGTTATTTGTGGGACATAGGAATTTGTTCATTTCCCCCCAAAAAATATAGTCCAGCCCCCCCCCCCCCAAGATCTGAGGGACAGTGGACTGGCCCCCTGCTGAAAAATTTTACTGACCCCTTACTTAAACTATTCCTTTCTGCACCATCATTCACCCTAAAGACATTTGCATGCTATAAAGCAGCGATTCTCAAGAGTTTTGAAGCCTAAGAAAAATGGAAAGAGAAAAATTGAAGGAATTAGTAGAACAGGGTGGCAAACCTGTAGTCCTCCTAAAATTGTGGACTACAGCTCATATTAGCCCTGACCACTGGCCATGCTGGGAGTGTAACAACATCTAGAATGCCACAACTTCCCTTTCCCTGGGACAGAGATTAGTACTGAATGATGAGGACTGAAGTTAACTGACAAGAAATAGTATAGAGAATAAGAACTAAAGGAAAGGCTTTGTGGAAAAGTGTCTTATTTAAAAGTCTTAAACATAAAGACAAATAAGCATATACACACTTGGAAGGACTACCATAAGGCACCAGAGGTTTTTATATAAAGCAGCAAAGTTATTTTTAGCTTACAGTAATATATTTTGAATGATAGTAATTTAATTTTTAGATATTTAGAGCACTGGAGATACTTGGCTTGGCAGGGCCTGGTTCACACGTCATGCTACATCAAACTATAGTTCATCACAAACTCTGCCTCCTTTGCTTGTTCTGCTCTGCTATGCTAAGCCATGGTTAGGCTCAACATGTAGTCTGAACCTGAACTCATGGCTTAGTTCCTCATTATGTCCAAATTCAGGGAACTAAGGCTTAATTAAACTGTGGTTCAGGACACCAGCTTTATTCTGGCTTTTTCTAACAAACTACATTTGAAACTAAGGGTGGGGAGCATGTGCCCCACCAGATATTGTTGGTCTTCAACTAACAACAGTCCCATATGGCTTAGCTGATGGTCAAGGATGACACAAGCTGGAGTTCAGCAAAATTTGGAGGGCCATATCCACCCTGGTTTAAACAATCCCCAGTTTCCTAAGTTTAGGTATAATAGGAAACTGAAGTTTGTTTAAAAGTTGAACCACAGGTTTTCTGACCTCCTCCTCGCAGCTGCACAAGAAGAAAAGGGAAACTGTGTGAGTCCAGTTCATTCACACAGCTGGTTATATTTAAGCCGGTCCACAATGTCAAGCATGAAACTCATATACTTGCAATTCTCTTTCGTCACCAAGGGTAAAAGCTTATCAATTCAAATATCACCTTTCATATAGTACAACGTGTCTCTCAGCATCTTGAACTGGGCAACATAAAGTGGATCACTGAACATTTTGTAGAACAAATCTGCATGGGGATTTTCCTATAAAATGGAAAGAGAGTTGTAGTTACGTACAGCCAATTTGAAAAATCATCTGGAGAGCAATATTGGAACACCAAAAGCTTTCTTCCAGGATTAATCTCTGTAGAATGATTGAGTTTCCTCTTCCCTCCTCCCTTCATCTTCCTTGAGCTTTTACTGAGCAGCTTAGGGCAAAGACCTGCCCCCACCCCAATTCTTTATAAAGCACCACATATATGGCTGATACCAGTGATTTTTTTCTTTAAAAATGTTTAGGCGTACTCTCATTTTGACTCAAGAAAAATCACCATTTTATGGTTCAAATCAGGGAAAATAAATACAGTAAATGGACAAAAGTACAGAGATTCACAAAATGTTTAGGGGTATGCGTACTCCTGTGTTCCACCACACAAAAAAAGCACCGGCTGATACTATAAATAATTTACAACAATTATACCGTTGAAACATAAGTAAGCCTATGAATGACCATCACATATATTGCTTTCTGAACAGATTTTACTATTTATATATATTAAAAAAGAATTAAATGAGGCATAAATTAATCATGTAACCTATGCTAATCTATAGAGTTCAAACATTACTTCTACATTGCTAATACTATAGATAACCTCAAATTTTTAGAAGTCCCCCCCATATGTTTGTTAATAATATGCGTGGAAAATCCTCAGTAGGCATTAAGCTTTTGATTAAACTCTAAGAACCAGGCCCGTCCAATTCACAATAGCAAGCAGCAAACTAAGTTCTTTTAAAAATAATAATGTGGTGAAGAAGTTAACATACCTCAATAACCTCAGAGACAACGGCATCTAAGTTTCGGAGGACTGAATCCCCAACAATCTGCTTTACCTACATGCACAAAAACAAAGCCAGACATTCTTTCAGTGTTATTAAAAGTGTTTCTTTCTTCAACCCACAAATTAGGCCCTAGCGCATTCTGGCTCAAAGAGGCATGCTTGCAACATTGCTATTTTTTAGACCAGCCTCTGCCAACCTGGTGGGACGCGGGTGGCGCTGTGGGTTAAACCGCAGAGCCTAGGACTTGCCGATCAGAAGGTCAGCGGTTCAAATCCCCACGACGGGGTGAGCTCCCGTGGCTCAGTCCCTGCTCCTGCCAACCTAGCAGTTCGAAAGCATGTCAAAGTGCAAGTAGATAAATAGGTACCGCTCCGGTGGGAAGGTAAATAGCGTTTCCGTGCGCTGTTCTGATTCGCCTGAAGCGGCTTAGTCATGCTGGCCACATGACCCGGAAGCTGTACGTCGGCTCCCTCGGCCAATAAAGCGAGATGAGCGCCCCAACCCCAGAGTCGGTCATGACTGGACCTAATGGTCAGGGGTCCCTTTACCTTTTTACCTGCCAACCTGGCACCTCCAGATGTTTTGAACTACAGCTCCCATCAACCCCAGCCAGCACAGCTGATAGGACCTGTAGTCCCAAACATCCTGGAGGGCAGCAGGCTACTGAAGGCTGGCCTAAGTGCCTCATGACATACCATGTTCAGCAGCTGTCGGAGCATTTCCAGTGGAATGTTAAACTCCTTGTTGCTGATGCCGTTAAAGAGAGGCGAGACCGAGAAGCTGGAACTGATTGTAGAGAAGTAATAATCGGGATCTAACGCACTCCCATCAGGTAGGTAGGACCCTGTTTATTTTTTTTAAAGGTGGAGGGAGAAGAGGCAGAAAACATTGGAGTTATTCTTTAATTACTGCTTTGCCTATGCCGTCTGTAGCCCATTCATCAAAAGAACACAGAAAACAAATCACATTTGAGGCTAAAAAGTCCACAGGGCTATGCTAGTTCCACTGATGTACAGCATTTTCATTGGGGGGAAATGTTATTTATATCCATTCAGGAATAGCTTTCTATAAAACACCTCAAAGAGACTGAATCAAAGCATCAACAATAAAAAATAAATAATTTCATATATGCATGCTATATATATATATATACACACATTCAAAAACAAATTCAGAATACAAAGGAAAAGACGATGAGATGAAGAACACCCTAGACAGTATCTGCATGATCTCTAGCTGTAATGGGGTATTAACAAACTAACTTACTGGCCTTCAACCAGTGCATAGTTTCTAGTCAATTGGGCGCAGGTGGTGCTGTGATCTAAACCACTGAGCCGCTTGGGCTTGCTGATCAAAGGTCAGCAGTTCGAATCCCCACGACGGAGTGAGCTCCCGTTGCTCCGTCCCAGTTCCTGCCAACCTAGCAGCTTGAAAGCACGCCAGTGCAAGTAGATAAATAGGTACCGCTGCAGCGGGGAGGTAAACGGCATTTTCGTGCTCTCTGGTTTCCATCACGGTGTTCCGTTGTGCCAGAAGCGGTTTAGCCTTGATGGCCACATGACCTGGAAAGCTGTCTGTGGGCAAACGCCAGCTCCCTCGGCCTGAAAGCGAGATGAGCACCGCAACCCCATAGTTGCCCTTGACTGGACTTAACTGTCCAGGGGTCATTTACCTTTACCTTTTACCTTTCTAGTCAATTCTAATCTAGAATTTTTTTTGGGGGGGCACCGACACAGCAGTCTCTGTGTGTGTGTGTGTGTGCTGACAGGTGCTAACCTTGAAAAGGCAGGACACGTTAATTGTGGTTTCTCTGCATCAGATGATCATCTTGGAAACTCCATGAAAAATGGAAGTGGAAGCACTGTAAGAGTAGTGGGCCCTCTGTTAGTTTTTAGGCTTTGGGGAAATGCCCAACTTTGCCACTCTCTGGAGCCAGCCCTGGCTTCAGTGGAAGAGTTTAGTGTGCATCCACAGTGGGTTGTATTCCAACCTAAAGAGGCTAATGCCATTCTATGTTTGCTTGGGTTTCTTTTTGAAGTGAAAGAGAGATGCAGATAGACAACAAAAGAGGGAGTAAATAGATGCAAAGAGCACAGAGTTCATTTATCTTTAATAGCTGCACAGAAAAAAAGGATATCAGGTATGGTTTTTTCACCATGGCATGAGAAAACTGCACATTTTTTTATTATTTTGCAACTGTAAAAGGAAATTCAAGATCCCTCCTTTCTCATTAGGCATTTTAGCAAAGCTGAACACAATCTGTTTTTGTTTTAAGATTAGTCTGGTTAATCTTCTAAATTACGTGTTAGCTGGTACAACAAAGCTCTTTGCAGCTAAAAACATGGGAAGCAACAAAAGGTTATAGCCTACCCTTAAAACCAAAAGAATGCTGAGAAAAAGCAGCTCACAGTCCAACCCCATCTTTCCGTACTTAGAAGTCCCGATGATTTCAAGGAAACTTCCTTAGAGGTAAATAAACTTTGGACTGCTGCTGTGCAATCTAAGTCTATGCATGCTTACTTGGAAGTAACTCCCGCTGAATTCACAGGTGCTTCCTCCCAAATAAATGTGTATAGGATTAGTCTAAACACCTGCCTTGCTCCACCCTCTAGTCTCTGCTTCTCAATTTGTATTGTATTATTTTATGTACTGTGGCTTGCCGTTGTTTGATTGATTATAGTTTAGAAATTATTTATTGTAACTGTTGAATGGACTCTGTTTAAGTTTTATATGGTGATATTATTATTATTTTATACTCTCCTAATGATTGTTGAATGTTACTTTTTTGATGTAGGTTGCTTATTTTAAACTTATGTTTTGTGTTGTTTTTATGATGTTAGCCGTTCTGAGCTCGGCCTCGGCCTTGGCCAGGGAGGGCAGGACACAAATAAAATTATTATTATTATTATTATTATTATTATCCCTAACCTAGCAATTCGAATGGACAGTGACGATGGTGAAATTTATTATTATTTATTTATTTTACTACCATCGTATACTACAAGGTCTTGGGGATTTGTATATTACTTTTACTTCTACACTATATAGGCACTGGCTTTCCTCCTGAACACAGTGGTACCTCTGGTTACGTACTTAATTCGTGCCGGAGGTCCGTTCTTAACCTGAAACTGTTCTTAACCTGAAGCACCACTTTAGCTAATGGGGCCTCCCGCTGCTGCCGCGCCACCGGAGCACGATTTCTGTTCTCATCCTGAAGCAAAGTTCTTAACCGGAGGTACTATTTCTGGGTTAGCGGAGTCTGTAACCTGAAGCGTATGTGACCCGAGGTACCACTGTACAGAGAGGGACAAGCTGTTTCAGACACCTCAAATGTATGCCCTCCACCGGCCCAACAGCAGGCTGCACAACTGGGTGCAGGCACCTTAGAATCATAGAATCATAGAGCTGGAAGAGACCACAAGGGCCATCGAGTCCAACCCCCTGCCAAGCAGGAAACACCATCAGAGCACTCCTGACATATGGTTGTCAAGCCTCTGCTTAAAGACCTCCAAAGAAGGAGACTCCACCACACTCCTTGGCAGCAAATTCCACTGTCGAACAGCTCTTACTGTCAGGAAGTTCTTCCTAATGTTTAGGTGGAATCTTCTTTCTTGTAGTTTGCATCCATTGCTCCGTGTCCGCTTCTCTGGAGCAGCAGAAAACAACCTTTCTCCCTCCTCTATGTGACATCCTTTTATATATTTGAACATGGCTATCATATCACCCCTTAACCTCCTCTTCTCCAGGCTAAACATGCCCAGCTCCCTTAGCCGTTCCTCATAAGGCATCGTTTCCAGGCCTTTGACCATTTTGGTTGCCCTCCTCTGGACACGTTCCAGTTCGTCAGTGTCCTTCTTGAACTGTGGTGCCCAGAACTGGACACAGTACTCCAGGTGAGGTCTGACCAGGGCAGAATACAGTGGCACTATTACTTCCCTTGATCTAGATGCTATACTCCTATTGATGCAGCCCTTGTGGGGTTTGCTTATAAATTCCCCACAGCAAACACTGCCACCCCATACCATCCTGCCCATCAGCCAAGATCTTCAGCAGATGCTCTGCCCTGGGCCTCTCCACCTTCAAAGATGACTACTTGAGCTAAGGTGAAATCTTGATAATTAAATTCTCTTCCCAAAGATAAATGGCCTGTCACTGCCATGACCTTTTAGACACCAAGCAAAGCATGACTTGCTATCTCAGGCCTTTAAGAACAATTGACATTGATCTGCTCTTAGCAATTGTTTGCTTATTTTTAGGCTGTGTTATTTATTTGGTTGCTTGCATTTGTTTTATTAACCTCGGTGGTGGGAATCGCCCCTAGAATGTTCACTGCAGGACAACTGTTAAAAGTCATACCATAAATTGGTCAATAGCTCTTATTACGCCTCTATTCCAAATAATTTACACCGAAAAGCAAAAACATACCTTCAAAGTACTGCACAGTAGTGCCTCCAGGGGAACTGGGAGGAGGAATTCCACGTTCAGGACTGCCCTGAAATGTAGCGATGGACACAAAATGTGGTCATGCAAAGGTCACTTTTCATATACAAAAAAAAACCCCTCACATACTATGATTGAAATTTCCAGAAGAGTAGCCATAGCCCAATTTCCTTGAAGCTGATGGGGTTTTGAAAATCTCCAGCAAATCTAAGCATCTCAGGCCTGCATATAAACAAAGATTCCACTCCCTCTGGCTGAGTTTCCCCAGCCACTCTCTATAAGACATCTCTATAAGAGTCTATATAACTTCCATGCTGAACATTAGCTCTGAGACACAGTGGTACTTTGGTTGTCAAACTTAATCCATTCTGGAAGTCCGTTCGACTCCCGGAACCGTTTGAAAACCAAGGCACGGCTTGCGATTGGCTGCAGGAGCTTCCTGTACTCAATTGGAAGCCGCAGAAGTAGTGTCAGATATTTAGCTTCCAAAGAACATTCGAAAACCGGAACACTTCCGGGTTTTCGGCGTTCAGGAGTCAAAGCATACGCGTACCAAGGCGTTCGAGAACCAAGGTATGACTGTACTACCCAATGGTAATTAGAATCTGTGGCCAAACCCACCCCATTGGGATATATAGTAAGTGTTTCATCCCTTAGAAACTTCCAGATGCAAAAAAAAATCTCTGCTTTAATTTCCTCAGCTCTTTCAACACAGAGAGGCTAGGTGGAATTTACAATGAGTTTCTGAGATCACGAAAACATCTGTTTCTGGAGAAGATGCCAATAATGGAAGCTGTCCATCTAGCCCAGGCATAGGCAAACTTGGCCCTCCAGATGTTTTGGGACTACAACTCCCATGATCCCTAGCTAACAGGACCAGTGGTCAGGGATTATGGGAATTGTAGTCCCAAAGCATCTGGAGGGCCAAGTTTGCCTATGCCTGATCTTGTCAACTCTGACTAGCAGTGGTTCTCCTGGCTGGGAGACTTTCCCATCACCTGCCACACTGATCTTTTCCCAACTGGAGATGGCAGGAATTGAGCCTGGGACATTCTGCATGCAAAACATGTGCTCGTTCCATAGGTTCTGGGCCCTCTCTAAATACAAGGCCCATGTTTCATATTACAGTCATACCTTGGGTTACAAACGCTGTGGATTGCGCGTTTTCGGGTTGCAGACAGCGCTGAACCCAGAAGTACCAGAACGGGTTACTTCTGGGTTTCAGCGCTTGCGCATGCGCAGAAGCACAAAATGATGTCATGCACATGCGCAGAAGCGACGAATCACGGCATGTGCGTGTGCAGACGTGGCACTGCAGGTTGCGAACGTGCCTCCTGCCCGGATCACATTCGCAACCCGAGGTATGACTGTACGCCTCTCAAAATAAGAAAACGAAATTCAGTGATATCCTGTATACTAAAAACTAATCCATGGTTCAGAAAAGAGGTGATAGGTTAATTTTATTCCAAAAGCAACTGAACTAACCTGTGTGATGCTGCATACGCTGCTGGTCTTTCTCTTGAGAGATCCTTCTTGGCAGACCGTCAGTAGAGAATGTGGAAGTATCGAGCGGAAGTCATTAAAAGAGCGTCGACGAATACCATCCAACTCATGTGGGGCTCTGAGGGAATGCGGAGTAACTTTAGGGAAAAGCTTTGACAGGAGAGACTCTTCCGAGTTGCTGTAGCGCCCAAACGCTCGTGAAATTCCAATCAGGCATGGCACAGCGTATTTGCATAAATATTCTGGAAAACAAAGTAGTCCATTTATCTTTGGCTTCTACAAGTTTGTTTCTTCCAATTGGAAAATGCAATGTTGGTTTTTAAACAGCATTACCATCACGATGTCCCAAGCTCAGACATCATTGGAAACCATTCTTTTTCCTGCTTTGCAAATGCGTTGCAGGGAGACTCAAATCCCACCATTTATCTCCTTCTTTTGCAGCTGCAAGGAAATCAGAAGCATCTGCTTCTGCCTTCAAGCAAACCACAGCTCTCTGTTACATTTGAACTTATGGTACTGTGGCTTGTTTACATTCTACTTACTGAGAGCAAAATCAGAATCAAACTGGGGTTTCATCATCATCATCACTACTTTATTATTTATACTCCGCCCATCTGGCTGGGTTTCTCCAGCCACCCTGGGCGGCTTACAGAATATATAAAAACATAATACATCAAATGTTAAAAACCTCCCGATACGGGGCTGCCTTCAGGTGTCTTCTAAAAGTTGTGCAATTCTTTATCTCCTTGCCATCTGAAGAGATGCCGTTCCACAGGGAGGGCACCACTACTGAGAAGGCCCCCTGTCTGGTTCCGTTTCAGAACCTGAATTGATTTCACTATGTCAGGCATAGGCAAACTCGGCCCTCCAGATGTTTTGGGACTACAACTCCCATGATCCCTAATTAACAGACCAGTGGTCAGGGATGATGGGAATTGCAAACCCAAAACATTTGGAGGGCCGAGTTTGCCTATGCCCGCACTAAGTAGACTTTGCACAAGCCACAGGAACATTTATTCCAGGGAACTGCAAAGAGAAGATGCTTCTGATCTTTTTCCCATTTCCACGAAAAAGGACAGAGAATGGAGGCATGTAAATCCAAGGTTCAGCTCTGCTCATTTACATAACGGAAAGCCATGGTTTCCAGTTACATCTAAACTGAGCCTACCTATCAGCCTTCTCCAGTCTGGTGCTGGAGTTCAGCTTTTATCTGCCCCAATCAGTATGGCCAAGGGTCAGGGGTGATATAGTCCAAGAAATGTGTCAACCTCAGTTCCTAAGAGCCAAAGAGAAGTCTGATGAGGTGAATAAAGGAGCGTGGTACCGCGGGAAAGAGGAGGAGTAATTTCTGTATTACCGTATTTTTCGCTCTATAAGACGCACCAGACCATAAGATGCACCTAGTTTTTGGAGGAGGAAAACAAGAAAAAAAATATTCTGAATCTCAGAAGCCAGAACAGCAAGAGGGATTGCTGCGCAACGAAAGCAGCGATCCCTCTTGCTGTTCTGGCTTCTAGGATAGCTGTGCAGCCTGCATTCGCTCCTTAAGACGCACACACATTTCCCCTTTCTTTTTAGGAGGGAAAAAGTGAGTCTTATAGAGCAAAAAATACGGTAATTGTACACAGTGGTGAATCCAAGAGACGGAAGAGGGAGGAATCAGGACACAGAAAAATGGAAGAAGCCAATAAGAGGGTGCTGTGATGAACCAGACTCTCAATTTGCAAGAACAAAGGACCACAAGTTCTACTCAGAAATGTTCTGAGGAACCTCAACGGAGCAGGTTTCAGGGGAAATCAGCCCACCGTGAAGTACACCATACAGCATAATGGTAACTAGAGAGTGAGAGCACACAATTGAATTTACATTTGTAATAATAAAAACAGCAGCACCTACTGGAACATTTTCAATACCTTTATCCTGGATTTCTGGGGACTGGCACATTCCCAGGAGGACCTGCATCACTTGCAAAATTGCCTCTAAAATCTGAAATAATCAAAACAGGCATTTTTAAAATCGACAGATGGGATGAATTTCAATCTGCAGTGCAAGAGTATGGCACCTTAAAGGTGCAACACTAAGATAAAGTGGGAATTTTAGCACTGCACTCTATAATTTCAGCCAGGTTTTTTTGGGGAGGCATTAATATTTAAAATTAAGTGCGCAGAATATCCCGAGACAGCATGATTATAGGAAATAACCATTTACAAAACAATTTCCTTTAGACCAAATTTCATTGGTACTCTTTACATGTTAACCAAATGTGTGCAGAGGGAACAGGGTTGTACCAAGCCTAACCCACCAATGTTACCACACCTAGCAGCCCCACTCTTAACCTCTGCATATTTGGCAACAGGTCTGAATGGGAAGCCCACACATGAATAGCTGCGTGCATGAAGGCTCCATTTTCAAAGGATCAAGGGTCATTACATTGGAAGAAGGAACTCTGGGCATGCCCTCCTTCTCCATACTCAGTGAACATGCGAAGGAACACTTCTGAAAGGGGCTCTTATCAGGGACACTTTCCTTAAATATGATAATTCACACCCTTAGCATATATGGGAAATCAATTGCTGCTTGATATACAAGGGGACAAAAAAGTAGATCTTACTGACTCTACTATGATAGGATTCTAGATTCTACTAGATCCTATTTGTCATTTGTGTCAATGAAATCAATGTATGTAAAGTCACCAAAACCGTCTGTAATGGTCTGAGAACTTTGCAATGATCAGCATCATGGCAACTTTTTACAGCATGGTAGAATTATAATATAATATAATATAATAATATAATATAATATATTTATTGTTTATACCCCACCCATCTGGCTGGGTTTCCCCAGCCAGCCTGGACGGCTTCTAACAAAAGATTAAAAATACATTAAAACATCAGTCATTAAAAACTTCCCTAAACAGACTGCTAAAAGGACTGCTGACTTAAAGGAATTGCTAGCAGAAAGGAGAAAGTTTGGTAAACTGTCCGCATTTTAGAAGCCCTCTTATGAGTTGCTCCATATAAGCTTTTAGTGTAATTAATACATTGAAGAATGAGAACATTTAGAAGGATTTGTACTATTAATTCCCTGGCGGGGGGGGGGGCAGAGAAAAAGAAGGAAGACAACTCCTGATTTCATTATTATTTAATAATTTATATATCTGTTCAAATGTCATTACTTAAGCTGCCTTAGTCAATAAATATTTTCAGGGTTTGTTTGTTTTTTTAAAAAAGCTGTTGATACACAAGTTATGGAACTATGATTAATACAGGAAATGTTTATTTTACTACCCAAGACGTGCATGCCCCATTTTCCTGGTGAATTTTACCTGTTCTCTCAGAACAGAATCCCTGTAAGCCACATCTGACAACAAAGTCACCAAACAGAAACTGAAGTTTTCTGGAATCGGAAGCATGCCTACAAGTATGGTAAAGACACATCAAGATTATGACTAGCACACAGCAACAACTGCAATCCATCACAAGTCACAAATTGTTTAAGGTCTAGTTCAGACAAACCATGGTTTACTGGACTGAGAGTTAGTCGTGTGCCCGATCCTCATTCCTGCCCTTGCTAGCACAGCTTTGAAAAAGATACTGTGATTTATTAAACTACATATTCCTATGGGAAACCATAATTTAAGCATGGCTTATAGACCAGAATATCAAAGCAGCATCAGCTTCTGATTAGTTAACAGTGCTAGTTTTCCAGTTTGGACGTCGTGTGGGGCTGAAAAAGAATCCCCAACACTTATTTACACACTTACCTGGGAGCACTGCTTTCTTTTTGTGACAGTGTACACCAGTACGGTGGTACCTCGGGTTACAAACTCTGCTAACCTGGAAGTAGTTGCTCCAGGTTGCAAACTTTGCCCCAGGATGCAAACAGAAATCGTGCGCCGCCGGCAGGAGGCCCCATTAGCGAAAGCGCGCCTCAGGTCAAGAACGGTTTCACATTAAGAACAGACCACCGGAATGAATTAAATTCGTAACCCGAGGTACCACTATACAGAGTACCATCACTGCTTTTCTTTGCTACCCATGGCAACTATTTCACGCTGGCACCCACAGCACTTTTATCAAAATATGAGTACCAGTACCTCATCTTCCAAGGGACACGGGTGGCGCTGTGGGTTAAACCACAGAGCCTAGGGCTTGCCGATCAGAAGGTTGGTGGTTCGAATCCCCGCGATGGGGTGAGCTCCCGTTGCTTGGTCCTGCTCCTGCCAACCTAGCAGTTCGAAAGCACGTCAAAGTGCAAGTAGATAAATAGGTACCCCTCTAGCGGGAAGGTAAACGGTGTTTCCGTGCGCTACTCTGGTTTGCCAGAAGCGGCTTAGTCATGCTGGCTCCCTCAGCCAATAAAGCGAGATGAGCGCCACAAACCCAGAGTCGGCCATGACTGGACCTAATGGTCAGGGGTACCTTTACCTTTTACCTCATCTTTTTACCAAAATAACACTGCCTGGGAGTAAGTCTCATTGAACTCAATGGGATTTATTTCTGAGCAGGTATGCATAGGATTGCACTTACAAAACTTAGTCAATTAATTACAAAAAATAAAAGGCCACCAAGGACCAAATTCTGACAACAAGAATCTAAAACCTCACCTCTGCTTTTGCGTGAATTACTTTCTTCTATCCATTGGACTTTGGAAAGGCCCCTTAACAGCCGGAGAAGATAAGGAACAAGAGTATCTTTATGCTGGAATGGAAAGAGGAAATTTTAGAACCATCTGAATTAATTTACTAAATTAACACAGTGACGTCTATGTACATGGTGCTTTACAAATATCCGGTATGAGAGTTCCTGCCCCAAGGTGGTGAGGTCAACAATCTAAAATAGACTCAGGCAAACAGTAAAGGAATACAGGTAATTTATGGGTGGATAGACAGGGGAAGAAGATGTGATTATTTCAATTACATGGACTTTGCCTTGGTTATGATAAGACATGGGGATTAGGGGACTGATACAAAGGTCTCCCAGAAAAAGGCAAACTTTGAGGAGGGACTTAACAGAAATAAAGCACGTGGGTGCAAGGAGACATTCAAAGAGGCAGTTAGTACCAGGAACCAAGTGGAATTGAGTGAAGAGATTTCTGGAGGTGGGACATCTTCAGACAACAGTATGTGGTGGAGCCGAATCACACAGGAAAGGATGCAACAGGAAATAAGCCCAGGGATATACAAAGGGACAAGGCCATGGAAAGTTTTGAAGGCAAAGGCAAGAAAATTGTGAAACTAGATATTGCATGCAGAGGAAAAGGAACAGCCAACTGATTATGTTTATTGCCACACAGCTTTAATATCCTTTCAAAGCCAAATTGCTAACTAAATCTGATGCTACAGATCAAATTAAAACATTCCAGTAGGAGTTTTAATGGAGGCCCCTCTTTGGGTGCCCCCACCAACTGAGATGCAGTGAATAGCTACAAAGAAAAAGCACTTACTTGGTGCTGGAACCCTGACTGTGGAAAGAACTTCTCAAGGAGGCCCACGAAACACCTACCTAGATGTGATTTCAGCACCAAGAACAGGGGTAGGCAACCTAAGGCCTGGGGGCCAGATGCGGCCCAATCGCCTTCTCAATCCGGCCCGCAGACGGTCCAGGAATCAGCATGTTTTTACATGAGTAGAATGTGTCCTTTTATTTAAAATGCATCTCTGGGTTATTTGTGGGGCATAGGAATTCGTTCATTTCCCCCCAAAAAAACTATAGTCCGGCCCACCACATGGTCTGAGGGATGGTGGACCGGCCCATGGCTGAAAAAGGATGCTGACCCCTGACCAAGAAGATAGTTTTGTTTTACTTTAAACTTCAGGATATTGCTTTTATGCTACTCTTTTATATTACATGGTTTTTTGTTTTTTTGTTTGTTTGTTTAGTTTTATGAGGATTTAAAACTTTTTGGAAACTGTTGAACTGGCAGATTATAAATCCCGTCAAGTAAACAAACATATTTTAGAGTAAGAAGCATATTGTACCTGCAAGTCAGACTCGATTAGAAAAATTCCCAAAGCAATCACAGCATCTCTACGACGCTCATCCAGCTGAAAGATCCCATGGATGTCAACTGGGCACATGCAGAGTAGTTTCTGTACCTATAAGAAGCAAAACAGGGGATGTGAAAATATCTGTTAAAAAGGCATACCTTCCCAAACTTCTGCCGGCAACAAGAGTACACGTTAAGGATTTAAAAAGACCCGGACATTTTCATCTACAGCTCTAAGCCCCTTCCATACCACCATGCTAAAGCTCAGCAAGCCATTTGCAAATATCAGTAGCACAATCATCTCACCACCCATTCCACAGGAACAAAATGGTGTCCTTTTAAGCCATGAGTCCATTTAAAAGTTGTGGGTGGAAGCAACCATACCCAAATACTCCTGCTGATGGAGATGAGTCTCAGGATTTGAGCGCATGTGCAGGTTTGGCAGCTGCATATTAACACATTTTGGAGTCTTGCACGTCTCCTTGTGAAGGCATGTGTCCTGAAAGGAGGTTTAATGTGTCTTTTAAGTAATAAATAAGCAGAAGCATTATGTAACCAGCAGAAGAGGTAGCAGTATGGAGCACAAGGTCAACATAGGCTGGAACAACAGGGACTTGCCTTGGTGGCTAATGGTGAACAGCGGTGGGTGGGTGGGTGCACAAATGAGCCTCCCAAAAGAAGGAGTTCAGAGCCTGGACATCACCAACAAAGAGGCCCCCAACTCAATAAAGCAGGGTTCCAAACATGGGCAGTTTCACAGGCTGTTGGGTAGTATCAAACAATCAAATGATTAAACAGATGGGTATCAGAAAGACAGATGGGAGGAGAATGACGTTAAGGAGGGTTTGGCGAAGTGAAATGCAAGCACACAGGGGAAAAACAAACAACAAGGTGGAAATAATTTGTCTCCAGGCAGCTGCATCCTTCTCTCTCCTTTCACCCACGTTGGCTCTCTACAGCAACATTTACTTATTTTATTTTAGTTTGCAATACTGAACAACTTTCATACCCCCCAAAAAAGGTGTTTTGTTCATGCAATGGGACCAACCACCCATCTTGGACAGAAGCGCCCACCTCTAAACTAACAATGCAATCCTAGACATGCCTACTCAGAAGTAAGTCCCACTGCGTTCACTGATGCTTACTCCCAGAAATATGCATAGAGTCTTATTCTATCAGTAGCTTTTTAGGATCCATAAAGTACTTGTGTGTGTTTGTAAGAATTACATGGTTCAGCCATGGCGCAGTTTTGTAGGCAGAAACTGTTCTTGACCATGCAGTGATACTGGTATTGCTGAGCCAACACATTCTACATGCTCATGGCTATTGCTAAAGCACACAATGTTTCCCAATAAGGTGTGCCTGATGGATTTAAATCTTCACAATTAAACAGCAGATAAACCTGCCAAATTTAAGCATTAAAATCTGTGTTCGTTCTCACCCAGTGTTCAAAACAATTTCTGTGTGTGATTGGCGTCGCATGGTGCACAAAAAGCAAGTATTCTCAAAAGCCCAGTAGCATTAAAAAAAGAGCATAAAATGTGATCAGTTAAAAAAAAAAATCAAATGACTAGCAATACAATCCTATGCATGTTTACTTGGAGATAAACCACATCGTGTTCAGGCTTACTGACCTAGCTTACTACCAGGTATGATATGTGTAGAGGATTGCAGCCCTAATTTCCCCCGAGAGCCAGTGTGACATAGTAATTAGTGTTGGACAAGGACCTGGGAGACCAGGGTTCAAAACCCCACTCGGTCGTGAAGCTCACAGGGTGACCTTATGCCTCTCAGCCTAGCCTACCTGTCCTCACAGGGTTGTTGTGAAGATTAAATGAGGAGCAGGAGAATCATAGAATCATAGAGTTGGAAGAGACCACAAGGGCCATCGAGTCCAACCCCCTGCCAAGCAGGAAACACCATCAGAGCACTCCTGACATATGGTTGTCAAGCCTCTGCTTAAAGACCTCCAAAGAAGGAGACTCCACCACACTCCTTGGCAGCAAATTCCACTGTCGAACAGCTCTTACTGTCAGGAAGTTCTTCCTAATGTTTAGGTGGAATCTTCTTTCTTGTAGTTTGAACCATAGAACCGCCTTGAGAAAAAAGGTGGGATATACAGTGGTACCTTGGGTTACATACGCTTCAGGTTACAGACTCCGCTAACCCAGAAATAGTGCTATTCTGCAGTCTGAATAGCTATTCTGAATTCTGAATTCTTTATCTAACGGATTCGTCATAAAGTGGTACCTCGGGTTACATACGCTTCAGGTTACAGACGCTTCAGGTTACACACTCCGCTAACCCAGAAATAGTGCTTCAGGTTAAGAACTTTGCCTCAGGATAAGAACAGAAATCGGGCTCCGGCGGCGCAGGAGCAGCAGGAGGCCCCATTAGCTAAAGTGGTGCTTCAGGTTAAGAACAGATTCAGGTTAAGAACGGACCTCCAGAACGAATTAAGTACTTAACCCGAGGTACCACTGTAAATGCAATAAATGAATGAATAAAAATTAGAAACTTATTTGGAAATAAGAATTGAACCCAGCATGTTGGATCCAGACTAAGTTACAGTGCAATTTTATGCATGTTTACTCAGAAGTCCCACTGAATTCAATGGAGCTTATTAGCAGGTGAGAGGGCACAGGATTGCAGCCAAAGTTAGTCCCATTGATTTCAATGGGATTTAAGCTTGTCGTGACTAACTTGCCACAATGATTTCAATGGGACATAAGCAGGACTGCCATAAGTTGCAATCCGATTTAATCTACTTGGAAGACAGAGCCACTCAATTCAGCAGGGCTTACTTTTGAGTGAACATACACAGGCAGGCACTGCATATGTTAACTTCAGCTATGAGAGGAGTGGGGGGGGACCTGTGGCCCTGGAGATATTCGATTCCAATTCTCCTCCAGCAAGCGCATCGGAAGTGATGCAAGTTCTATTCCGTCCATATCTGAAGAGCCACAGGTTCTCCACCCCTGATCTACAACATTGCAATATAATCCACTTGTTTGTAATGGTAAGTAAGCAAATGGATTATATTGCAAGTTCTAAAAGGAATCGTAGTTTCAGTACTGTTACATAAGAGTACTAAGTGTCTTCCTTGAGTAGTACTCTCCCAAACTAAAATTAGTCTCGCCAGGGTTTTGCACCTGAAGGTACTTCTAAAATTCTCATATTAAATTGATTAGAAAAAGAGCCTTCCACAAACGTTATATGCCGATTCATCATATATCCTTAATGATTCATAATATGTTTGTAATAGTTAGCCATGATTATTCTGGGGTTTAGAGCACACACCCCCCAAAGGACCCATGATCTGATTCCAGTAAGCCTGCCCTTACCTAATAGATCTGCACATAACAAGTTACGGAGCTCTGAACAATGCCAACTTGTTCAGGGTTTTTGTTTTGTTTAACACTAAAACAAAACAAACACGGAAATCAGCTTGTACCTGACTGGTCAGACATGCCTATAGTATATGCTGCATATCCAACTTCATGCTAAACCACTACCCCTTTTGACGTTGCCCTGCGTTAAACATAGAAGAGAAAAACATGTTGACGTTGGGTGTTCAAACCAATTCAGTGATCCTCGTAACAAACATACCGTGTTTTTTGCTCTATAAGACGCACCAGACTACAAGACGCACCTAGTTTTTGGAGGAGAAAAACAAGAAAAATATTCTGAATCTCAGAAGCCAGAACAGCAAGAGGGATCGCTGCGCAGTGAAAGCAGCAATCCCTCTTGCTGTTCTGGCTTCTGGGATAGCTGCGCAGCCTGCATTTGCTCCATAAGACGCACACACATTTCCCCTTACTTTTTAGGAGGGAAAAAGTGAGTCTTATAGAGCAAAAAATACGGTATATTTTAAACAATTTCCCATCAATTTCATATTTTGTAAAGAAAATCTTATAATTAAGTCCTTCCACTTTTGTAGCCTTATGAGGCTTTGCCCTCGGGTGGGAAAAATATTGCGCCTGGGAAAAGGGAAGTGGGAGTCAACAGACACTCAAGGAATAGTTTCGGAGAAAAGGCTTTTATTTCTACCATCCATGAACTGGTAGAAGGAGCAAGTGTGATAAGTCACAAAAAGCATGCACGAAGTTCACAGTCATGTGCACAAGCATATATACCCCTTTCCAGTTCCCTCCTCCTTTCTCCTCCCTCAGGAGTCCTGCCCATGAGTTCCTCTGAGCATGAACAGAAAGCTGTCTTGGGACTATTGTGGACTCTTGGCACCCTTTCAGGTTTCAGAGTGTTCAGATATGTTTCAATCTCTTGTTCTGGCATGGTTCCTGGACAGAAAGTAAGTTGCAATGTGGTTCTTTAGCAAGGCCAGAAGGCATGAGAAAGGCCTGAGTAACAATGGACTGTTCTCTACCTTTTGTCACAGCAGAGCGGAATGTTTCTGATGCTTAGCTGCTGAGAAAATGATTTTGAAAAGCTTTGAGAAGCTTTGAGCCTGCTTTGGTGGGGGGGTGACTTCGGGCCTAGGTGAGGTCACCTGTCCTCACCTTCCTTCACTTTCATATATAATTAATCTGCCAAGCTATGCAAAACTACTAAAAAGCTGTAATAAAAAGGTAGACCATTCAATTACCTACAGAACAGTTTTTTAAAAATGACCATTTTTGGATTTATGTGACTTGTTTGTTTGCTGATTTATCAAGCTTTATCAAGACTCCACTATTTTTATCCTCATACACTTACAGGCATGCTCAGTTCAGGCATCCCACTAAAAACATGGTTTGTACCAAGCCCCAGTGAGAATCTAAAACATGATTTCCAAACTTCTAGGCACACATTAGTTTTGAGCTGTCTGTTTTTATTCTTCTTCTGCTCATCACTTCAGTCCCTAGGAACAGCCATGTCCAGAGGCAGTGATGGCCATAGATATAGTTTATCAATTCAAACACCATAGCAAAACAATTTTCACAAACCATCAAGTGCAAACCCACGTCAAATCATGGTTTCTCATGCTGTCTCTGCCAATTCAAACACCACAATAGTTATGTTTCCTTAAGCATGGTTTTATGCAAGTTCTTGAACTGTTTCTGTGTTGAATGGCTATTACAGTTCAGAGGTACTATCTAAAATACCTTACACCTGAAACCACTGCTTAGCCCATGGGTAGGCAAACTAAGGCCCGGGGGCCTGATCCGGCCCAATCGCCTTCTAAATCCAGCCTGCAGACGGTCTAGGAATAAGCGTATTTTTACATGAGTAAAATTTTTCTTTAAAATGCATCTCTGGGTTATTTGTGGGGCCTGCCTGGTGTTTTTGCATGAGTAGAACGTGTCCTTTTATTTAAAATGCACCTCTGGGTTATTTGTGGGGCATGGGAATTTGTTCATTTGTTTTTTTCAAAATATACCGGTAGTCCAGCCCCCCACAAGGTCTGAGGGACAGGGGACCGGCCCCCTGCTGAAAATGTTTGCTGACCCCTGGCTTAGCCTATCCAAAGTGCTGTCCCATGGAGGATGAAGCAAGCTTGTTTTCTCCTTCTCTGAAGGGTAGGACCCAAACCAATGGATTCAAGTTACAAAAAAGGATATTCCAACTAAACATTGGGAAGAACTTTTTGACAATAAGAGCTGTTCAACAGTAGGTGGTGGACTCTCCTTCCTTGGAAGTATTTAAGCAGAGACTGGATGGCTATCTGTCATATACGATCAAGTTAAGATTCCTGCATTGCAGGGGGCTGGACTAAATGACTCTCAGGGTCCCCTCCAACTGAACAATTCTACGTCTCCTATGCAGCAGGGGCTGGTGGTCCAGTTGTTGTTGTTTAGTCGTTTAGTCATGTCCGACTCTTTGTGACCCCCTGGACCAGAGCACGCCAGGCGTTCCTGTCTTCCACTGCCTCCCGCAGTTTGGTCAGACTCATGTTGGTAGCTTTGAGAACACTATCCAACCATCTTGTCCTCTGTCGTCCCCTTCTCCTTGTGCCCTCAATCTTTCCCAAAATCAGGGTCTTTTCCAGGGAGTCTTCTCTTCTCATGAGGTGGCCAAAGTATTGGAGCCTCAGCTTCAGGATCTGTCCTTCCAGTGAGCACTCAGGGCTGATTTTCTTAAGAATGGAGAGGTTTGATCTTGCAGTCCATGGGACTCTCAAGAGTCTCCTCCAGCACAATTTGGTAAATCAGGGCCAAAGCTTGTTGGCCCTTGATGAGCTTGGGAATGGTGCCCTGGGACACTGATAGGACCCAGCAGCTGAGCCTGCTAGGACCAGCCAATTCCGGGCTGTAACAAAAATCCCAAGTCTACTTATGGTAATGAGAAGGTGGCTCAACCCCTCAAATGTCATATTGCACCATGAAACACGCAACCCTAATCCAAACTCATCAGTTAAGAGCCAATGTCCAACTTTGCAAGGATGCCTTCACACAGCAGTGAGGTTTCCAGGTCTTTTCAGGTCTTTCAAGCTTCTCTGGCCCTCAAGACATTGTTAAATTCCAAATCAGCCTCAGCCAGCATGGTTGCCACCAGGGATGATTAAATTTATAGTCCAAGAGCATATGGAGGGCCACAAGTTCCCCTCAAGTTCCCTTCCCTTACGACTCCCAAGAAAGCCATGTGGAGTAGAGGTAAGTGGGTCAGACTAGGACTTGGAAAATCAGGGTTCAAATCCTCACTCAGCCATGAAGCTCTCTAGGTTTGCCACCAACTCACAGCCTAACCTACCTCACAGGGCTGTTGTGAGGATAATACGGAGAGGGGGAGCACCATATATGCCACTCTAAGGAGTAACGGGGGAATAGAAACACAGTAATTATTATTATTATTATTATTATTATTATTATTATTATTTATACCCCGGCCATCTGGCTGGGTTTCCCCAGCCACTCTGGGCGGCTTCCAACAAAATATTAAAAGACAATGGTCTGTTAAACATTAAAAGCTTCCCTAAACAGGGCTGCCTTCAGATGTCTTCTAAGAGTCTGGTAGTTGTTTTTCTCTTTGACATTTGGTGGGAGGGCGTTTCTCTACCAAGAAGGCCCTCCGCCTGGTTCCCTGTAACTTGGCTTCTCGCAGCGAGGGAACCATCAGAAGGCCCTCAGCGCTGGACCTCAGTTTCCGGGCAATCAACAACAACAACAACCACCAGCAAAAACCCTGAAACCTGGCAGCTGTAGTGGTGAACAAGAATACAAACCAAGCCAGCAAAGCAGTTCAAATACATTCAGTAATCCCGACATCAGTCTAATAGTTTAGCCCTTGCCTTGCAGGTCCGGAGGATGAATATTAAAACCCTGAAATTTCAAGTCAAACCCACAGATCTTTTAATCCTAATGGCAAAATGGCATCTAAAGGCATCGTCTCTTGCCATGAGGATGGGTCAGATCCTGTGAAATATAACAATGACCTGTGACCTAGCAATCTAAGTGATAAATGATGACAATAGAATAAATTATTGACAACATATACTATTTCATCACCCAGGTGAGGCAGATCTACCACTAAACTGGCTTGCCAGGAGGGCGAGAGGTGAAGTGGCAGGGAGGCGGGCACCGTGCAAACAGTCTGGTGGAGCCAATGTGGAATTGCTGCTGGTGTCTTTGTCATGCTGATCTCCCCATCGCCTCACACCTCCCTCTCCCAATAAGCAACAGCAGCTCACCTGCCAGGAACTTGGAAGCTATTGTAGCAGCTCCACCCCACTTTGAAAGCTGCTTTTGTCATTATCTTATACCACAAGGATTGCCAAATCTCAATTTTGTTATTTTTATTTTTATTATGGGGGACCTGCAATAAAATGTTACAGCATGTACAATACCTTACAATACTACTGTTTTCCATTCCCCCAATAATTAGCCAGAATTCCACACCCACTGAACATGCTCAGTCATCACCCCCCTCAAAAAATAATAATAGTTGAGTATGCCAGTACCACCCTCTTGTGCATGAGTTTGGACAGCCTAAAGACTGACAGACAATTAAGAGAGTTGTTAATATGTGTCAGACGACTATCCTTTGGTCAGGGTTCAGTCTGACTCATTTTCTCTTTGTATAAGAACAAGCATGAAGGAGGTTTCTCAGCCCGCTCACAGGTCCTTATAATATCCGTGGTAACAGTTGGTCCTGGCGAGTATTAACCACTTTCAGTTTTAACCTGAGGATTGTCATTTGTTCAGTTTTAACTTTAATTTTAATTCATTTGAATTAATTTTGGGATGCATTTGAATTGATTGATTGCTTGTTTTTTATGTATATTGTATTATTTATATGATGTCAGCTGCTCTGAGCCCAGCTCCGGCTGGGGAGGGCGAGGTATAAATAAAATTTTATTACTATTATGATTACTGTATTATTATTATTATTATTATTATTATTATTATTTCCCCTAACCTAGCAATTCCAACCGACAGTGACTATGGTGAAATTTAATATTATTTATTTTACTATCATCGTTTACCACAAGGTCTTGGGGATTTGTATATTACTTTTACTTCTACACTACCCTGCAGTAAAAAAATTCCAGAGCGATTGACATAAAAGAAAAGTACAGTGGTACCTCTACTTACGAACGTGATCCATTTCGAGGTGCTGTTCACACCCTGAAAAGTCCGTAAGTAGAGTGCCGCTACTGCGTGTGCATGAAGCGTAACAGAGCGCTTCTGTGCATGCGTGAAGTGCGCAGATCGCTTCTGCATGTGTGGCGAAACCCGGAAGTATACACTTCCGGGTTTGCCCCATTCGCAACCCAAAAATCCACAACATGAAGCGAACGCAACCAGAGGTATGACTGTACAGTCACAATAAAAAAATCAATATTATAATTTTTCCCATCATCATTAACTACAGGAATTGTCAGGCCTCCAGATTAGCATTTGTAATACGATTTCACCATCACCACAAGAACCACCTGATTTCAGGATTGCTACTATTATATTTCACCATCACTATTTCCCAACAGGATCACTAAGTCTCAGGGCTATTTTTTAAGATATATAAAATCAAAAATAAGAACAAGAATCCTGAGACCCAGCAATCCTAGTGGTGATTGAATGGGCACATTATTACTTCAGGGTTATTATCACTACCATATTTCATCATAAACATTTGCTACAAGGAACACAATCCCAGCGACAAATAGTGAAGAAATAGTAATAGTAAAATTATTATAATTATTATCTTCAGGCTGATCGCTGTTACATTTCACCATCACCATTTGCCAAAGGATTACCGCATCTCAGGATTATTCTTACATTAAATATAATATTAAAAAATAATAACCCTTACATTAGGCAATCATTGTGGTTAAACGCTGATAGTAAAATATCACAATAAGCATCTTGCTACTATCATCTTCCTTACCGCCATTTCAGAATTATCACTGTTTTATTTCTCCATCCCCATTCACAACAAGGAGTGGCAGTTCTTGGGGTTATGATTTTGAAATTATGTTTAAAATGAGAAGAATAATCCTGTCCAGGGAATCCTAGTGGAAAATGCTAAATGGTAAAGGAATAACAACTTTCCTAGACCAGGCAATCCTTGTGGTAGATGGTGAAGAAATCATCCTCTTCCACCATCACCTCCCTGAAATATCCAGCTGTACTTGCCAGAGAAAACCAGTGCACAAGCTTAACAAACTGGGACCAATTTACCTACGAGATCGCATGTGCCCACTCAACCTGCCTTATTATTGCAATAAACTGCAGTTTTAAAAGAGTATAATATATTTAAAGTGGGGGAATAAATGAGCAAATTACCTTATTTTTTCTTCTAGAAGACGCCCCCATGTATAAGATGCCCCCTATTTGGTGGGACTCAGATTTAAGAAAATGGGGGGGGGAGAGATATATCCGTGTATAAGACGCCTCTCTAATTTTTGACATTATTTTTTAGGGAGAAAACCTAGTCTTATACACGGAAAAATATGGTAAGTTGATTTGGATATGCAGAAGATATTAAAAATAAATATAAGGAACTGCAGAAAGAGGTAGAAGGAAGTCAAGTTTTGAAATGTTAAAACGATTGTAAAATGAGTGAAATGTAGAAACCTGAAAAGCATATATATATATATATATATATATATATATATATATATATTTTAAAAAGAGAGATCTGCCTCATTTGGAGGCAGAACTGGCACCACTGCAGGCAGGGCGGACCCAAGACATTTCGGCACCTGAGGCAAACCACAAAACAGTGGCCCCACTCCCCACCAGGGGAAAAGGGGCGAGTGAAGATCTACATGAAGAGCAACAGACATCAGGATCCGCTGCCCCTACGGATCCTGCCGCCTGAGGCAGTCACCTCACCTTGCCTCGTGAGCCGGCCCCCACCATAGGTGCCACATACTGGTAATACCTGTTCCCACATTTGTAAGAGCCCAGCTGGCCGTAGGAGCCAATCCTCACCCCCTTCCCAAAGTTGATGGCCATTGCCATCGATCCATTATGTGGGGCAAGGGTTTTACCTGGGAGCCCCAACATTTCGTTCAAGTTGTCACCCCTGCAGCCAAGGCGGGGAGTTCCCGCCTACAGAGATCAAGCAGGAACCTTTTCTTATTTTTAATAAATTTACTTATTTGGTTTTTTGAATTAAAAGTTTTAGAACCACATATCCAACATACATCATAAAAATTCCAACAGAATCTCCTGGACTTCCCTCCTCCCCTTTGTGGGTCCTCCCATTGTTAGTCATTTCTTCCCACATCCAAATCTTTTATCCAAAATTCACCATTTAACTACAAGTGTTATTCCAATCCTAATAACGATTTTAACTGTTTGCAATGATTTTTTAAAGATAAATTATAAATTCCATCCCATGCCTTATTAAAATTTGGGCTTCCTGATTTCTGATTCTTCCGGTCCCTTTTTTTGCCATTTCGGCATAATAATCCATCAACTTAATCCGAATCAGGCACCTTTTTCTTCACTGCCCTCTTTTTGGCCAGGAAAGATCCTTACTTAAGGCTTAAGCCTACCCAGATCAGAGGTCTAGGAAACTTGAGGCAATTCTTTAGGCGTGTCTTGAAATTATTATTTTTATCAGTGCTTTTTTTCTGGAGGGATGCAGGGGTACGCAAACCCCTAAACATTTTGTGAATCTTTGTACTTTTGCCCATTTACTGTATTTACTTTTCCTGATTTGAACTATAAAATGGTGATTTTTCTTTGAGTCAAAATGAGAGTAGCCCTCGCAAGAAGTACCAACTGTGGAAGAATGGCAGATGAAGATGGTGGATTTTTCGGAGCTAGCCGACCTGACTGGAAGAGTCCGTGACCAGAAGGAAGAATGGACGAAATTTAATGATGACTTAGTTAAATACGTTAAGTTAAATTAATTGGAAAAAGCTTGCAATTACCAGATAAGCTTAGGATTTAAATCTGTAATGTGATGAATTAATATGTTTAATGCTGAATTTGTAAGAAAGAAAGATGTTAAGTGATTAAGTTAAGTTTATAAGAATTTTGATTTGGAAAACCGTTAAAAGGATATGCAATGAAATTCAACTAGGGGGATACGAGGAAGTCACTTAACAATGTTAATAAGATTAGTTTTAATAAGGTTATGATTTATGTTCGTTTATTTGTTTGTGTGTCTATAATTTTGTGAAAATCAATAAAAAAAATTGGGGGGGAAAATGAGAGTAAAAAAGCACTGATTATTATTATTAAAGGTGTTGCACTTTCTGTTGCGGTGGTTGTTTTGCAAATCAAATATGAGGGAATGAAACGAAATAACGTAAGCAAGTCGTCCAAGGAGCGAAGCGTAGACCCGCCCCCGCACCTACGCCGTACGCGGTGACGTAAGCGAGACCCCCCAGCCCAGCCCTGAGGTAACAGGGAGCAGCGGGCAGTCGCCTTGGGCAGCGCCTCCTTCCCTCACCTTCTCGAGCGGAGCGGGTCTCTGCACGGCCAGCGAGCGGGCGAGAGACAGCACCGTGTTGAAGTAGAAGCCCCTCGACGAGCCCGGGCTGCTGGGCTTCTCCGAGCGCGCCGCGGTCACGGCCGCCGCGGTGGCAGCCGCCGCCGTCGCCACGGCCAGAGCCGACATCTTGCGAGGAGCCTCCTCACAGCGAGAGTGTCACTCGCGGCCTCTCGCGCGCCTGTGGGCCCCTCCCCTCATCCCTTCCCTTCTTCTCCAGCGGCAGCAGCCGGCAGCCCGGCTTCGCGTCGGACTTCTCGCGAGAACGGCGCCGGCCATCGCGAACCAGCCCCGGCTGAACTACAGCTCCCGGCAGCCTTTGTTGCCTTTCTTCCTCCTTTGGCGAGGGCTGTGATGGATGGGGCTGATGGGAGTTGTAGTTCAGCAGCTGCTGGGGGCGGGGGCGCTCCGTGGGCTGCTCCCCAGGTCCAGTAATGTACTAACCTTGCACATAGAGAGACGTGAGGGGCGGAGAGGGTAGAGTGGCGCACGAAGCTCAACTAGTGGTTGGTTGGTTGGTTGGTTGGTTGGTTTGTTTAAATAAATAAATAGATGGAAAAGCGAGCGACTTTTGGCGTGTTTTATGTTTAGAAATGGAGATGTAAATTTTAATCTGTTTTAGCATGGCATGTTTTAAGGTATCCTACATTCCCTCCCCCCGATCTTATGGTTTTATCTTTTTGTAAACCGCTTTGAGGTTGTTGTTTACAACCAAGCGGTGTGTAATTTTTATGAAACAAATAACAAATAAATATAAATAATCTGAGCAGGGTTGTGTTTCTTTTACCATAATGTGCCTGTTCATGGACCTCAGCCCCAACCAGTTTAGCCCAATGGTTAAGGTTGATGGGAGCTGTAGTATCTGGGGACTCAAAAACTGAAGAAGCTGCTTAGTACTTCGCATTAGGAGGAGTGGTCTGTTTCAGAAAGAACGAAGAGTGTTGTGGCACCTTCAGTTGTTCTTAATTATAAATGTTATTATTTATTTGACTTATGAGTCGATCACCTCAAAGGAGTCCTCAAGTTACAAAAGAAATTAAGAGCCAAAGGCATGCAACATAATTGTAAAAAAGGGAGAGAAAAATACATTACAGTACAGCAAAACTCTTATAATGGCCCATAATCAGACCCAGCAAAGATGCAACCAATTTATTACGCCATAAACTTGCGTTGGCTGCCCAAAACGTGGATTGTTGTAACCCATGCCGTAAGAAATTTGAGTTGCCGGTACTTTACAGCCCGATCTACTCAGCTGCAGCACTGAATTCAATTTGTCAGAGGAGTTCTAAATCAGATTTTGCGTATACCCCCTTAAAATCAAAATACTTTAAATACTTTTATTTCAGTGAGCCTACTCTAAAATACGGCCAAGTCTGAATCCAACACCTTCCCATCGAAAGGACCGGAGATCGTGCCGATCCATTTATTAAATTATAAAAGCAAGGCGAGTCCGTCTACGGCACGTGACAAACATGGCGGCGCCCGCAGCGGCTTCATTCCTGGAATCCCGACCTTAAAAAAAAAAAAGGCAGAGACTCAACCAACTAACTCTCTCAGGCTAGACTGTGTTTATGTGCCTAAAGCGTATTGACCACTTTTTCTCCTTTCACCAAATCCAACGTCTGCTTCCGCCCACCGTGAGCTGTTCTTCCCGAGGATAAAAAAACCTTGAAATTACTATTTTGTCTTATTTTCTTTATAAAAAAAAACCCTCTCTCAAAGCGGTGGGTTGGTTCAGTCCGACCGCGTCCATCTTGTTTCGTTTCCTCCCTTTCTCTCCGCCCTCCCATTTTCTTCTCACTCTCCGCGCCCCCCCCCCCGCCTTAGGTGGAGAAGTGGTTTGGCCCGCCTGACCTGCCTGAGGAAAGAAGGAGAGGAAGCTGACTCGGCTCGTGACGGGAAGCGAGAAGGCGAAGAGCGGGGGCGCCGCTGCTGGTGGGTGAGTGAGTGCCGGGGAAAGGGGCGAACAGAAAGCAGCTTTCCCCTCTTTTTTTCCTCCTTAGGATGGTCAACTCCCATCATGCCAAGCTTAGCAGCACCAGGGATCAGGGGTGCTATTTTCAAAAATGTTTGATTGACTTACAGTGGTACCTCTGGTTAAGTACTTAATTCGTTCCGGAGGTCCGTACTTAACCTGAAACTGTTCTTAACCTGAAGCACCACTTTAGCTAATGGGGCCTCCCGCTACTGCCGCACGATTTCTGTTCTCATCCTAAAGCAAAGTTCTTAACCTGAAGCACTATTTCTGGGTTAGCGGAGTCTGTAACCTGAAGCGTATGTAACCCGAGGTACCACTGTATTTTAAATTTGCATTTGTTTAAAAGCTACCCTGAGGACGTAGCTATGGGAAGGCGCCTACCAACATTTATAAATAAACGAATTAAAAAAATACTACCCACAGAGCTATGCCAGGTGTTGAGCTAGTAGCAGCCCTCACGTTGAAGTTTATATATGATATATCATGGGTAGGCAAACTACCCATGGTCTGTTGTTGTTTATATATGATATATCATGGGTAGGCAAACTACCCATGGTCTGTTGTTGTTGTTGTTGTTGGTCTGTTGTTGTTGTTGTTGTTGTTGTTGTTTAGTCGTGTCCGACTCTTCATGACCCCATGGACCAGAGCACGCCAGGCACTCCTGTCTTCCACTGCCTCCCGCAGTTTGGTCAGACTCATGTTTGTAGCTTCGAGAACACTGTCCAACCATCTCGTCCTCTGTCATCTCCTTCTCCTTGTGCCCTCCATCTTTCCCAACATCAGGGTCTTTTCCAGGGAGTCTTCTCTTCTCATGAGGTGGCCAAAGTATTGGAGCCTCAGCTTCAGGATCTGTCCTCCCAGTGAGCACTCAGGGCTGATTTCCTTCAGATTGGATAGGTTTGATCTTCTTGCAGTCCACGGGACCCTCAAGAGCAGGGGTAAGCAACCTAAGGCCCGTGGGCTGGATGCGGCCCAGTCGCCTTCTCAATCCGGCCCGCGGACGGTCCAGGAATCAGTGTGTTTTAACATGAGTAGAATGTGTGCTTTTATTTAAAATGCATCTCTGGGTTATTTGTGGGGCATAGGAATTCGTTCATTCCCCCCCCAAAAAAATATAGTCTGGCCCACCACATGGTCTGAGGGACGGTGGACAGGACCACGGCTGAAAAAGGTTGCTGATCCCTGCTCAAGAGCGTAGCTGTCAACTTTTCCCTTTTCTTGCAAGGAATCCTATTCAGAATAAGGGAATTTCCCTTCAAAAAGGGGAAACGTTGACAGCTATGCGCAAGAGTCTCCTCCAGCCCCATAATTCAAAAGCATCAATTCTTCAGCAATCAGCCTTCGTTATGGTCCAGCTCTCACTTCCATACATCACTACTGGGAAAACCATAGCTTTAACTATACGGACCTTTGTTGGCAAAGTGATGTCTCTGCTTTTTAAGATGCTGTCTAGGTTTGTCATTGCTTTTCTCCCAAGAAACAGGCGTCTTTTAATTTTGTGACTGCTGTCACCATCTGCAGTGATAGGATGGTCTATTGAGATCTTATTAACCAGGTTTATACCCCGCCCCGCCCCCAAGGAGCAAAAGGAAACATGGTGCTCACACACCTCCCTGTGTTTTCTTATCCTCAGAACAAGAGGTAGGCTTGCCTGGGGGGGGATCTGAGTCGCTTTGTCCTCCCAATAGCCTTGCGGCGTAGGTTGGGCTGAGAGTTAAGGTGGCTCCTTGGGTGAGCTTCCTGGGGACTTTGAAGAACCCACCTTTGGAGGTGCAGAGAGAACAGATCGATCCAACATCATCCAGTGAGCTTTGTGGCTGATGGGGGGGGGCGATTTGAAAGCTGGGTCCTCCCCAGTTTGAGGTCAAGGGCCACTGCACGACAGTGACTCAGGATTTCCCAAACTTGGGTCTCCAGCTGTTGCTGAACTACAACTCCCATCCATAGCTATCAACCTTCCCTTTTTTTGCGGGAAATGTCCTTATTCCAGTGCCGTTTCCCACTGCTATCCCGGATTGTTAGATATCCCATAGACTGTCCCCGGGACAGGTGAGGCTGCTGGTCCCTTATTTTCGAGGCTGCTGATCCCTTAATTTCAAATCTGAAAGTTGACAGCTATGCTCCCATCATCCCAAGCTTAGCAGCACCAGGGATCAGGGGTGCTATTTTTTAAAATATTTGATTGACTTATTTTAAATTTGCATTTGTTTTTGTTTAAAAGCTACCCAAAGGACGTAGCTATGGGATGGTGCCTTACCAATATTTATAAACAAATTAAAAAGTACTACCCACAGAGCTATGCCAGGTGTTGGGCTAGCAGCAGCCCTCATGTTGAGGTTTATATATGATATATCATGGGTAGGCAAACTAAGGCCCGGGGTCTGGATCCGGCCCAATCGCCTTCTCAATCCGACCCGCATGTTTTTATATGAGTAGATTGTGTGCTTCTATTTAAAATGCATCTCTGGGTTATTTGTGGGGCATAGGAATTCATTCTTTTTCCCCCTTCAAAATATAGTCCGGCCCCCCACAAGGTTTGAGGGACAGTGGACTGGCCTCCTGCTGAAAATGTTTGCTGACTCCTGAAATATGATATATTGTGTGTGTGTGTGTGTGTGTGTGTGTGTATGGTAGATACATATATAGATAGATGAGATAGATAGCTGATATATGTGTGTGTGTATGCGCACCGTTTTGAGGACTATTTTCGATAAAACAGCAGGACAGGAATAAAATAGTACACCAATGGAATTACTCGTCACGAACCTAATTACTCATCACCACAGGTTTATTGCCATCAACAAAAACATGCACACCATACAGTTCAACATAATCTTAAGAACTGAGCAAAATACTAAGTATAACTGGAGGGCAAAGGGATGGAAATTTTTTTTAAGCAATCTGGTATTGGTATTGTAGTCCAAAAACAAAACAGTGGAGACCCTAGTTCGGGGCACCCTGTTCTATGCCATGGATTGGCAAGCTGGTGCTCTTTGGGTGCTTTTCAGTTCCCGTCACCCATCTGTCTCAGCCAACGTGGCCAAGGGCAGGGAGGATGTGAACTGTTGCTCAGCAACACCTGGAAGGCCACAGGTTCCCCTTTCGAAACAGGTGGGGGATAGTCTTTCATCAGATCGCTTTAAAAAAACCCTCTATCCCTTTTCCCTCCGGTTATACTTTGCTTTGTATTTTGCTCAATACTTAAGATTATGTTGAATTGTATGGTGTGTGCTTTCGTTGATGATAATAAATTAGTGGTGATGAGTAATTAGGTTCATGATAGTAATTCCATTGGCGTACTGTTTTATTTTTATCCTGCTGTTTGATCCAAAATAGTCCTCAAAGTGGTTTATTTTTTATTTTATTTTTAAACCCAAAGTTAGGGCTGCTGCTAGCCCAACACCTGACCTAGGTCTGTGGGTAGTATTTATTTTTAATTTGTTTATTTAAAAATGTTGGTATGGTGCCATCCCATGGCTATGTTCTCAGGGTAGCTTTTAACAAAAATAAATGCAAATCTAAAAAGCCTAAAATAAGTTAATCAAACGTTATAAAAAGCATAACAACAGTAGCCTTGATAAAAATGAAATTTAACACTGAAACAGATTTTAAATGCCTGTGCCTGGTGCTGGAATGATGTCAAGGTGGGCACCAAGTGAACCTCTCGGAGGGGAGCATTTCATAGCTGGGATGCCACTACTAAAAAGATCCTTTCTTCTGTATCCTTCTGTCACACCTCACCTGGTAGGGGCACCTTGCAGAAGACTTAAGATCTGAACAGGTACATATGGAGCTAATTGATCATTTAACTACCTTGATTCTAAGCTGTGAAGTGCCAAAAGTGCCAAAATTAGCACTTGGAGCTGGGCTCAGGAGCATACTTTGCATTGTTACTTACACTTCCTGCAAAGTAAGTCCCAAAGAATTTGGCAACTACCAGTTGACAAAAGCATGAGTCTCATTGCTCTGTGTGGGCTTGCTTCCAAGTGCACATGATAAGGATCATCCTGTACACATCCTTGGTGTCTTAGTTTATTATTGCTCGGACAGCCTTTTCTTAGCTTATGTGATGCTTTTGTCCTAGTGCCCTGTATCATGCGATCAGATCCTAAAGCTAGTATATTTGGGTAAGCCTGCTTCAGGAATGCAAGCACATTGCCTGGATCACAGGGCAGGAAAAGGCTGTTAAACAGAGAAGTCTTTAGCAAGGACCTAAAACAACAGTTCTCAAACTTTTTTCTCTGGGACACACTTTCAGAATATGGTGGTACCTCGAGTTAAGTACTTAATTCGTTCTGGAGGTCTGTTCTTAACCTGAAACTGTTCTTAACCTGAAGCACCACTTTAGATAATGGGGCCTCCTGCTGCTGCTGCCCCGCCGGAGCACGATTTCTGTTCTCATCCTGAAGCAAAGTTCTTAACCCGAGGTACTATTTCTGGGTTAGCGGAGTCTGTAGCCTGAAGCGTATGTAACCCAAGGTACCACTGTAAAAATTTGCTCATGCCACACCAAAAATTTTATTGATAAAAAATATGCTGCATAACAAAAGGAAATAATTCCTAGTAGTGCTTGATTTATATATAACGTGGAACACAGCTACGTACTTTATAATATGTTAGAGACCAGACTGAGGGTTACAGCTCTGATGAGGAACGGTGGGAAACCCCCCCACACACACACACTTCCTGCTCCTGACCAGGATCCTGAAGCTGCCTAGGAACAGTGGAGTAGCATAGATTTAGAGAATTGGTTTGCAGAGGGGCATAGTTCAAAAACAACAGCTGGGCAGAGCTGAGCGGGGAACAACTAGGAGAAGCAGAACAGGAAGAGATTGAGAGAACTGACTCCCCTTTGCTAGAAAGCATCCAGCCTTTATCTCCAAGGGCAAGGAGAAGGCTCAGTGGCTGCAAGATCAGGTTGTAAGAAGGGGGAAGTGACGCAGATGACTCAGGGGGAAGTAAGAGGGAAGCTTAATTGGGAGCACCTTCATTCCAAGAAGGGTTGCTTTGTTCTTTTGCTCTGATCATTAAGCACTCTTAAACTGGTAAACTTAAATTGCTTTGTTCTGCTGATGCACAGCCAAAGGGTGGGAGGAAGCCTGACATGATCATGAAACATCCAGAAAGTATAAAACGTGTTGGAAGTGTAAAGAAGCAGAGGGAAACTTTTTTCACATGTGGTGGACATGTAAAAAGGTAAAAGTATATTAGGAAATGATTTATAATGAATTGAAAAAAATATTTAAAACTACTTTCCCCCAAAAAACCCAGAGTCTTTTCTGTTGGAAATAACCCAGACAGAATGAATGAATGAATGAATCTTTATTTGCATCAGCTATCGGCCATAGCAATAAAACAACAGTATGATATACAAAGGATAGAAACAAAGTCAATTACAGTGGTACCTCGGGTTAAGTACTTAATTCATTCCAGAGGTCCATTCTTAACCTGAAACTGTTCTTTACCTGAAGCACCACTTTAGCTAATGGGGCCTGCCGCGCTGCCGGAGCACGATTTCTGTTCTCATCCTGAAGCAAAGTTCTTAACCCGAGGTACTATTTCTGGGTTTGCGGAGTCTGTAACCTGAAGCATATGTAACCCGAGGTACCACTGTATATAAAATACATTTTAGGGTTTTTAATCAATAGTCAAATAGTGGATCTTATTCTGATTGCCCCAGCTAAAAACCTTGTAACCTTTGCTGTCACCTGCTCATCTTGAACCCAGACAGAATTTCCTAGGTGTCACAAAAGATTGTTTATGCAACAACTGCGACCCGTGTTGTGTTAGCTCCAAAATGGAAAGTGAGCGAGGTCCCAACTAAAGAGGATTGGCAACTTAAGTTGACAGAATATGCAGAACTTGCAGATTTAACACATAGGATAAGAGAGCAAGAAGAACATATATTTAAAGAAGTGTGGAAAACATTTCTTGAATATATGGAAAATAACTGTATACAGCTGAAAATGCTGGCAGCACTAAGATAACTTCGAGAGTAAATAATTTTTGACAAATGTAAAAGTGGAAAACTGATTTGAATAGTTATAGTAAAATGTGCAGGAATGTATGATACGTAAAATGAACTATGGAAGGAGAAGAAGGGAAGTCATTGGATATCCAAAATACAGCTTTCAATTAGTCTTCTCCAGCACTGTTCAAATGGTAATTCTGGATCACAACTAGGGTTGTCCTCCATATCGCTTGATGCTCTTGCTCTCATTTTGAAAAGATATCCATATTCTGGAATTTATATATACAGTCGTACCTTGGAACTTGAACAGAATCCAACAGGAAATAGCGACAATGGAAGAATGGAGAAGGGAGCTGTTAGACTATGCTGAGTTGGATAAATTGACTGGGAAGATTAGATACTTAAGAGACCAAATGTTCACCGAGGACTGGGGAAAATTTGTGGAATATCTGGAAAGTATGACTGAGGGACAAATAACGCTAGAGGGATTTAAAGAAGCACTGTGAAATGTGAGAAGTATTGTTAAAAGGGAATAGAAAAAGAAAGGTTCAAATAATGACAATACAAACCTAAGAAATGCGTAAATTAATAATGACTACCAATGATTTATGGAAAAGCTGAAGGAAGTCCAGAAAAGAAATACTTTGTGGAAAATTGGATGTGAAATTATTGTGTGTTTTTGTTGTAAGTTAATAAAAATTATTTATAAAAAAAAAAAGGAAGTTGAACAGAATCTGTTCCAGATGTCCATTCTACTTCCAAAATGTTCAGAAACCAAAGCATGGCTTCTGATTGGCTGCAGGAAGCCGCGGAAGCCCCGTGGGATGTTCAGCTTCCAAAAATAGTTTGCAAACCAGAACACTCACTTCCAGGTTTGCGGCGTTTGGGAGCCAAAACGTTCAAGAACTAAGCTGTTCAAAAACCAAGGTAAAACTGTACTACACTACGCTGATTTAAACACATTATGTCCTTGAATCTCCCCGCCACACTTGCCATCCTCTTCTGGCACACCCTTCGAGAACCACTGACCTGATATTAGGCACTTACCTAATATTCACAGGCAGAAAATCCCACACAGTAAGTAAAAATTTCTAAAGGCTTTGCTTCAGGTGGTCATGATGGGGCAGACTTCAGAGTGCCTGCCTTAAGGCTGCAGTGACCAGTCTTTGTTGAGAGATGTGAGCAATATAGGCCTTCAAAATGCTATTTGATCTGGTCAGGAGGGGCTGGCACAATGCAGTGACTCAGGTTGTCCTGAGACAAGGAACGGTTAATCAAGCTCTCAGATTAGGCCAGGGGGGGCTCTTGCATTTTAAACATACTGTGCTGATAAGGATCCCCCACCCAAAAAAACCTCCAGTAAAGTTTCTAGGGTTTGCAAAAGGAGTGTGCTGACAGTATAGCCAAAATGGGAAGCTATTTGTCTTAGTGGCAGAACTTGCAGCCCAGCTGAATTCTCTAATAGTGTCTTCTTGAGGATAGTTTGATCCACGATTTCCGCAACCTCCTCTGTTTTTCAACCAGCTTAAAGCAAGGATGCATCAAGTTTTGAAAGGTGGCCTCTTTGTAGCATTGGAAGTGGTTTAAATGGAAAGATGAGGCAAAGGTATACCATAGGACTGGTATAAATCGAAAGCTGGTAAGATCTGAGCTTCTCCCACATCCACATACTAGTTCCTGCTTCCATGGATCAAAACATACAGTGCGTGTTGCTGAAACACTACTGTCGAAAGGCAGGTACTCTAGCTGTGAAAATACACCGGCAAAGCAGGCAGTTTGAGATGTTTGAAGCAAATGAGTTGAGCCACATGGTACGGAAGAAGACAAGAATGTGGCTTGGTTCCACCCATTTTGGGTCATCTGGATCAGTTTGCTATTTCCTGACTGGATCATTGACTTGCCCTTTCCTCTACCAAGCCTCTGGCACACTAATCTGAATAGCATGACCTGTCAGAGTTTGGAGGAAAGTGGAGCAAAAATATATTTTAATAGCTTTGAGCTGGGGGAGGAGCTGTCAGTTGTTCCTATATGGTGTTCTGTCAGATCATTTCAATCTGTGCTTAAATTTACTCACTTCTTTTCACAGAATCCGGCTTTCCAACCCATCGTTGCTGGCGATCTCTGGCATGAAGGCATTGATCTGGGTCTGAAAAACATCGGTCTGGTTTCGTTCTAGTCTCCCTTTTGTTTACATTCACGCATAGAAAAGACCCGAACTCCGAGCTGCAATTATGTCGGCTTACTCAAAAAGCTACAATCCTTTTGACGAAGACGAGGATGAAGACTTAAAGCCAGTCAAGTGGAATGAAAGTAATGAGCCCCCTAGAGAAGGGGCGGATAGACAGAGGTACCTGCAGCAAGAAGTCCTGAGGCGGTCCCAGGCCACTGTGGACAGCAGCAACCATGCTCTGTCCCTCATTTATGAGTCTGAGCATATTGGCGTAGCTGCCTCAGAGGTAAGCAAGAATCTTAAGATTGACCTTGCTGTAGCTTATGGGGAGTATATTTGATAAAATAACTTTCTTCAGTATTTTTTCCTATAATAATGTCAACTTATGTGTTATTTGGAAGTACAGTCATACCTCGGGTTAAAGTCGCTTCAGGTTGAGCGTTTTCAGGTTGCGCTCTGCGGCGACACGGAAGTAATGGAACGCGTTACTTCCGGGTTTCGCCGCATGTGCAGATGCTCAAAATGACGTCATGCGCAGAAGCGGCGGATCGCGGCACGTGCAGATGCGGGTTGCGTTCTGCTCTGGATGGGAACGGGGCTCTGGAACGGTTCCTGTTCGCATCCAGAGGTACCACTGTAAGTGGATTGATTTCAGTGCAGTTTACATCCAAGTGTTTAGGATCAGAGTCTGAGAACTGACGAAAAAACCGGGATACTTCATTAGGGATAAAAGCTGCATGATGATTTTGAGTACATACTCAAATGCCCTTTCAGAAATGGCAGACTTTCAGAGTCTGTCCACACCAGGGGTTGGCAAACTAAGGCCCGCGGGCCAGATGAGGCCCAATTGCCTTCAGGATCTGGCCTGCGGACTGTCCCTGGATCGGCGTGGGGATTCTGTTCGTTCGGGCTGCGCCATCTTTCCCCTTGCTCCATTCCATTCTCCACCACCACCTCACACACACCACAGCAGCGCCTCCTCCCTCCCTCCTCCTGGCTTCTCCTTGCCCTGCCTAGAAGAGGAAGGGGGCTGGCTGAGCGTCATTTTAAGCAGCCTCTCTCCGGAGCCAGCCCTATCGTGCCGCTCATCTTCCCTGTACCGCCCCGGTGCTCCTGTGGGCCAGAGAGCGGAGCGGACGAGCTCCCTCTACCCAGAAGCAGCCACAATGGCGGTGGTGGTGGCGGCAGCCCCAGAGAAGATAAGCGCTGAGAGTGGGGGAGGACTACTTAACCCCCTCACCGCCTCTTCCAGCTCCCCACCACACCCCGGTGCCACTTCTGCGGCCCACCACAAGGTCTGAGGGTCAGTGGACTGACCCGCGGCTAAAAAAAATTTGCCGACCCCCTGGTCCACACATTTATTTCCAACATTCTTTCCAACCAACTTTTCCAACATTATTTCAAAGTATACGGGACCAGCTCATGTCAATTACAGCATCTGAATTTGTTAGTTCTGTGCACCATATGCCTTTATATCAAGCTTCCTCAACCTCAGCCCTACAGATGTTTTTTGGCCTACAACTCCCATGATCCCTAGCTAGCAGGACCAGTGGTCAGGGATGATGGGAATTGTAGTCTCAAAACATCTGGAGGGCCGAGGTTGAGGAAGCCTGCTTTATACAGTGGTACCTGGGGTTACATACGCTTCAGGTTACATACGCTTCAGGTTACAGACTCTGCTAACCCAGAAATAGTGCTTCAGGTTAAGAACTTTGCTTCAGGATGAGAACAGAAATCGTGCTCCGGCGGCGCGGCAGCAGCGGGAAGCCCCATTAGCTAAAGTGGTGCTTCAGGTTAAGAACAGTTTCAGGTTAAGTACGGACCTCCAGAACGAATTAAGTACTTAACCCGAGGTACCACTGTATCTTGGTTTCATTGAAGACATGGCAGTACATCCATGTAAGAACTTTTGTTGGGAAATGATTATTGTGGGCAGGTGGAACTGAGCAGCTGTAAAAGGACATCTCTCTGAAGGAGAAGGACTTTGTCATTGTCTCAGACCACGGTGTCTTGTTTCTTGTAAAACAAAACAATATGTGAAACTTGCTGAAGACATTGGACCTATCATTTGTAAATGTGCTTGATTTCTAAGCCAGTGGCTAGAAAGGAGAGCAGGCCTACTTCAGCCACTTTCTGCATACACCTGACTACATAGTCTTTCCTATTAATCATTTCCTTTAATTATAAAGCCTAGACTTGAATCACTGCTAGGCATCTTTGGTTGGCAGAACCACTAATATAAGGCCTCCTGGAATGTCTTTCTAGAAGTGAGGCTGTTTTTTTAAAAAAATAAATACAGTAAACCAAAAGACTAGCCGTTATGAGCTGTTCTTCAATTTTTCTTGGTATGACTGGGGCAATCTTCTGCTGCCTTTTATCCTAGTAAGTTGATTTGTAGGGCCTTGGCTCTCCAGCCATACAAGTGCTTAACTTTGCATTCAAATTATTCCATTCATATACATCAGGGATGTCCAATGGGTAGATCGTGATCTACCAGTAGATTGCCGGGGTGCCCCAGGTAGATCGCAGGATGAGAGAAAGTGATCATGGAAAAGCAGCGCCTCTACCTTTGCTTCCCCCCAAAAACTCAACAACTCTGGGCAAATCTCTCCCCAGTTAGTTGCCACCTTGGGTAGATCACTGCCAGTTTTTTTATACTGGGAGTAGATCGCAGTCTCTTGGGAGTTGGACGTGCCTGATATACATATTTAAACCAAAGTCTAAGAGATACTGAGTACTGAATTGGGACGTCCCTGGTTCCAATCTTTCCAGGTGGACTGAGGCAAGGCACTGCTGGCTTCAGCATCTGCAATATGGGGACAGTAGTGGCCTGGCTTCCATTGTTGTTAGGAATATTACAAAAAGATGCTTAAGGTGAAGTGTTTTGAACTTATGAAAGTACTAGGAACGAGTGCTAGTTCTGTCCTCTCCAACCGTGGGTGTTGATTTCTTCAAGTGTGGTGCAAATGAAATTGCATGCTTAGTCCATTTCCTTCAAATAATTGTATCCCAGAGTTTGTGATAAACTAGAAGATGACAAATTGAAACAAGCTCATAAAGGTATTTTTTAATAATAATCAAGGTTGAAATCTATCCAAGTTATTGTTTTTCTTAGTCTATAGACTGAACTGCGGTGTTTTCTAGAGGCTGAAGCCAAAAGGAGCCTTTCTTCTCCCTGGGAAAATTATCAGACCTTATCTGAAAGAGTCTTGTGATCAGACTAGAGGGAAATTGGGCAGAGAGACTGCAGTCTTTTGTTCTTCACTTGTAGGTAGGAACTTGGACCAGCAAATATTTCAGGTAGTGGTTTAAAAAATAAAAAGGAACAGGTCATGAAATGAGCAGGTGCCGTTCAGTAGGCAGGTGAGCTTTAATTAGGCATCAGCAGAGTCTTCACATCTTAGCTTCCTCATGCCTTCAGCAAATCTTGCTGCATAAATGTTATAGTAGAAATAGAATTCAAGAAAATACCGTGGAGATAGAAAGGATTACTACTTCCAATTTCTCATCACATCAGCATTACGCAGCAACTTGCTGAAGAAATCTCGTGAACCAAAGGGCCTCTTTTCCACATTGTACTAAACCTTTGTTTAGTGCACATGCATGAGCTGAAAATAAGCCCAAGCGAACCCTTGGGATCACTCTCCTGAATCCCCATCAACTCCCATATAGTCAGAAGGAGGTACATCGCAAGCATTTAATCCCTCTTTCCCAGAATCTTGACTTGTCACTTCTTACAAGTCAAAGATTACAGTCCAAAACAAACTCTGGTTAGTTAAACAAGCAAAATCAATGGCTTGAAGCGGCTTTGTTCTGAAACGGATCGGAGTTTGTTTTAAATCTCTGGTTTTCAGAACATGACAGTCCAGATTTCTGGGTAAGGGGAACTACTGGTGAAGAACTGATTCCAGCTATACTGCAGGGAAAAGGGGGAGCCCAAGGCTTTGCTTAGGTTTGTTCCAGCTTGTGCTAAATTGTGGATTAGCATGAGACAAAAGAAAGCACTTATTCGCACAGCACGATACGATAATCTTTATTGTCATTGTCCCATACAGAACAACGAAATTGAAAAAATCTACATCAGACATTCAAAAACCCGCAAGCCTGCTATCCCAACTTGGTTAGCCCCCTAAAAATGCTGATACCCCATCATTAAATACAATATACTCCTATAGAGACTACTTTACACTGCGTTTAAAACCAAAATCGCATTTGGATAGAAACTTTCTTTGGTGGCTAGTCCTAGTCTTTATAACCCTGTACCTTCTTCCAGAAGGCAGAAGCTGAAAGAGATCATTTCTGGGGTGCGCACTATCCTGCACTATCTCTGCAGCTTTCTTATGGCACCTGGAAGCATAGATTTGATCCAAGGTGGGAAGAGTGCACCCAATTATTCTCTCCGCAGTCTTTACAACCCTGGACAGCATTGTTTTTTCCCTGACCCTGCAGCTCCCAAACCACACACAGAGACCATAAGTTAATACACTCTCAACAGTACAATGGTAAAACGCCATCAACAGGTCCTTTGAGAGATTCCATAATTAAACTGTGGAACTCACTCCCACAAGAGGCAGTGATCGCCACCAACTTGGATGGCTTTAGAAGAGGATTAGACAAACTCATAGAGCCAAAGGCTGTCATTGGCTACTAGCCATTTTGGCTATGCTGTGTGTGCTTCCATGGTCAGAGGCCAGTGAAGCTTCTGAATCCAAGTTGCTGGAAGCCTCAAGAAGGGAAAGGGCTCTTGGGCTCGGCTTTTGCTTGAGAGCTTCCTGCAGGCAGCTGGTCGGCCACAGTGAGAACAGGATGCTGGGCTGGATGGGCCATTGGTCTGATCCAGCAGATTCGTCTCATGTTCTTCTTGAGTGGCAATACAACCAGGGAGTGCAATTCTCAAAACCCGGTTCTTTGCGGACTTAAAACATTTCGCGGCGCTTTTCTTCAGACCCGTTAAAAACTCTTGGTAAAAAGACAGTTGGAAAAATATATACAGTTGTACCTTGGGTTAAGAACTTAATTCATTCTGGAGGTCCGTTCTTAACCTGAAGCACCACTTTAGCTAATGGGGCCTCCCGCACTGCCAGCGCGCAATTTCTGTTCTCATCCTGAAGCAAAGTTCTTAACCTGAGGTACTATTTCTGGGTTAGCGGAGTCTGTAACCTGAAGCATCTGTAACCTGAGGTACCACTGTATACACAAATAAAGCTGTATTCGACGGACGAAAGGATATATGATGTCTGACATGATTGAGAATCATAGAGCCAGGGACAGAGATCTTTAAAGCGTTAAAATCGGGATGTAGAAAATATGGAAACAAGAAGAAGAGGCAGGACTGAGATTTGGAGATATGCTTCAGAGGTCCAGACTATGGGGAGCACCCCAAAAATCAATAATTATAATTTGGATTATAATTTGTGGTTTATTTTGTTTTTTAGTTTTTTATTTTAATTGGATTATGATTTGATATATTAATTGGATGTTTTTTAATTGGAAAATCAATAAAAATGATTAAAAAAACAAACAAACTCTTGTTTTCCATAGGAGCTCACACGGCAAGGCGAGGTACTGAAACGCAGCGAACGAATGGTGGATAAGATGGATCAAGATCTGAAAACAAGCCAGAGACACATCAACAGCATTAAGAGTGTGTTTGGCGGCTTTGTGAATTACTTCAAAGCCAAGCCACAAGAGATCAAGATTGAGCAGAACGGGGCTGCCGAATACCAAGCAAGCAACAAGTAAGCAACCCAAATTCTCTTCCCAGCTAGGAAAGGTGTAAATCGTGATATCTGGGAGTCGGAGAGTGGGGGTGGAAGCCCAGGTTGCAGGTGGAAGTTTGGACTTCAGTTTCATCTTCTTCAGTGGGGCCAGGAAAGATTCAAATCACATTGCAACTTCTCCCTTAATTGCATCAGAACGTGGTACTTACATTTACCTTTGGACCATTCTCAGCAGAGTCAGGAAAGATGCAAAAGGCGTCAAAACGCAGTATTTGAAGCAAGGCCTTTTGAACATTGTGCTTTCCTGGCAGCTCCATCCTTGGATTTTTTAAGATCAGTGCATCCCCAGTTTTCTTTTGAAAATGGTTTCCCTCCCACCCTGTAGACTCATTCTGAACTAATCAGGAGCCAGGGAGGCGAGGAAACAACAACGAATGCGTGTGGGTGTGGAAAGACTGCAGAAAGGGAAATGATTTTTCTAAAAGCCATTGCCCTTAATGCAAGGCCTGTTTGGACACTGGGAATGGTACCTGTCTTTTCTCTTATCTCCAGATTAAAAGAAGCCATCTCCGTTAGCAAAGAACAGGAGTCAAAGTACCAGGAGAGTCATCCAAACCTACGAAAGTTGGATAATTCAGGTTTGTTTAAACTTGTTTAAAAGGCCATGCCAGGCCTGGAGGAGTTGGACATTCAGGGTTTTTTGGTATGGCAGTTCTTGATAGAAGCCAAATTTGCCTCTTAACTAGGCTACAGAAGCAGGAATAGTGATTTGGCAGGTCTGCAAGAAAAGGATTGTGTTGTTTACTTCCAATTGCAAACCACCTTTAATTAGTAATTATGTGTTCCAGTAATTCAGTATAAAACCATACTTGCCATAAGGCACACATGCTACATTAAAATAGTTTTCTTTTTTTAAAAAGAACTGGAGCCATCAGTTGGTGTTTGGCGAATGTCTAAAAACTCACCTTTTCCCCTTGCCAGAGCATAGTACCACTGGAACCAGTTCAGAGTCTTCGTTCCCACCTGATAGTTACCCAAGGAATCAACACCTCCGAGCTTACCATCAGAAAGTCGATAACAACTTAGGTGAGTAATGACAGCCTGAACTTTGTAATGCTTAATACCAGCTCCTTACCTGAAATTGAATCTCTTTGGTTCCTTTGGGGCTTTCTCCCAAGCAGAGAGAAGCATGTGTCCCTGTTTTCAATTCTCTTTTCATGGAAATAGGAGGTGATGGAAAAATGATGAACATCAATATTTGTTAATAATAATTCAATTAGTGGCTTGCTACATAAGAAGTCTTCAAACAACTTGAAAAACAAGAATGTAGGACTGTTATTAATTATCTTCTGTTGATTAATCAGGGGGTATAAAAGGAATTGGAGTAGTGAAAGGATATGGCAGGGTGGCAGCAGACAGACAGGTTGCTTTGCTGCGCAATGCTTCCTCCTGCAAAATTGCCAACAAGGGCTCTGTTTCCTGCACAACGGGAGCAGAAGAACTTTTGGCCCTCCAGTTGTTTCTGAACTTCAACTTCCATCATCCCCAGCAAGCATGGCCGGTGGCCAGGGGAAATGGAAGTTGTCGTTCAGCAACATTGGGGGGCAGGGGAGCAAAGGTTCCTCTCCTTTGCTGTGCAGAAATTAAGGGATGCACAATAGCAGCTGCTCTCATCAGATTCTACAAGTTGCACTTTTGACTGCCAAAAATTAAGTGGATGTGATTAACTACTAGAGAGCCAGTGTGGTGTAGTGGTTAAGAGTGGTAGTCACGTAATCTGGGTAACCGGGTTCGCGTCTCTGCTCCTCCACATGCAGCTGCTGGGTGACCTTGGGCCAGTCACATTTCTTTGAAGTCTCTCAGCCCCACTCACCTCACAGAGTGTTTGTTGTGGGGGAGGAAGGGAAAGGAGAATGTTAGCCACTTTGAGACTCCTGAAGGGGAGTGAAAGGCGGGATATCAAATCCAAACTCCTCTTCTTCTACTAATTGCTGCTCCAAAAAGACAGTGGTCGTGAGTTGGAAGAGGATCAGAAATAGCAATATGTTTGAAGGCATCAGTGCTCTCTTTACCTTAACGTTTCTGAGAACAAATCAAAGTGTTGGTGCTGACCTTTAAAGCCCTAAATGGCCTCAGCCCAGTGTACCTGAAGGAGCGTCTCCACCCCCATCATTCAGCCCGGATACTGAGGTCCAGCACCGAGGGCCTTCTGGCGGTTCCTTCCCTGCAAGAAGTGAGGTTGCAGGGAATCAGGCAGTGGTGCCCTCCTATGAGATGTCAAGTAAATAAACTACTATCTGACTTTTAGAAGACATCTGAAAGCAGCCCTGTTTAGGGAAGTTTTTAATGTTTTATGTTCTATTGTGCTTTTAATTCTGTTGGGAACCGCCCAGAGTGCCTGGGGAAACCCATCCAGATGGGTGGGGTATAAATAATCATAATCATAATTTATTATTTATTATTTACAGAGGTAGCTGCGTTAGTTTGTACAAAAAATAGTCCTGTGACACCATAAAGGCTAACAATTGCAAGAGCGCACCCTGAATGCTAAACCCAGCCAGTTCGGCGGGGTATAAATAATAAATTATTATTATTATTCCAAAGCCACAGATAAAGAACAACCATCCTCTTTAACTATTGGCTCCTTCGCTCAGAATATTCTCGGAGCAGCTGCTTTATTATGAATTGACTTCCCAAACACATTTCCTGCCCTGTATCCTTGCTCTTAACCCTGCTCCATTGTCTCCGTCCATTTGCAGATGAAATGTCCTCTGGGCTGGGCCGCCTGAAAAACCTCGCTCTGGGCCTACAATCTGAAATCGACGAGCAGGATGAAATTCTGGGCCGCCTCACCACAAAGGTGGAGACTCTGGACATCAATATTAAAAGCACAGACAAAAAGATCAAGGAGCTTTAAGGGAGATCCAAATCTCTCACCTCCACACAAGAACTTGATTCCTTTTATACAGCTGGAGATCATCTTGCTATCTGGAAAACAACCAGCATAAGAAAAATGGGTTTATGTGACTGATTTGCCTTGTAATTAAAGACAAATAACCTGAAGTGCAATATGAGAGATTTTAAACCACCTTCTTTTACATATGCATGCCTAAGGGTGCTTTTCACCATCGCCTCTTTAAGCTTCTGATTTTGGGGTACAGTGGAACCTCAGTTTTTGAACGCAATCCATTCCGGAAGACCGTTCGACTTCTGAAACATTTGAAAACCGAGGAAAAATGGAGAAACACAGCTTGGAAGCTGTTTGACTTCCGAGGTGCATTCAAAAATGGAAGCAATTATTTCCAGGTTTTCGGCGTTCGGGTTCTGAATCGTTCAGTTTCCGAGGCGCTCAAAAACTGAGGTTCCACTGTATAATACCTCAATTCCAGACACAATATATGCCATCTATTAAGTGCTCTTTGGCCTTAATTGTAGTGAGTGTTCAGTATAGTGAGAGTGTGTGCATTGCCTTATTTCACAACAGGCATTGTTCGTTCCTTGCATTCTTAGAAATCGCTCTTACGTGAGTAGCAGAGCAGCTCTAAGTGAATTTTTCATCTTGCATTTCAAAGCTGGGGCACACCGATAAGCTTCAGGAGCAGCCTATGAAAATCGGAGGCCGTGCCCTAGAAACAGTGCAACAGATTTAATAAATCAGTGGTTCCAGCAATTTCCCCCCTCTGATAACATTGAAATACTTGAGTGATGCCATTGTGAATAAGAATGCACTTTGACAGGAGTGCATATCGGGTATTTCAAAGCTTGTAATATTTTTGTGGAGTTTTGCGAAATTCTACGCTGCAGTTACTCCACATGCCCCGTGTGGTTTTAGACCTTTGCTTTCTCAATAGTAGTACCCCTTAGCCCCACATCAAAGGCAAAAATGCTTTTGCAACAGAGTGCTGTCGCAAAACCAGTGTGCCGTCTGGCATGCAGACTTCCCCTTATTGCTCTGGTCACATCTAAAGGAACTCGTGAGTCCTAACCAAAAACTGCAGTCATCTGCTTTTGTACCTGCTTGTGGTATTAGTTTGAGATCTTTCTAGGCTTACAATGGGGGGGGGGCTCCAGTCCGCAAGCCGATCTTGGCCTGCCGTGTGTGTGCGCGCGTGCGCAATTAGCCCTGCTATGCCATTTTTCTCATGGTGACAGCTGATGAGACAGGAAGTCAGGGTTAAATCCTGTGTTGGTTACAGGGAACAGGTGTGCACAGCCAAAGCAGCAGGATTTAACTCCCGGTCATCAACTGATGAGTGAGGCTTAAATGTTGCTCTGTTTGCCATAATTCCATGTAAACCTCTTCCTGATTCTCCTGCAAAATCTGCAAATCCTAGAATCTCCTGCAAAATAAACAAATTTGTTTTAGCAGCACCTTCCGACTTCAAAGCATCTTGCAGCTGACATCATTGTGACTTGACAGTTGATCTGCAGGTTGTCAGTTCCACCCATTTGTCAGATTTGGCTCGCAAGACCCATCCCTGCAGAGCCAAAAGGGTTTCCCACTCCTGTCCTACAAGGGTCCCATTGCTAAAATAGGCACCATATTGCCGAATTAGGGACATGGGTGGCGTTGTGGTCTAAACCACTGAGCCTCTTGGGCTTGCTGATCGTAAGGTTGGCAGTTTGAATCCCTGCGATGAAGTGAGCTCCCGTTGCTCTCTCCCAGCTCCTGCCAACCTAGTAGTTTGAAACCTAGTAGTTTGATAAATAGGTACCGCTGTGGCGGGAAGGCAAACGGTGTTTCCATGCACTCTGGTTTCCATCACGGTGTCTCGTTGCACCAGAAGCTGTTTAGTCCTGCTGGCCACATGACCCAGAAAGCTGTCTGTGGACAAACGCCTGCTCCCTCGGCCTGAAAGCGAGATGAGCGCCACACCCCGTGGTTGAATTCAACTGGACTTAGCTGTCCAGGCAGCCTTTACCTTACCTACCTTAACTGCTACCTATAAATCCTGGAACATAGCACCTATTATCTGTACAGGATAAAGGTAAACTGCTTTCCTTTACAAAATAATAATGATAATAATAATAATACACAGGATCACCTCTTTGTCTACCTGATAGTAAAATAAGCTTAAAGCTGTGCTTACTGGTAAACACCTTCCCTTGAGTCCCTTTGGTGACTAGTAATAGAAACAAGGAACTGCCAGTAACTGCAATAATTAATATAATTGCTACTGTCGCATAGCACTGGTTATTGGGTTCCAGCTGGTGACCTTTGAGTTTCAATGACAGGAAGTATACCTTTATGCTGACTTGGGCTTTAACCAATGCCTTGGAAACTTGGCAGGAGTCTCAGTACTACGGTATCAACACATCAGTGCTGTCATGCTTGTTACAGTAGTTTCACTCTCAATTTACTTTGCTCCCAGTCAAGGTTAAATCTGAGCAGCTTCGGTCGTTGTTGCCACGATCTTCAGAAATATATCAAAGAACTGAACTTGGGAAGGGCAAACAAGGTTGCTTTCTTTTAACGATGATCTATTACAGTTATCCTTTATCCCTCAGATTTAATGCTGAGGATTTTGTGCAGGGTAACTACGTACATCTGCTCTTAACAACCCAGGAGAAACACCCATTTCATAGTCGCAGTTTCAATTATTATATTTTTTTATGCCAAATGCTCGTAGATAAGTGGACATTCATGAGTTCAGAGGTCTAGGCACATTGTGGGGAGGAAAAAGGTATAAAGGACCCACTTGAAGTTTGACTTTAGGAGCAGCTAAGATACTTCTTACTCATGTCGTATTCAAGCAAAAGAGCATTTTTGCTGAGACAGACCTGGGGACAGTGCCTAAACTTCACTGATCTTCACGGCATTGGCAGTGTGTGAATGTCCTAAAAAGCAAAGAGCAAGATCTTTTATTGGGAAGGATTGGCAATAGTCACATCTCTAGATTTCTCGAACGTTGCAATACAGTGGAACCTCGGTTGTCAAACATTATCCATTCTGGAAGACCGTTCGATTTCCGAAGCGTTCGACAACCGAGGCTCAGTGGACCATTTTCTCCATTGAGAAAATGGAGAAACACGCCTCGGAAGCCGCTTGACTTCCAAGCTGCGTTCGAAAACAGAAGCAATTCTGGGTTTTCGGCATTCGAAAACCGAAATGTTCAGCTTCCAAGATGCTTGAGGTTCCACTGTATTGGTTTGGGGAGGAGCAAATTGCTGCAAAGGAAGGAAAGGGAACCTCTTCCCTTCATGTTAAATCTACTTTGTTTGTTAATTAGGCAGGCTGAGAAAATTAAGCAAATATTTTCTTCATTGTAATGCTAGGTGTAGATTTCTTTTTGGAACGTCGGTTCTGAATGGAAATCGCTAGCCCTCTGCTCCACTTTCCACGTTTTTCTGACAACGGTTTTCTCTAGAGGGTTCCACTCTTTTCCTATCCTGACTTTGTGAAATGAGCTTGATCTTTGGGTCCTGTTAACTTGGACTTTTCTGCTCTAAGGGCTATGCCTAGAGATGCTTTCACTGTTAGGAGTGTCCTATGGGGAGAGAGAGGCTATGCTTGGGTGTACACAAATTTTCCTCCTTTTGGTAGACTTTATAATTGCACCATCTGCTGTTGTCGAAGGCAAACTTAACAGGGCGGAAGAAATAAGGCTGTTTTGTAATAATGATGCAATTCCATAACCAGCAAAAATAGCTGTTTTAACTGAAGGAAAGTGATGAAGGCTCTGAGTTTTTGCCCCTCCTAGGAAACATCTGAATTCTGTTTGGTTTTTTTGTGCCTATTTATGTCTATGTTTTTTAATACATCTTTTAAAATAGCTGCTTAATATCTCTGTCTGGCACACGCATTAAACTATTAGTCGTTTCCGATAATGGAGTTGATCTTATTTAAAAGATGCTCATTAGTGATATGTTTGTGGAAAAAAGTAAACATGGCCCTGTCTGGTTCAGAAAACTCAAGGAACCATATAATTTTGCAACCTGAAGGAAGAAAATTGTCCTAGTAGATGTGTGGAGTAAATGGGTCTCTAGATCCTCCATCTAATAATAATACATAGAAAAAAAGGTCCGTACGTATAGTTAAAGCCATGGTTTTCCTGGTAGTGATGTATGGAAGTGAGAACTGGACCATAAAGAAGGCTGAAGAATTGATGCTTTTGAATTATAGTGCTGGAGGAGACTCTTGAGAGTCCCGTGGACTGCAAGAAGATCAAACACATCCATTCTTAAGGAAATCAGCCCTGAGTGCTCACTGGAAGGACAGATCGTGAAGCTGAGGCTCCAATACTTTGGCCACCTCATGAGAAGAGAAGACTCCCTGGAAAAGATCCTGATGTTGGGAAAGATTGAGGGCACAAGGAGAAGAGGACGACAGAGGACGAGGTGGTTGGATAGTGTTCTCGAAGCTACAAACATGAGTCTGACCAAACTGCGGGAGGCAGTGGAAGACAGGAGTGCCTGGCGTGCTCTGGTCCATGGGGTCACGAAGAGTCGGACACGACTAAACGACTAAACAACAACAACAACAACATAGAAAACTAGATTTGTGAAGAAGCTCTCTAGCAGGGGCAGACTTTTCGTAATATGGCACCCAGTGCAAGGCCAAAATTTGGCTCCCCCAGATGGATCTTCTCAATTATGGATCTTCTCAATTTTCCACTCCTCTGCTTGGTGCCATGTGCAAGGGAACTGCCCGTACCACCCTAAATCTGGCACTGTGTCTAGCCTAGCCTTCTCCCAGAAATTGCTAACTTTTTTCAAGCAAGGTACTATTTTGTACAGAAAAGTCATGCCATGTGAGCCCTCTCCTTCCCCCAGTCCAAGGTGCCATGACCCAGACAGTCGGTGAGGACTCCTTTTTATAGCATTGTTTTGGTTGAGTCTCTTCTCCCTGACTCTTTGCCCAGTGGAGAGGTTTCTTCACAATATGGATTGCATTTGCCTGGAGCAGATTATACAGAG